GAAAACAGTATAGAACAAATAAACAGAGCATTCAAAGATAAAATATGCCAGAAAGATACGTATAACAATAATGCATATTGAATTAGGATGCATTATATGTTTTCAATGCTTTTAATATACGATTATATAAATTTTACACAATTGTATAGTCCATTATATCTATACCATAATATTGAGCAGATTGTGATATAATTAAGACAAATTGGTATAGTATCTAATTAATCTAGAAATATCTTAAATTTAAAATAAGAATTGACCTTTTGATATAAAAATGTCTGTATTAGGTTTATTTTTTTGAATATTATTGCTTCTTTCTTATTATCGGCTGTTCGTATAGAAATGATGTTATCTCAAGAGGATTTGGAGCACCCGGTGAATACTCGGGCATGATTGTTTGGTTTATATGTATGTATATTTTTCTATATGCTGTTCTTACTCTTTTATCTGGGTGAGAAAGGCCTTGGTTTAAATATGATGAGGTGAATTCAATTGTCAGAGTTCTTGTAGCGGTAGTAATAACTGCAAGAACCTCTTTCTCAATTGGTTTATTAAGAACAAGCGGGAATATTCTATTAAGAATGTGGACACATAGCTTATAACCATCAGTAGAACCATAGCAGTTTTGAATGAGATAGTTAGACATGGACAATGCGCCTTTTATAACCCAAATATTAGAGGACTTTAAACTCTCTTCAATAAGCGCAGTAAAGAATGGAAGATACTCACTATAAGAGTGCTTGGCCTTAGTAGACGCCTTTAGTATTAGAATAAGTAACTTAAGTATTGCTGCTCTATTTTCTAGGTTTTGTGTATGGTGATACTTGCTATTAAGATATACAAAAACATCTTTTGTATAGCCACCAGCACTAAAGGCATAGATAGCTATGGCATTATATTTTGCCATTTTCGGGTTATCTACATATCTGTCTATTATTTTAATTGATCTTTCGATGTTTCTGTAATGACAGAGAGCTTTTATAAGAAGGAATTCTTCTGTATGTTTGTTATACGCATATGTTGAGTGTCTCTTTAGCATAGAAAATAGAACTGTGTCCCAGGCCTTCCACCCACGAGAATATCCGTGCATTGTCAGTGCTAGCTTATATATATTAGGCAAAGCAGAAGAATGCGCTTCGTTTATCCAAATTGGAAGTCTATATACGGCTTTGGCAAAAATTGAACTGTTTATAAACTCTTGGTCTATGCATAGAGCTTTATGTAGAATGGCCTTACACGCAGTGAAAATCGCGGGGCAGCTTACTGACTGTTCAAGCTGCGTATAAAGAGAGCAAAAAGACTGCTTCAAGGCAGAGTAATCAGTTACATACTGCGAACAGCTAGTAATCAGGCTGCAAAGATAGTTATGCCCTTCTTGCTTAGTGATCTCTGTAACCGCCCATTTAAGTAGTGTATAAGAAATTAATTCTTTTTTATCATTTGGCAATACGTCTATTATGCAATTTGAATACTCTTCTGCTCCAATCCATTTATATGCATTCTTGTCTTGGAGTATTGATGTGTATTGCTGTAGTATGCCAGATGGAACCTGTACTTTTGCCTGATATAGTGCCTGAATAATCACAGGTGCATGGACAGACATATTTATAATCTCCTTAAATAAAAAGGGTAGAATGTGTGGATTCTTCACTGCCCTACTTATTACAGATATAGTTATATGCCTAGGTATGTTTTGCATTTCTAGTATTTTATATATACCAGGCATTCCTATCATCTGTATATTATGTTCTGTAGAAATATTATGTAAAATAATGAGATATTCTCTATTCTTTAAAGAATCTTTGTTATTCTTTTCTAAAAGAGAAGAAATATGCACCATGGCCATATTTATAAGAGTTATAGACTTCCCTTCCTCTAAAAACTCCAATGTATATGATAAAGCCCCAAGTACACGTGGGTTGTTGCTTTTTATAAATAAATTATATAGAAGTTCGCTGATTGCCTTTATATGAACTGGTGAAAGCCAGTTAGACTTAAATGCGACTTCTAAGAAATGCAAGAAACTTGTTAGTACTCTGGAAGATTTGGTTCTATTAGAAGCTTCTGCGGGAGATTCGTTCTTTTCTACCGCATTCGGCGATTTTTGTGTCTTTTTCGCCAATATTCTGTTAGACTGTTGTGTAATGATCTTTTCGAATGCATGAATAGGCAGTGCGCTTGATGAATTCAGTCTATGAAATATACTCTTTTTAAAAAGAGCATGAACCGTGTGGATATAAAGAAGAATACATGGTTCAGAGTTTACATGGACTAAAGAAGAAAAATATTCTTTTCCTTCAATAGATGTATAAACAGAAGAAAGAAGATCCGACAGATATTTTGTATATTTTGTGTCATCTACAAGCGATTTGATTGCACCTATAATAAGTGTGTGTGTAAACCTTGAAATAGTAGATTTTTCTATAGATTCACGTATTTCTATTTCTAACCGGTGTTCAAGCAGCTGGCCTACTTCTATAATTAAAGTTATATGCGGCTGTGCCTGTTTTACACTGCATGCAGCCCAGTTAAATGCCTTACTGAGAAGAAATGCCCAACTCTGACTTGGCTTCTCTAAAAGTGCCTTAATTATTACAAGAACATCTTCTGGATGGGTTTTCGTCAAGTTTTTCAATTCCCGAACTCTCTTTTTATCAAAATATATTATAAATTTATGTACTGTTGAGTATGCTGTGTCCTGGTTCTCTAGTTCTTTCATTGCAGAAATTATACAAGTTTTCTCCTGTGGTGTAAAGCTCAAGCTAGAAATAAATTCATAATCATAATTGTTGTGCACTATTCCTATTGACTCTGAAAACCGAAAAAGAGCTGTAAATGCGCGCGAATTGGTGCGGGTACTCTTCTTCTTCATACAAAAATTTATTTATTCATTAGTTTCACTGTATTAACGCACTCAATTTCCTGCTCATCATCCAGTGCCCATAGGTCGTATACCTTTATAACCACACACATGGCAGTTACATGCATTAGGAAAATTCCATCTAAATACCGATCTGATAAAAGAACAACAAACTTTCCTAGTATCATTGGGGTAATTGCAATGGCAGTCATCAAACCAATTATTAAAAGCAGGGATGCGTAGCTCCATACTTCAGCATTCAAAATCTTCAGCTTTGCCAGCTGTGTAAACATGAATAGCGCTGAGAAAAAGAAAGGAATCAGATATAATAGAGCAAATAAACCTGCCCCAAGTCTAGAAGTTATAGATAAAAGCGATCCAAAAAAGCCAAATGTAAGAGAGCACATGGCGAAAAAGGCTGCAATTTTAGAGCAGGAACTAGCCACTCTGTTTGGAAGCATCCAAACCAGGCCTGTGCACATCGCAGAAATAAAGCAAGTCATAGTGCATGCCGCCTGAAAACTTACTATTGCTGAATATAGTATATACCAGGAAGACTTTATCAGCCCAGACGCAAGAACTAAGTCAAATATTAGAGATCCAAGATATACTCTTAAAAATATAAGCATTTCTTTTCTTGCAGGAAATGAGTACTTTACTTTTGTTCTTTTGAGTAAAACCACAGTTAGTATAATGTTAAGTGTTATTGCTGCTATTGTGTATACAGAGTATATGTTTATTCCTAGCATAGAGACTGCCCGCGTTGGGTATTTGGCGTGCACGGTGTTACGGAATAAAATTGTACATGCTGGAAGAGATACCTGACTACATATGTGAGTCATGTCTACAATTGAGCTCATCTGTTTGTTGTGTGTATATTTTTGTGTATTTATATATAATAACAAATAATAAACTAATTTTACAAATTACTATTTTTCTATAAAAATAAATCTGTACATAATAGAAATAAATTCAGAAAAATTGAAGCTTTATAATTTTTTTACAACCACGCCCAAGCACATATTTAAACAAAACACACAAACACAATCAAATATCTTCAAATAATACAAAAACATTATTGCTACAGTTAATTTATCTACACACAAACAGAAAACAACAGAACCTCTATAAAACACCCAAAAATTTATTAGAGAAGAGTGTAGAATTATTAGTTTAAGAAGAAAAAAACAAGCACCAAAAAAACAATGGTCACAAATATATACTGCGTGCTGCGAGAAAGCGCCATTTCAACATATGTAAGCGTATGAGAGGGAGGTATACTGCGCACAAACCCTGTTCCAAATAACATAATAAAGGCAAGAAGCATATCTTCATTGTTGTTTGTACTGATGCATACAAAAAACAGTGAAAACGGGGGAATCAAACTAACATAAATGCTTCCCGATTCATATGTATATTTTAGACTCCAGGAGATTAGTTGCATGCACCCCAAAAACAGTCTATACAATCCAAACTTATTTTCAATACCAGCAGCTCTTTGAAAGGCAATGTAAATAAATGAAACATTAATAGACAGAGCAATTGCTGTAACTCTTTCCCTAAGTGTGCCATTGGTTTCTATCTGCGTCTTCTCATTTAGGAATGATCTGTAGTCCTCTCTAAACTCGTCAATGTTTAGCTCTTCTGCCCCATTAATGTGAACTATGCATCTATATAAGTCTTCATATGCATCACTTTTTTGCTCTGCTTCCGTGTATCGTTTAAATATTTCCTCGGGCGTTTCTATAATAAACCTGTAGGAAATAAATGTGCCAAAGCAAGCACACACAATTGTAACAAAAGGCGTGCACAGCGTAGAGGCGGCAAGCGGCCAGAATCGAAAAGAAAAGAAAGCAAGAAAGGACATCCATCCAGCAATAACATTTGATAAAATAACAACTCGTTTCTTCTTAGTTTTTACACACAGGGACAGACAAAAAAGATCAACAACCAGGCGATAGTATGAAACAATTAGGCCAAGAAGAAATGCCTGAATTGTGGGAATAAACGAAAAAAAGTACGGAGCCATTGAACATGCGCTGCCTATCATAAAGCGAATCTTGTAACTTATAGGCACTAGAGCAAGATACGGTCCAATCATATACCCAACGAAAGAGCAAAGGATGTACTTTTCTTTAAGCAACCTTTGCTCTGCAACAAATACTGGAAGGGTTAGAAAAGATGCCAGCAGAATCAAATATCGCATATTCATCGGAATGGCCTCTTCCCTTTTTACAATATCCATATAAACATAAACAAGCAAGTAAATAAGACCATGGTAATTTTTGTTGAAAACACACGCATTATTTTGTATGTAAATCTGGCAGTGGCAGATAAAAGAATAAGGAAGAGCACATACGTATACTTTAAGTTAATTATTTTAATGTGGGTTTATACATTTTCTTCTATTATAACAAAACTTCTTTTATATTAAAGAGCTTTCTAGTATAAGTAATATAAATTAGAGTAAAAATTGCTATTTTTCATTTTAATATAGTCAAATAATGAATAATACTTGAGCTATTTCATATTCCATAAAAAGTAATTCAATTCTCAATTGAGTATTAACATATGACTAACAGCCCTGCCTATTTACATCTTATTATTCATTCTTTTTCATCTTTTGGCTCGCCTTTTATCTTTATCTTTTCTATGCATACTGTTATGCGCATGCATGTTTTATTCGAGTATTATGTGCTCTGAGTATTCTCAGATTTAATAAAGCAGCAAGTGTACTATAAATAGAAAAACAATAAAGATCATAGAAAATTAAAGCTACAAGTAAACCACGAGAAGTACAATATAAAACCCACTTTATATAAAATGAAATCCACCATTTTCTTTGACGGCTCGTTCTAGCTTATTTTTTAACTCGCTGTAGGATTTGTACTTATAAAGAACAATTCTTCTAAAGCAAGTGTTTGCAGTGGGAAGGAACCCCTGTATATTCATTTGTGTAATTATTATACACTCGGAATGAGATCCTGGAATACTCTGAAGAGAGGAAGATCCAGTTATAAATCGAAGCACATTTCTCCTGAACTCTTCATTAGAGTTTTCTAGAATATGCCAGAAATTCATTACTTCCTCTGTCTGGAATGTACACTCTCGGTATATTGCAAGTGTTTTTAGGTGTTTGATAGAAATATGGTCAACACCGGACAAGAGGCGCTCTAGCTGGTGAGGCTGGAAATTGTATATGTCATCAGAAACCGCTTTAGAAAATCCTTGGGCCATGGCAGGGTACCCCACCCTTTTCCCGTAGGTTTCTTCGTATATAAACTCTTCAATGAACTCTTCCTTGTTTGCATCTGTTACTTTTTTCCCAGATTTTAATACAAATTCCATCTGATCAACTGAGTTGTTTTTTATCCAGTCTAAGCTAGTTTTAAGTGTTTCATTGGCTATATCATTAGATGTTCCCTTCTTTTTAAGCAATGCCATATATAAAGTCCTTGAAAAGCGCACACTAATCTGAACCTGCTGGAAGATCACATGGCCAATAAAGAATCCTACAAAGGCGTAAAATTCAGTGTCAGATATACTGAGAGCTTCCATTCAGGATCTATTTTCTCTGTCATTTCCTCTACTGTGGCAAGATCAAATAGCCCACCAGATAAAATAAAGCGTCGGTCCTGCACAAGCTCATTTCCCGCAAGCTCAAAGAATTCTTTTCGCAGAGCGCCATGGTCTTCTCCCATTTCACCAACAAACTTAACAGTTATTCTTTTGTATAAATCTTTTTTGTAGTACGGATTGGCATACAGCTTGTAAAAGGAATATAAAATTGAGTCACGCGACACCTCTAATGAAACATGGAAAAATATTGAAATAAACATCTTTGGAGAGCTTCTGAGCCTACGAAGATTTCTCAAAAAGTCTTCATCTTCTTTAGATCGCGTGGTGATGCCATCTTCTAATAGAGAAAGTGTGTATCTGTGTGCCTCTGAAATAGCATTGTTCTGCAGAATTGGAGAATACCCAGTTGTTTCAAATGTTTTTGGGTTAACTTTGTATGGAGAATCGTTATATAGGACTCTCTTGATCAAATTGTTCTTTGTACTGTGATAGGTTGAGAACTTTTTAATATTTGGTATAGGAGTGTGCGGGTTTGGTGCTATAAGCCGCAGCCCATTCATTTCATGCATGGAAAAGTATTCAGTGTCCATTGCTCTAAACGAAATAGACACTTTGTACTTTTTAAAAGAAACTGTTGTGGTTATAGAATCAATCCCCAGGGGGAGAGACATTGTTTCTTTATCTAACTTCAGAACCAGATATATTTCATCCTTTGGCGTGTTTGCTTTAAATGCCAGCCCAACTCTGCATTCTTTTCTGTTTTTTACTGTAATTACTGGAGAGGACAGCTCATTAGATTTAATACTTATGGATAGTGTTGGAAATGTGCTAAGCCACGCAGGGAGATGCCCTCTTCTCTGGATTTTGACTTTATCGACTTCAATAAGCATAAATAAATTTGAAATTTTATTTTTGTAATGAGCTTACAGGAAGAAAGGAAAAAGGCGCTAGACTATTTAGCACAGCTGGGAATAAAAGAGACAAAGGCACAGGAGCTGATGGAAAACAAAAGAGTCAGAAATGTGATAGAAAAGATTGAAATGCAGGTAGAGAAGCCAGGGGCGCTGGAAACGGAAAAGAAAAAGCTATTATATAAGGTTATTGAGCTAGCACCAACGGCAGAAGCAGCGGGCAAATATGTAGAACTGATTAAAATATCAGAAATAAAAACAGAAGTTGATATAAAAAACGCAGATAGTATCATTAAAAATGGCGCAGAAGAGATGAGTAACCAAGAGATTATAGACCGTATGAAGAAAAACGTGCCAAGCTTAGTGGAGATGGAAGAGGTTGCATCTGCAGTGATTGAAGAGAATATGGGGGAGGCAAAGGCCAAGGTGCTGAGAGAGTTAAAGCACCATCCAAGACTGCAGTTTGTTGCACCAAAAACAATTCTTGAGTTGATGAGTAAACTAGAGATTAAAAGTAAAGAAGACCTTAGCAAGAAGAAGATAGAGCCCAGTGGCGAGGGATTGACAGAAAAGGCGATTGAGGAATTGCTTGAAATGGCCACCCAGGTGCAGCCGCCCACTAGACTAATAAATAAAAAATATCAACAGCTGACAATTCCAAAGGATCTGCACAGTAGTAAAGACAGAAAATGGACTAGATATCTTGAAGGAGAGATGCAAACGATGCACACTCCATTTACTAACTATCAGAAAAATAATGATATTCTTAGAGAGCACATTAAAAGAACAAAGGGACAGGTTCGAGTTCGTTTCCCACCAGAGCCAAATGGTCATTTACATATTGGGCATGCAAAGGCAATGAGCATAAATTTTGGGTATAAGGAATTTTACAATGGGTGGATATCCTTGCGGTATGACGACACTAATCCAAAGGCAGAGAAGACCAAGTATTACGAGAAAATAAAAGAGATGGTTGAGTGGATGGGGTATAAGCCAGACGCAATCACGCATGCATCAGACTACTTTGACAGGCTGTACGAGTGTGCGCTAGATTTAATTAAAAGAGGGAAGGCGTACGTATGTCATTTGAGCCGAGAGGAAGTGGCTGAGAAAAGAAAAGAGACTATGGCTACCAAAATAGAAGAAAGTGCAGCAGAAAAAGAAAAAATCATCAGTCCATGGAGGGACAGGTCTATTGAGGAAAATCTAGAGCATTTCCAAAAAATGAAGGAGGGGCATTACAACGAAGGAGAGGCAGTCCTAAGAATGAAAATGGACATGGAGAGTGACAATCCACAGTTATGGGACTTAATTGCGTATAGAGTAGTAAAACATCCCCATGTAAGAACAGGCGATAAGTGGATTATTTATCCGTCATATGACTTTACACATTGTTTGACTGATTCATTCGAAGATATAACCCACTCTTTCTGCACAACAGAATTTATCAATTCTCGGGAGAGCTACAACTGGCTGTGCGATGCACTGGATTTATACCGGCCTGTGCAGTGGGAGTACTCCAGGCTGAACATAACAGGCGCTCTTCTTAGTAAGAGATACATAACAAAGGCAATAAATGAGAAAAAGTTCACAGGATGGGATGACCCGAGGCTTAGCACACTGGAAGGACTTCGCAGTAAGGGAGTGCCAGCTTACAGCATTCGCCGCTTTGTAGAGTCACTGGGAATAACCACAGTAACAAGTGAAATTCCTATGCACAATCTTGAGAACATCATTAGAGAAGACCTTTCACTCTCCTCCAAGTCAGTTGCTATACTGAGCCCACTGAAAGTTATTACTCCCACTGGGCCGATTCTAATAGACCAGAAAGACTTTAGAAAGGGCGAGCCTATATCCACATTCTACAGAATACAGAGAGGGAACACTGTTCTGTTAAAGAACCTTGGTCCACTTACGCTGGTGGATGAGGAGAAGCGAGTCTTAGAGAAATCAGAGAATCCACACAATGCAGTGATTCCCTGGCTTGGCACAGATTCTCCCACAGCCATATTAGAAATAGTACAGGATAAAGAAATAGTGGAGTATACAACAGCCCGTGTATCACAGGAAATATCCAAATCCCCTGTGGGTGTATACTGGCAGTTCTTAAGAATAGGGTTCTTTGTTAGGATAGAAGACAAGCAGAATCTTCGCTTTAGAATGGTGGTGGGGCTCAAATCCTCTCCTCTTTTAGAATAATCTGTTATTTATTTCTATAATTGAAGATAAATTATAATTCAAATTTCGCCTCTGTATATTACTAGAGAGTAAGAAAGAATTACTAAACTAAATGAATAAAGAATTAAAATATTTTTAATATCTGCTATACTATGCAGAATATATTACACATTGCATAAAATAATTTGGTATAAATCAGAGACAGAAATATGTATAATCTAAAATTTATCATTTTTATTATTAGATCAGTATTTATTCAATATAATAAATATTTGCAGATTTGCATAAAGATAAAAGACATTTTACTTTTAGAATCAATTCAGACAAGGCATATAATAAGCTCTTAGAGTTTTATTAGACAAGAATTAGTATACAATTAAATAAGCCACTAAAAGAGCAGCTATACCAAAACAGCTAAATATATTGAATAGCCGGAATTCTTGTTATATACCAGAGCAGAGCCAACAGAGAAAAGGGCAGGAAAGAGCCAAGGATAAAAAGAGTAGCAATTTCTATTGTACATAGTGATATAATATGCAAGCCATTCCTGGGTTTATTAAGGAAGAACGATAGTATACGCAAACTATATCCAGTAGAATACTCTTGTGTTACTCCAGTGCAAATGCCGTAAAGCATTCTCTATGAGATGATGAAGGTAATTTAGACAGAAATTGTACTATTAGTGCTTTAGTGTGAAAATAGACAAATATTCGTATACTCTTTATTATTGGGTTATTTATGCCTCGAGTGATGGAACAAAGAAACTTCCTGTTAGTCCAATTTCCTTTATCATGTCCATTGTTACGCTGTCAACTTCTATTCTTTCAACATCAATGATACTCTCGGATGGAACGTAGTTCTCGTTTCTTTCTCTTTCCTCTTCCTGTGCTCTGATAGACACTCCCTTTACCTTCTCATATCTTATTCTTTTCATAAGTCTAGTGGCATATCCAGCAATCTTGTTTCTTACTTTCTTTCCTTTGATGACAGATGCTGTGTCAAGTACGTCTCTGTTCTCATAGAAATCAATGGTGAGGTTTCCGTAATGTTTCTCAACAAATTGCTTGGATGCATTCTTTATAAGCTTTGAACTGACTCTTCCCATTTAAATTTTAACTGGGGTGTAAAAATTTAAAACTATATAGAAAGTTAAGTAATTTATTGTACAAAAATGCCATTGAAATTACATTTTTGTATGTGTACAGTGGCCTTTATAGTGCTGTATCATATTGTCTCTTCTAGAAAATGATTTTGTGCATTTTGCATTCAAACATTTAAAAGGCTTAGCACCGGTGTGAATTATGTAATGTCTTCTCATCCGACTTAAGGAAGGGAATTCTTTTCCGCACCCTTCAAAAGTGCATCTATATAATTTTTTATCGCCAGAAATACTGTAAGGAAATTCTATATCCTCAATATCGCTGTCTTTTTCAGACATGGTGCTCATTCCGTCTGACTTATATCCTTTCTTAGGCTTATTTTTGGTTAAATGTTTTAACTCTTTTGCTGCGCATTTTGCCAGGATATTGAATGGCAGCATATTTTGGTCGTCCTCTTCTCTCCATTCTTCATATCGTTTGGAGCAGTCTGGATCGATTAAGTATGCTTCATTCACGTGCTTTTCTGCTTTTCTTTTTCTTACATTTGTTGTGTTTTCAATCTCTTGTCGATACTCCCTGCCATTTCTTGTGCCCTCCATTTCTTTCCCCTGACTCTCCTTTCACTCTATTATCTACAGATTTGAAAAATCAATCCACCATTCTTACTTGAATTTTCTTGTTTTGGCAACCAATTATTGTAAAAAGCAGAATGCAGTATATAGATGCGCTAGGAAATGTTTATAGAAAAGACAGCAGCATAAATAGGTGGGTGGGCATAGAGCACATGCATATTTTGAAGGAGAAGCCAAAATTGGAGCATGGAAATTCAATCTACAACTATGAATTTTGTGAAAATCTTCCTGTTTCAGCAATTGCTCTAAATCAAACCGATTCATTGGCTGTTTTAGACAGCTTAGATAAAGAAACATCTATGTATGTATTGGACACACTCTTAAGCAATCGAGCGTACATTCCAGACCATAAAATACTGCAGTGCATTTCAAAGGAGGCCATTCTAGAATGCTCCCATAAAATAGGAGGCAGCACTATTATAGAAGAGCTTTCTAATAGAATAAAAGAAAAAAAGGAGTGCATAGACACGCATGTGGGTGAACTAGTGGAAAAGGCGGTGAGGGTAGGCATGGTGCTAAATAATGATGAATATGCATACAGAACAGTGCAATTTCTGGGTATATCAAAATATCTGCCCAAATATAATTACATGATGCACTCAAGACACATAGTGCCAGTAATAGAATATGAAAAAATAATAAGATATATAAAGAAGCACCCGCTGAGTATATACTGCACAGTAACAAAAGGTCTAAAGAGCCCCATTGATGCCTCCAGACTAGAGTGCAGAATACCGCAAGACACTGGCACTAAATTATATAAAGAGGGCAGGCACGCAGAAGTTCAGAAAGAGATTGATAGCATAATCGGCCTGCCTATTTCTGTTATTGAATCTGTGTTTAGCAAATGCAGGCAGAAGAGGAGAAAAGAGATTATCCAGACAATAAATAGCACAGCATGCGATGTTGGGCTTAAAAGCTGTAGAGACGCCTTTTACGCGGAGGCATTCAAAGGCTCCAGAGCAGCAGAAGAGTCTGTGCATCTAGAAATAAATCTAGAGAAGGAGTATGCCCGCCTAGAAGAAGAAAGAAGGATATTAAGTGACACAGAAGAGGGAGAAATAAAGTAGAATATTTACAGACATGTATAGACTATCTGCAATGTTATGTATGGTTAATAAGAAAGTGTTGTTAGCGCCATTTGTTTGCTGCAGGAGCAGGACATTAGAAGAAATATGGCAAGTATATGAAATAAGATAACTTAAGTTTATTATGCGGATGCTCTCTTAGTTTTGAATCCTTCACTTCTGCTGGTAAGTAATCCTTTCTCCTTCATCATTGCGAAGTATTTGGCCTTTCTTTCTCTTCCAAGCTTCTGTCTTTCAATTCTTGCAGCAATTCTTTCTTGCCATCTCTGTATGTGCTTCTCAGTGATCAGCCTCTGGATCTTTGGCTTTACGACTTTAGTCTCACCACTCTTGGTTGTCTTTGTGTGGGGAATGACGTAGTCTTCCAAGTTCATTACATCGCTGCTAAGGCCAAATAGTTTTCTGATCTTTGAGGCTCTCTTTGGTCCTCTTGCCAGTGGGTTGACAATGTCATTGAATCCCTCGAATACGTGGCTGCCCTCCTTGACTACTTTCAAGTTCAGCACACCAATGTGCTCAGAGACCACATCACCTCTTACACTCTTTCTTCTTCTGAGGCCGTTGTCAGTGCATCTGAATCCAGTGTCTCCCTTTTTAAGAAGTAATCTTACTCTGTCTGGAGTCATGACACCGGGCTTCATTGGGAATCCTTGCTTGTCGGTTCCACCGGTTAACTGTAACAAAAATCCGGACCACTCTGGGGCAATTAACTCTCCCTCAATAACATCCATAATTCTCTTCTCATATAATGCTGATTCTACATTGTGCTCTATTTCTATAACCTTTTGTGTGGTTCTTTCTGGATTTGCAATGCTAAGTTTCATACAGGGACCAAAAAAATAAAAGAAATAATATTTTCAAAGCAGAAAAGAAATGAACTAACTGAAAAAACATAATACACCACAAAAAATACATGCGCGCACCAATACAATCTGTTTGTATGCATCGGCACAGCGAAATGAATGGGGCTATTGGTGCTAGATATGCACAGCAAATTAAAATATAGCTGTATTTATCCAACAAAGAAGCCGAATCTTAATGGAAAGGCAGGAAAGAGCAAGAAAGGCTAGTTTTATATATGCATATGGCTATTTGAAAGTAAGATGAATCAAGTAATATGAAAAAACTGCATTGCATGCTCAGATTTTTATTTTCTTTTCTGCTGATAGTGTGCTAAGAGAACGTCAGTTGATGGGTCAAACTCTGAAGCAGGCTGTTTTTTTTCTACTTTAGCAAGTATTTCTTTTGCTAATACCTTTCCTAACTCTACACCAAACTGGTCATACGAGTTAATGTCCCACACTTTTCCTTGAACAAATATCTTGTGCTCGTACAGCGCAATCAGCATGCCAAGTGTGTGCGAGGTGAGATGGCTGTACATAATTGTAATGGATGGTCTGTTTCCACTGAAGTACCTATCGCCCTCTGTCTCTTTTCCTAGCATAAGTGCTCTAGACTGTGCTAGGCAGTTGGAGACAAGCACATCGTGCGCAGTGGACATTCCCTTGCTGCCCTCTGTGTTTTTTCTTTCTGTTTCTACTCGTGGGTTAATAGGGACTAAAAACTCTAAAAGTGTTCTGACTGTTCCCTGGTGCAGCAGCTGGAAGTACGAGTGCTGCGAGTCTGTACCAACAGTCCCCCATATAACAGGTGCAGTCTGCATGGCAGGCCCCTTTTCAGTGAAATCTTCAGAGATAAGGCGCTCTCCGGCCTTTGTAACAGACTTTCCATTGCTTTCCATTTCACACTGTTGCAAGTATGCTGGGAAGAGCTTCATATAGTAGTCGTATGGGACTATACACTTGTTGTCGTACCCGTATTCATTTATGTATTTGCACTCCACCATTGCATGCAGCATAGGAATATTCTCTGTAATGGGAGTGTTTAAAAAGTGTGTATCTATCTCAGAAGCACCTTGCAAAAGCTCTAAAAAGGCAGCAAAGCCCATGCTCATTGCAGAGGTAAGCCCAACGCAACTCCAGAGGGAATATCTCCCTCCTACATAATCCCACATATCCAGAACATTGCAATCTTCAATTCCAAAGGAAACTGCCTTGTCCTTTGCAGCAGACACTGCCAAGAAGTGAGATTTTATGATTTCTTTGTCTGTGTGGCCAGATGGATAGCTAGAAATAAGAGTGGAAACAGCAACTTTGGCATTTTCCAGCGTTTCCTGTGTGGTGAATGTTTTTGAGACTACAACAAAAACAGTCTCCTCTAGAGATATATCCATAAGAGCTGCATGTATTTCTTGCGAGTCTACATTTGAAACATACCTAAACTGCTTTCCTACATTTGCAGAGGCAGGTGGAATTGCAGATGTAAGAAGGCGGGGCCCTAGATCACTTCCCCCTATTCCTATTCCAATTACATTCTTAATTGTCTTTCCAGAGGCGCCCTTCATGCTGCCATTCTCAAAGTTGTTGCATATAACCTGCATTTTCTCTAATTCCATAACTATTTCTCTCTCTTCCTTTTCCAGGCCATCTGTGGTTCCTGTGCGCATTGCTTGAATCACATTGACAGAGCGCAGCTTTACATGAAGAACCTGTCTGTCTTCTGTATAGTTTATTTTTTTACCCGAGAACATCTCCTTTACCTTGCCTTCGATGTCTATTTTCTCCAGCTTTTCCTGCCACTTTTTGAAGTCGCTGTCATCAATGTGTGTTTTAGAGTAGTCAATGAGAATGCTTTCATTTTTGCTTTCTATAATTTTTACTAGCTTTGCAATCCTTGCATTGTCTGTGAACAAGGATTTAATTTCCTTCATACCACCTAAAAGAAGAAACTATTTATATGTAAGCGAATCTATTACTGTTTTAGATTCTACCAATTACATCTGACACACCTTCAATCAGTTACTACCCATAAATAGAATTGCAGAGGAGTAACCAATCAATAGCCCGAAACATTCCACCATAGACCATTCTAAATATAGTGATGGCCTTTTCACATTCTAATGTCTAGCGATGCAGGATCTTCTAGGCATATAAACCCAAAAACAAAAACATGCATATTTGGAGAGCTTTGCACTTATCCTCTAAATATAGATTTCTTGGCCATAATAAAATTCAAATCATGCAGCTTTCTTGTTTTTATACAATTTCAGTTATAAAGTCTTTTGTCTCTCTAAAATAGTTATTCTTTTAATATATATCTAACTTTATTTCTTACTCATTTGAGCAACTGTACGATTATTCTTATCTGGTTAGCATTTGCAGTGCCTAAATATTGCATTTCGGATTGCCCTGTAGGAAAAGACAGACAGATCAAGCTGCTCCCAATCCTCTTCCCGCAGAAGCTTAAGCTCTCCAACGGTTCTTATATCCTGGCACTTTACCTTCTGTAGCCAGACGTTAAACATCTCTGGTCTTCCGTGGTTGTGCGCAGTTTCCATAAAAAGATCCTCTACGGTGCTTTCATTTGCATACTCCTTCATGCTTTCATCTATCCCTAGCATTTTCTCTTTGAATAGAGTGTATGCCTTCCCATAGAGAACATTCTTCATGGCCCTAGAAGCAAAAACTGGCAGCCCCAACATCTCCCAGTCCTCTTCTGTAAGCATCCGTAAGTCTCCTACTGTTTTTATATCTTGTTTTTTTAGAAGGCTTATCCATCCCTCTGCTATGCTTTTTGCTCTTTTTGCAGACACTGCCACCTCAAAGACAAACTCGCTTATGGGCAGTGTGCTCTTAAAGTCCTTTATATAGCCGTCTCCGCTGTCCTCAGACCCTTCAGTTGGTGTCAATGCCCATGCAGATCCCGCCTCTGATCCTTCTTTCTCTTTGTTTAATTTATCTGTTTCCTCGCCTGTCTGCGGAGTGCTTGGTATGCTGCTATGCCCATCACCAGAAGTCTTTTCTTCTTTATTCTCCTCTTCTTCTCCTGTTTCGCCTATTTTAATGATTAAATTCTCCATGTGAGCCTTTATTAGCTCTATTTCGCCTTCCTCGGCCAGTCCCTCGTCTTCCATCTCCTTCACCACACTTTCTACTGTATCTGCATTTTTATTGAAGAAGAAAGAGACTTTCTTGCTGCTTCTGAAAAAGTGCATCTGGAATGCAAACTTGGTCTGGTCAAGAGTTGATGCCTTTACAGAAACACCGCCATCAGAGTCGTATATTTCCTCTGTTTTCTTCTGCAACTGATCAAGTCCTCTGTCGCTGTAGTACATTTCTTCAATTCCTTCTCCATCTAAATAGTCCTCTTCATCGCAGCGACACGGTTCAATTTCTTGCTCCTCCTCTGGGTAGAAAAAGTGCATGGCAAGAGTTTCCTCTAGAAGATGCGGAGTGTACTTACTGCCCAGTAAAGAAAGCACCACTTCCTTAAAGCAAGGCATGCTTATCTTCACAACCTGTGCAAGCACTTTATACTGCATCTCTTCACTCTCCATATCTGCATCTGAAAGCATTGTGAAGTCGCTTAGCACTTCTCCAGTCCCCAGAGAAAGAAGACTTATTCCTAACTCGCGCGTTCTTTCATCATCAGTCTGCGCCTCTGAGACACAATCCTCAATAATATCTCTCCAAATCGAGTCGCTGTGTATATATAGCTTCCCATCTTCTGAGATTGTTATGCTGTCCATGGCGACTCTATTTTTTATTTGGTCTTTTTCCAATTCTATAACTGCCACAAGAATTTTTCTGGATATACTGCATAGGAAGGGAGTGGGAAGTGCTTCACTTGGTTTATTTGAAAATAACAAAGGAAGCAACTTCTCTCCCCGCGGCTCTGTGATAATTGTAAGAATGCCTTTGTCCTCCCAAACTGCAATGATATTTGGCAAGTACTCTTTGTCTATAATACACTTGTTCTGTACTAGCCGATCAGTGCTTTCTTTTTGCGCATGTATCTCTATATAATCTATCCTTTTAAATGTTTCTGAATCTACTCCATTGTATATTTGAGTGTTCTTTGCGCTTCTCACTTTGTTTCCTTTGATCCATCTTCCAGTGTTTTTAAGCATTTCTAGATCGGCCTCCTTATTAATCCCTTCTCTTTTATCCATTTCTTTTTCTGTTGTTGCTCCGCGCAGCATTGTGTAAAAATAAACTTTTGTAAATGTCTTTTGTGTTTTATGATTTATGTAATGGAAATAAAATAAACTACAAAACATACACAAAACGTTCTAATAACAAGAAGGCGTGATCAGTAAATATGTTTTGGAGCTCTATCCAGCGCAGAGCAAGTGATACGATGCTTCTAGGCATGGGCATAGCAATAAATGGATGGTTCTGTATATATACTTGGTAGATCGCCATCGGATATAATACATATATAATTATATCTGATGAATATATTTATAATAAAATACTTCTGAATAGGTTTATCTAAATACTTGTAAGAAAATAAACTACACATAAAAATAAATATTATGTAAAAATAGAATGCTAATTGGTTTTCGTAGATGTTTATTTAAGTTTAAAATACCCTAAGCTCCTTTTTGCAGAATGAACACTTTCTTTAAAGTCTTATTCTTTCTGTATAACTATTTCAGAAATCTGTTCTTCAAGCTTTCTTATGATTTCTTCGTCTGATACGGTCTTTTCCTTCTCCTCGGATGAGAAAACTAGCTCATCATCTTCTTCTTCGAACTCTATTTCACATGTTGTTATTTCTGCCTCTTTTTTAATTTGTGATATTTCATCCTTTCCTATTTCATTTCCTGTTAGAATAAACTTCGTATGGCATATTTTTTTTATAATTGCTCGGATACTATCCAGTGACTCTTCTGTAATATCGTTATATGACATATCGATCTCTTTCTCTGAAACAAGCTCCCCCTGTATGTATATGTGCTCGGGAAGTGCACTGGCAAGTACTTCCACTCCTTTGTCTGACATCATGCAGTCCGCTATATTCAAATACTCAATTGGCCAAGATTTCATTGCCTGCGACAGTACAGTAGAGCCGTACTCTAATAAAAAGTTGTCTGATATGTCCAAAATACGCATGTTTAACGTGCTTAGAGAAGTCAGAAGGTTTCCTGTGTTTATGCTGTTGATGCTGTTCTGATATATCTTCAGTGCATCAAAGCAAGGGAAAAGGGATAAAGCCTTTCCTAGCTTAGTGGCAGATTCTTCCAGGCGGTTTCTACCCACCTCTAAAGACTCCAATACTTTACTTTCTTTAGACAGATTCTCCAATGCCTGGGACAAGAACTCTCCTCCATCTATTCCTATCCCGTTATTATTCATTACTAGATGCTTTAATAAATGCATTTTTTCTATCATCGGGGAAAGTATTTCCATTCCGTGTAGCGACAATGCATTATCTGAAATGTCAAAGTATACTATTTTCTTTAGTGGAGTAAGATACTTTACAATGCTTTGTAAACTGGGATAGACCTGCTCCTTTACTCTCTGTGTAAAAATACCTTTGAATATTACTATTTCCATCTCTTCTATTTTTGATAGCTCAATAAGCACGGCCTCTAATGCATCGGGTGAGAATGAGTTTTCACTTAAGTCTATCCCCTTAAGAGTCTCTGCCGACTTTTTTATTCTTTCAACCAAACCATGCACATCCTCTGCTGTATTATACATCTTCTTCTCCTCTGCTATACTTATAATTTGCATATTCAAATTTTTCTATTACGCTATATTTATCTTGTTTAGGGCAATAAAAGAAACTCATAATACGCAACAGTAAACAAACACAACCCTAACTTTCTTACTATAACCATTGCACATGTTTGTGTGTAACCCGAATTAACCCAAATATATCCCTGGAAATTCACTCCACCAATTATTTTATATGTAAATAAAGAAGGCACTCTCTATGAATAATTATAGTTTACTTTTAAATGCAAAGCTTCCAGTACTATAGCTTAATTACTAATGTTTATACTACATTGTACTTTATTTATAATTTAGTTCCCATCCGCTGCTATGTAATATACCTCTTTGCTTGCATCTGCTGGTATTTCTCCTATGTCTATCTCTCTGTCTTTTATGCATTTTTTTTCTGTCCACAGCTCAGAATACTTCAGTTTTATTAAATCTGCTGTTTCTTTCTTTGAATACATCTTCACATTTCTTCTTATATCTTTGTACAACTTTTCATATAATTCTGCTCTCTTCCTTGCTTTTCTGCTCATTTATTTTTTACAGGAATATGTTTATATTTGATAAAATGTCCGGGTAATAATAAAGGAAAGTGCATTTTGAATTAATTAACTTTCCAGAAAGCATAATGTATATGTTTTTTGCATCGATTTTACTTTCTATTTTTAGATAAGCGCGGTTCTCTCTGGATACAGCCTTTTCTACTGAATACTCATGGAAATAGTTGAGAAGTGTTTCTTCTGTTTCTTGTATGTTTATAATACAAAGTGTGTGGGAAACAGCTTTGGATAAAAACAGCTCGCATGGGAAATAAGCAGGCCTGTTGTCAAGAGACAGCCTGTATATATCATCACTAAGTAAAGGAAGCATGTCCTTTGGCAATGATTCTATCAGCGAAGATATCCATGGAAATGACACTATTATGATATACCACTTGAGCAGATGTTTATGCTTGCTTAATGAGTGTATTTCTGGAAAACAATCATTTAAGTATTTTACTGTGGCAATTATTTCAGAATTGTCAATTGGTCCAATTATTTTTGTGTATAAGAGTGGAGCCATTTTATTCTCTTCATCTGGTGGGGATAGCTCGTCCTGCAACTTAAAGTAAGTTATGTGTGATATTTCTTCTATGGAATATTTTCTGTGGGATGATTCACTCGCACTTCCGGTAAAGAATGCATTTACATTTGCTTTATATATTTTTAGTAAATCTTCTGGTGCCTTCATTTAATGAGTACTCATGGAAAAGAAATAACAAAGTATAAGGACAAAGTATTAAACGTGCTTGAGAAATTAGTAGAAAAGGAAAAAGTTTATTCAAAAGTATCTGGTGTTACTTTTAGGTTCATCCGGTATAAGAGAGCACTGAAAGAGTGTCTTATTCATGAGGGAAGCATGGAGAGTTCGGCAGATCTTGTTAATGTCAAGCACATAGGAAAGAGTATAGCAAGTGAAATTGTTAAAGAAATAGAAAAATATGAGAGTTCTTGTGAAAGCCCAGCGAACAACTGCAAGGAAGAAAATGAAGAGGAGAAGGAGGAACTAATTATTATATCAGATAACTCTAGTGTTTTTGAAGAAACTGCAAATCTATTGCAGAAAAGACAGACTCTAGCTCAAAATGAAAATAATGTGAGTGACAGTATATTTACTTCTAAAAAAGCAGAAGTATCGAATGAAATAATTAGTAAATATGCACAGAATGGAGAAGGGCCGAAGATACGGGAGAAGAAAGTTGGGTATGTATTTACAGTTAAAAACAAGAATATGCAGATTAAAACTCCTGTTCCATTTACACTAGGCCATCTCATTCTTGATGGGTTGACTGGTGAGGATACACATAATAAATCAATTGATATTGGGTCATTGCGGTATGTGTGCTTGGAGAGGGCAAGAAAGTACAGTTTGTTATATGGCAGCAGAGCACTATTTGAATCCACTGAGAAAAGAATAAAACACTTTTCAAAGATACTTTTAAGGCACGGCCTTATAGAAGACCACCAAAACAGCATTTCTATAACCGAAATGGGAAAGAGCGCAGCAAGGCTTCTATCAAGCACATGTAGATCTTATAATAAAGGAATTAATGGCATCTTGGGCAGCAGATACATAGAGAACCCAAGCGATGTTCAAGATGGGACTCAGATAGATTTAGAGTCAGCAGATATTCAGCCTATGCTATTGATTGACATAAGAGAAAAGAAGACACGAGAAGACCCGTACTTCTTTCATTTTTTTCTATCACATGCAGGTGTTAATACAGAGACTAGAGTCTTGTCTATTGGGGATTTTCTTTGGTCGTACGTAAAAAACATGCAAGAATACTACTGCAATCTATTAATAGAAAGAAAGACTATTCGTGATCTACTCCAGTCTGTGCGGGATGGAAGGTATAGAGAACAAAAAGAACGATTGCTAAGCCTGCCCGGCAACAAAATGTATTGTATAGAAGGGAACTACCCTATGGAGAAATCTGTTGTTAAAATGATGTACACTGTAGCTTATGGGCTAATCTCAAGCGGTTTTATAGTTGTTAACCCATGGAAGGTTGAAGAGACTCTTTTTATAATAGAAAAAGCACACAGAATTGTAACAAATAAAGTAAACAAGAGGGACGTTCTGCCCGAATACAGCAGCGATGGAAATGCGACAAAAAAAGATGAAAACGGGGGTTTACTTGAAAATTTATTAACGAATCTTCATAGAAAAAAGCTTACTGACTACACAGAAATTGAGCAATCATTAATTATCCTGCAGTCTATAAAAGGGGTTTCTTATAACACCGCTAGTACCATAGTTTCTAAAATAGGAAGGCTTTCTGTGCTGATTAAAAAAGGCACAGACCGGCAGTCTCTTCTAGAAGAGTTGGCTTGCCTGCCTACGACAAAAAAAAACAGAACTCTTGGGACAAAAAAAGCCCACTCTATTCTTATGTCTCTTGGCTTATAATGATAGAAGAAAAATCTGTGGACTATTCTCCAAAAAAAACTCAAGAAGATCCTTTAGCTTTTCCATGATTTCTTTGAAGTTTGCATCAACAATGTTGCACTCTTCGTCTATAAAGAATATTGGAGCAAAGACCACTGAAATATTTTTAAATTTCAGCTTGCTGTTCTCCATTGTAATCAATGAATAAAGAAAATTGCACGTTACTTCAAGAAGCTCTTGTTTTTGTGTGGGGACAGCAAATGCTAGTATGAACTTGCACAGCTGTATTTTAGTTTCCTTGCAGCTGACATTTCCTATTTTTATGTACTCATTGATGTATTTGGTTGAAAAGAATGGGTTCTTTGTTTTAAGGATCATTTTGTAAACAGAAGCAATGGTTTCTACATCAAACTCCTTTAAGTTGTATGAAATAATCTTAATAATTTCCTGGTTCTTCTTTTCTTTCTCCTCTGGGCATTTTTCAGAGTTTGGGGATAATGTAGTAAATGTTATGTTGTTTAGATTATGCCAAAGCTGCTTGACTTCTTTTACAGATGCACTTTGTCTGAATAGCTCTGGGTGCTTTTTTAGATCTACTATATCAATTACCTTCATCAGTGCTTCCAAATCAGCAGTTACTTGAAGAGTTTTTGTGCAAAATCGATAGTGTGTTGTTACTGGCTTTATTGTAGAATCAGGATTTATGCCGTTTCCTTGGATTAGTTTTATTACTATTTGCAGAATTTTATATATTGTGCTACTTATCTTCCTTTTTCGTATATTTCTATCTATTACACTCTCAGCTACTATCTCATTTAATACATCCGCGCGAAAAAACTCAACGTATAGTGCTCCGTTGCTTTCTATCAAAGTTTTTTTGTACTCATTTGCTTCTGCTGGCAATAACGAGTTTAAAGTGTGCTGTTCGCTCTGTCTTTCCATATCCATATTTGTTTTATATTATTTGTGGTTAAATGTTTCATTCTCAACATAACCCATTCTTTCTATCCTGTTCTAATAAAGCATCCTCTAGTAGGTCCTTAAGCCTTCTTTTGTGATCCCTTGACTTTCGGTGCTTATCAAGCGTGTTGGCCTCCATTACTCTATCGCATTCTATACACCGTGCGTGCTTGGGGTTTTCTATTGGCTCGCTGATGTTTTCCTCCACTCTTTTTCGTATTTCGTCATAGTCCTTTGCTCTGTTTCTCAGCTTGCATCCTATGCTGGTTGTTCTATGCGTTGACCTTTTGTTGTTTGTTGTCTTTGACGGTTTTCTTTGCGCCATTGTAAAATTATTTTATGCAAGTGTATGTGCTAAATATACTCTCGGGTGAAAACCACTCAGTAGTTCTCCAGTGTGTAGAAAAGAGCACAGGAAACTGTTTAAACGTACACATAACCGATGTAGTTAATGAAGTGACTGCTGCGCCTATTTCAGAGCGGGCGATTACCATGGATAGGCTTGAAGAAGAGGTTCTTACAACCTATAAAAATAGCCTTGTTCCAATTGTTGGAGAAAAGCTAAGCCAATGGGAGAATCGAACCGTGTGCTATGATAGTCGAAACCCGAAAGAAATGGGGCAGTCCAAAAGCGGCTTATTTTTCATCTTTTATACGACAAGGCCAGATCTTTAGCTAAACTAGAAAACTCTTTTGATATTACAAAAGAATTCTCTAGTCCAATGGAGGCCTTCATTCTTCTGAAGAAGATAAAGGGGCCTACTCTTATGCACATTAATAGAATAGATGGTGAAGTGGTACGAATGCAAGACATCAACACGGTCTCTTATGGCACTCCTCCGATTCGAATAGCCTATCTTTACTTTTTGCAGCGAAATATGTTTGAAACTGTGTCTATTTGTATTTATAAGTCGACAACTGCCGAGCCAATAAATAATCCAGATGAAAATCACAAAATACGCACTGAAACAATACATGTTAAAAAACAGAAATTAGATCATGCTGAATGCACAGAGAGCAGTGAATTTGTTAAGTGCCCAGAGTCTTCTATGCTATGTGATGCATGGACCTTTACAACTCTAGAAAGTCCGTTTTCTTCTGACAGCCTACTCACTAGCAATATAACTAGGTGTATAGACTCTGAGGCAGTTATTTCTAGAGTTGGAAGATTTCTTAATGAGTCCAATGCCAATATGATTGTTTGCTATAATGCAGACACTAGCCTAATTAGAGAAAAGCTGCTAGGTCGGAAAGACTCCTATAACTTTCTTGCAGCATTCTCTCCCATTTGTGATAAAATCAGTCTTATTTGTGATATTTCCCAATACTTTGAGTCTGTATGCAGGCTTACTGAATATACTTTAGAGGAAATGTGCAAAAGCTATTCTCTTGAGCATGCAGACATTCCTGTTTGTGGTAGCGCAGACTCTCTTCAGATGGTTTACAGTGCCATTCGAAATGGGCATGCATCAGACAGCGTTCTTGTGCAGCTTAACACTGCAAGAGTATCTGCTGCAACAATGCATGCAATTTTTACTAAAGGGAATCTGCTTGCTCTTGCAGAAAAGCTAGCTTACATTACAGGAGCGCTTCTTAACCCGATTTTTCATGGATATAAGTCTGACAGGGTAGAATATCTGCTTCTGCACCGGATGCGAGACAATCAGTATCTTATACCTAGAAAATCACTGGGAGGAAAGATATCTGACAAGGACACATATGAAGGAGGATATGTGTTTTTAGATAAACCAGGCGTCTACTCGGAAAGGTATATTGCTCTTTTTGATTTCAACTCGCTGTATCCTTCGATTATACAAGAATACAATGTGTGCTTTAGTACTTCGCACTGTTTAAAGATGGACAATACTAAAGAGTCCACTCCGTCCCTTCTTCCGGGTGCGCTCAGAGACCTTGTTACACAGCGATCTGAGATAAAAAGGCAAATGAAATCTGGAGCAGGAAACACCCAGCTATTGGAAATTGAGCAGCGGGCAGTTAAGCTTGTTGCCAATTGTATATATGGGTGTCTTGGATTCAAGGGGTTTAGGTTTTACAATAAAACTATGGCTGCCTTTATCACAGAATGTGGCCGAACCATTCTTAAAGACACGAAGGCTACTCTAGAGTCTAAAGGTCTTCAAGTCATATATGGAGACACAGATTCTGTCATGGTTGACACGGGAATAAAAATCACGGACCCCTCTCCATCTTTAGAGACTCTATCTGGCATATCAGAATTAATCAGCTGCAAATACAATAACATCAAGCTGGGATTTGAAAAGACATTTTCAAAGCTTGTTATGATGGCGAAAAAGAAGTATTTTGGTATATATTGCTTGAATGGGGCAGATGTTATAGAAGAAAAGGGGCTGGAGACTGGTCGCCGAGATTGGTGCCTAGTTGCTAGAGAAACAATCAGTGCTGTCATGCGGATTCTTTTATTCTCTCCTATGCCGGAAGAGGAAATACTTCGAATGCTATCCAGCTTAAAAGAAAGTATGAAATCCCGTGATAAAGAAAGCTATTTAATTCGAAAGAAGATACAGAAGAATCCTGAAAGCTATAATGCAGTGCAAACAACATCCCTACAACAAGTTTGTCTTGCGCTTCGGCTTAAGCAAGAAAGAGGTTTAACATTCCACGGTGGAGACATCATCTCATTTGTAATCGCACTGCATAATGGAATATCCCGCCCTGAGCTGGTTTCAGAAAGAAGTGAAATCCACTATGATTACTACATGAAATTGCAGGTGTTCCCACCCCTCCAAAGAATGCTGGAGCATTTTTCTTCTATATCTATAGAGAACATCCAGAAAGTGCTTGGTTTGTACACCTCGCATAATAAACCCGTGCAGAAGGCTCAATACAGCAATGTATCACCAGAAACAAAAGATGCTCTGAGTATTCTTTCTCCTTGCTGTAGCCACCGACAGGATATGGCCTCTAGCTGTGCTGCCTGTGGAAGTTCTTATACTCCCACACAAATGAAAAAGCTTCTTAGAACCATAATATATAAACAGAGCATAAAGCTGTATGCAGTAAAAAGATGGTGCTTTAAGTGCTGCCAAGTTGAGGAGTACAGCCCAAACTGCCTAAAATGTCTTCTTCCAATCGAGTGGAAAGAAACTTCACCAGAGAATTTCCATGCATTTTTATATAAGCTACAAGAAATGTTTTTTGGTACACCATATGAGCAGTCCATTACAGATATTTTATCTATTTCCAACTACTTATCCATTGACATTAGCAAGTTCCCACTAAACTGGTTTTCAGGCAATCTGTACATTCCTTCAATGATTAACAGAAGAAACATCCTCGATAAACTCTTCCTGTGATATATTTAAGGTATTTATGTTCAGCCAGTTGGTCTATTATGCTATTACAAGTTTACATTTAAGATTAAATAATTGAATTCCAGGTTATTTTATATTTCTGATTATATCATAGTTTAATTTTTACTTTCTCTCGTTTATATACTGTAATTCTTTTTTAATTTTAGAATAAAACTAAAAATGTGTTTATATTTTGTGAACTATGCATGATCTATTAAAATAAAATATTATTTATGCCTTACATTTTATAATTTTTTATTGTGTGTACACTCCTTATGTTTATTACTTTAACATATGAATAATACTTCTAAATAAAAAGATTTCGTTTTATTTAATGCAGAATAAACACATATAAATAAGTAAACCATCTATAATAATTGGAATAGAGAAAACGAAATCAACCCCATATCATTGATTATATTTTGTCTAACTGGCTGGAAAACCATAAACACTGGGGCTTTATTGCCCGGTTCGGCGAATAGTAGGGATCTTAGCTCCAAACATGCTATTCTACTATTTGTTTTATAAAAAAAGACTGGGCTAATGAATTTGTTAAATACATTGCTGTAAATACTTGTGAAATATCCATTGCTGTTTCTTGATTTAACAGAGTATATGAGGGCCCGGTGGTTGTTCTGATCTTCTAGTCGATAGGCAACCATTGGCTGCATGGTTGCGTCTATGATTATAGAATAGTATTCATTTTTCATAACTTTTCTTGAGTAAAACTCAACATATGAATCTTCATGCGATTTACCATAACATATATATTTATGCGTATGTGTAGCAATGAGATGGTCAACATCGCAGCGAATTTTAGATTCATCCCGCGCGCAATCGATATATAGATGCTGATAGAAAGTCAGTAATTTGTTTGAGGAGTTAAATGCATACACATATGGGCATGTTTTTTTGACACTGTCTAATCTATTAATTGGCATGGGGGGTTCTTCTGATATGTTGTTTTGGTATGAATGGCCACTCATCTTTAGCATAGATACATAAAACTTATTTAAAAACAGTGGAAGTGGTATTATGTTTTTGTCAACCTCTCCATTCTCTTTAGTAGCCTTCTGGATTTTGAACTCTACAAACATAAGGTCGTTCACTTCTCTTGGGTTTAGTGTTTCTGGTATATAATAGAAAACAATGATTTTTGAATTGGATTTGTATTTTATCTCATAAAATGTTGGATATTCTATATAATCCCAGCAGCTGTCTTCCATGCAATAACGGAAAGCATGTATAAGTTTATAATCTATATCATAGACCTTTGAAATGTGCATAATTATGTGCTCTGCCGAAATATTTATATAGCCATCTGGAATGTATACTGGTCTGCGCGTATGATGCAGGTTGTCTACAAAGTATACTAAGAAGTATTGATTGGCTGGCACATACTTTATCGTCAAGGGAGAAGATTCTATAGTGCTATATTTTCCGGCGGTAGGTAATTTCATTTTATCAATGGATTTTTTAATTCTACAGAGCTCATATCTATTCTGCCGGATAACTCTTTTTCCCCACAGTTCTTTTCCATTATATAAAAGTGGTGAAAACTCATATGCAATGCAGAGAATGTTGTATATATCATTGTATATTCTTGCATGCGTGGCCATTTTCATAGTTGCATTTACATTAACCAGGCTATAGACGAAAAAAAACTTCCGCATGTGTAGTAAAGTTATAAAAATAAGATTTTCTTGTGACACATTACCAATATGCACATCATATGGGTCTACAAAGCGGCATAACAAGCCAATTAAAGACTGTATAAGAAGAATCATATTTTTTATATGAACCTTTATAGCAGGCATATTATTTAATTTCATTGCTGTAATCATTGCATTTAAACGTGATGGATTTCTTTGCATATTATAAATTATACTATCTAAAAGCTCTGTACTAAAAACGAATCTTAAATCATGCACCACCTCAGGAATGCTAAATATAGAATACAGCGCATGGAACAGAACAGACAACTCAGTTTTAAACAGCGGCGAATTATTGTAAATTTCTTGTAAACCAACTGACTCAAACTGATTAATAGAAAATTCAAATTCTTGTGATCTTTCCATATCTTTGATAAATACATCGATTTCAAAATGTTCAAACCAGTTTAAATCAAAATCGTATCTACAAATATCATCACTGTACTTCCAAAGATTCACCAATACATCCCCTGATGTATACTCGGGTATTTGTTGGTTTCTTTTATATTCCTCCGTCTCACTTCTTTCTTTATATGTTACTGGCGCATGCACAGACAAAAATGTTGAAAGTTGAATAAAAAAATCCCAGTCAAAATCTTTAATCTCAGATATATATGAATATATACATATACTGTCATCTTGGGCATCTTGGTAGCTGCGTGCTATTTCATTAATTAAAATCATACGCTCTTGAAATGACTTACCTAGCCCCACAGCAAATTTTAACATACTTTCATTTTTGTTGTTCAAATATGAGTTATACACAGCATTTCTTTTTTCATCTTCTGTTCTTAATAAGTCATTTAAGTATAAATATGTATTGAATTGCAGATTCTCTGCCAAGCGAATATCATTTTGAATGTCTAGTTTTTCTGCTTCAGACAGTATCTCTAGTTCGCTATTGTCACTATCAGTATTATTTAATATTCTCCTTTTTTTCAATATTTCAATATATCTGCCTCTTCGGATTTGTAAATCTTCATCGCATAATCCCATCCATTCTTCATTGCCTAATCCCGCCCATTCTTGATTGTCTATTTCCACCGATTCTTGATTGTCTAATCCCACCGATTCTTGATTGCCTAATTCCATCCTTTCTTGATTTCCTAATCCCACATTTACAGGTATTTCTTTAGTTTTTGTTACTATCCACCACATTAGAATAATATACAGTCCTATTAATGTTATCACTACCAAAAAGCACACTATTCGTAATATTTTTAAATTATTTACGTTTGGCATTAAGTTTTAAAAGTTATAAAAGAAATAATTATATATGTAATATAAATATGATTTATGTTTTACAGTATATTATAAAGTAACTAATCAAAATCTAAAGGATAAATAATTTTAATTTAAATGAATATTTATGATTGTTTCTGCGTATTAAATATGTTCCGTCATTATTACATGTTTAATTAACGCAATCAATCAACTGGATTGCAAGATTAATGGGGGCTCCATTAATTGATACAATAATATATGTGCTCATTGTTTTTTTAAGTATACCATCTACTATTATAGCAAATGGAGCAATGGTGAGTTCAAGCACCAGGAACGTATCGATAATATCATATCCTTCTTTCATTTCCTCTTGTGTAATGGTAGTAATGTTATTTGCCACTTTGCATAGAGATTTATTGTCTCTCTCAATCATCATTTCTTTGGTGTCTAGTGTGTAATCTGCTCTTGTTTGGAAGAATTTAATTATCTCAGTCTTTTGACTGCTGTCGTTAGATTCTGCAGATGCGGACTGCGCCTGTGCTGAGCTACCGGCTTGTTGCTGGCATTCTTCAGAAGATCCAGCGGCAGCAGCGCCTGCAGAAGCTGTGCTGCCTTGTGCAGCGGCGCTAGGACTGGCTGCTGCAGCATTTGAAGAATAGTTTGCAGCTCCATCAGAAGAAGATGCAACACTCGTGGATTGCGCATTGGCCATTTGTACATTGTTTTGGTTATTCTGTGTTATGTTAATTGTGTTGCTTGCGGCTGCTACTCTGCTAGGGTTGGCTTCTTCAGAGTGCATGCTAGAGGAATGCGCGTTATTGTAGCTTTCTGACCCTGCTGCATGCATTGATTGACTTTCCATCTGGCCACTGTTCATTGCAAATTGTTCTCTAGTAGCTACCTCTTTGCTTGCTGCTGAGTGTGAGTAGCTATGGTTAAATGAGCTTGAGCCAGAATTGCTTTCTCTGTATGCATGTCCGCCCTGTGAAATTGATTCTCTTGCCCCTGCCCCTGTTTTTGATTGGTGCATAGCGCTGGAGCTTGATTGACGCGCCTTTAATGAACTCGAAGAGGACTTTGAATATGATTCTTTAGTAGATTGAGCAGTAGGAGTTTGTGTTGACTTTGTTGTTTTTGATAAGTGGGATTTTGCAGACTGTGATTTTTCTGATGTTTTGCTAGTTGAAGAGGAGCTTTTTTGTGAATTTGCAGTTTTATTGTGATGGGATTCTTTACTAGATGAAGATGTAGATTTTGATGCAGCCTTGCTACTTTCAGACTTTGAAGATGATGTAGTGGCTTGGCCATTTCCACTAGTTTTTGATTCATGTGAAGAGCTGCTCTTAGACTTTGCGGCAGATTTGCTGCTTTCTGACTTTGAAGACATGGAGGTTTGACCATTTCCACTTGTACTAGAAGTAGCATGGTGTGAAGAGCTGTTTTTAGACTTTGACGCAGCCTTGCTGCTCTCGGATTTTGAAGATGATGCAGTAGCATGCCCATTTCCACTAGTTGTTGAATGTTGAGAAGAGCTGCTCTTTGAGCTTGATGCGGCCTTGCTACTTTCAGATTTTGAGCTAGACGTGCTGGCTTGTCCATTTCTACTAGCTGTTGATTGTTGGGATGAACTGCTTTTAGACTTTGAAGCAGCTTTGCTACTTTCAGACTTTGAGCTAGATGTGGTGGCTTGACCATTGCCATTTGTACTAGAAGTAGAATGATGCGAGGAGCTGCTCTTAGACTTTGATGCGGCCTTGCTGCTCTTAGACTTTGAGCTAGACGTGGTGGCTTGGCCGTTGCCACTAGTTGTCGATTGTTGTGAAGAACTGTTCTTTGAACTTGATGCGGCCTTGCTGCTCTCAGACTTTGAAGACATGGAGGTTTGACCATTTCCACTAGTTGTTGATTGTTGTGAAGAACTGTTCTTTGAACTTGATGCGGCCTTGCTACTTTCGGATTTTGAAGACATAGTAGTCTGCCCAGCTGCACCGGGAGTGGTAGTTGTCGATTGTTGGGATGATGAACTGTTCTTTGAACTTGATGCGGCCTTGCTACTTTCGGATTTTGAGCTAGACGTGGTGGCTTGGCCGTTGCCACTAGTTGTCGATTGTTGTGAAGAACTGTTCTTTGAACTTGATGCGGCCTTGCTACTTTCGGATTTTGAAGACATAGTAGCCTGCCCATTTCCACTAGTTGCTGATTGTTGATAAGAACTGTTCTTTGAGCTTGAAGCGGCCTTGCTGCTCTCAGATTTTGAAGACATAGTAGTCTGTCCAGTTGCACCAGGAGTGGTAGTTGTCGATTGTTGGGATGAACTGCTTTTTGAACTTGATGCGGCCTTGCTGCTCTCGGACTTTGAGGATGACATACTAGCTTGCCCAGCTGCTCCAGTGTTAGTTGTTGATTGCTGTGAAGCAGTATTCTTTGAACTTGAAGCAGATTTACTGCTCTCAGATTTTGAGCTAGAGGAAGCTGCTGCCTTCTGTTCAGTAGCTTTTGCTGCACTGCTTGATGCTTGAGATGCTGTTGTGGCTGCTGTATTTTTTTGAGATGCACTTGCAGATGAGGCAGCACTTGCAGTGTTTTGCTGTGTGGCCATTGATGATCTATTCTGGGATTGTGCATATCCATATTGTCCTCTTTGGGCATATGCACATCCATAGTTTTGAGATTGGTATGGACTATATGATCGCTGTTGTGAATAGCCACCATAATATCCTCTTTGTGCATATGCAGACTGTGCAGCGCTCTGCTGTCTGTTGCTTTGGGACGAAGATTGTGCAGTGCTTTGCTTATTAGCTTGTGCTGCACTAGCAGATGCATTAGTATTCGATGCTGCTTTTGCCTGAGTAGCCTGCGATGCAGCGGCCGCGCCTCCTGTTACACTAGAAGTTTTTTCACTTTTGTTGCTTTTACTATTACTACTTTCAGATGAAGAGCTACTAGAGCTTATAGGATTTCCATTCTGCGTGGTTGTAGAAGAATTTTGTGCAGATTGTGAATTCTTGCTGTTAGAGCTCTTAGCAGCACTTTCTTTTATATTTCCATTGTTATTGCTATAACTATTGTTATAGTTTGATGATTTTTCGTTGGATTTTGCAGACTGGCTTGAATCTGTTGTTAGCTTTCCATTATTGTTACTCATATTGATATTGCTTTTTTGACTAGAACTAGCGCTTTTGTTGCTGCCCGATGAGCTAGAATTTACAACAGCTCCATTTCTTGTCTCACAGTGGCTTTTAGAGCTACTGCTGCTGCTGCTAGAGCTAGAACTAGACGTTTGCGAGAAAGTTCCGCCGTTTGGAAGATTCTTAGGTGGTGCTGGAGCAGCAGCTGGTGGTGGTGAAGGTTTCTTGGCTGCAGGAGGTGCAGCCTGCGAAGGTGCCTTAGCTGCTGGCGGTGCAGCGGGCGGCGGACTTCCTGCAGGAGGTGCACCTTTTCCAGGGTTATTTTGCGGCGGTGCTTGATCAGCAGCCTTTAATATTGCTGTTTGTAATGCTAAAATATGTAGTAATGTGTGTATTAAGTATTTTACTATCTTCATATTCTTCCTGAATTGCTATTCTATATATATCTTTAAGCTTGGCTTAATGATAACCTTCCAGTATCAATTTTTTCTTTTCGGGTTTCAGATAGAAAAAGAGACCAATAGCAGGCTTTGACAGGTAACTGCATTTTTCTATGATATCCTGCATACTCCCCCCAAAAACCAGTAAGATTACTAAGAAAAATTCGTTAAAAATCAATTTCTTAGAATCTTTCGTTCTCTCTATATAGCATAGAAATACACTATATAGGAACTAATTATATCAGCACCTCAAGCCCCACACTGTCTGTATCTATAATAAGTTAGTGTAGACTCGTGTATATTTCCAAAAAACTTCATTGTCTCTACTATAATATGTAAGGCATAAATAATATTTTATTTTAATAAATCATGCATAGTTCACATAATATAGAAATAAATGCTATAAAAAGACTAATTAATGCATTGGCTATATTCTTTCTTTTTTCTTTTAGTAAAATATGCTAAGGAAAATTATATACAGTTAACTTGGTTTTTTAAAATGTTTCTAAACCTTAAATTGTACATATTTAAGTCTTTGTTTAATGTGCATTGTTTTATGTAGTATATATACTACATGTTCTATACCAATTGTGTGTGCAGAGTATTTTCTCCGTGTATATTATTATATGTTTCAATTTTGAAATCTTTTTTGCTGTTTAAACGAATTGTTCCTATGTTTTACTAAAATTTATAATTGTTTTGCTTTTACATTTTATGAATATTTTCTAAATTTCTAAAAATAAAAAAAGAAAGTCTTCGCTTCTATTTTCCATACTGTAATATATTGAAGAGAATTATAATTCTCATATTTTATTTAATTAAGAAAAGGCACTGCTCCATGCCCATATACACACAGTGCACATACCATTCATGGAAAATTAAAACCAGCCAATTTGATTTCTTAGAATTAGTCATTAGTAAACCTTAATGTTTATTGAATTCACAGTCATTTATATAGATAAGTTTTATATTTTTCTATATTTGAAAATTGGTTTGTAAATGTTGTTTTGTTCTTTCATTTATACATGAGTGTCTGCATACTGCCTGATTGTCCCATTTATACACAAAGTTGATCCAAATCTTAATATAATCCGAAATATTATAAAATATCAAGCTAGACTTAATTTTAATATATATTAGTATAGTAAGATGCCACATTTAAAATATAAATAAAAACCATTTAAACAAATATGAATGGCTTTGCAGGTAGAAGAAGCACTATTTCGCTTGAATGTTTTTAGATTCCTTGGATTCATATTCCTCTTCTTTTTTAGAGTATTTAGTTGATTTGGAAGAGGATTCTATGCGAGCAGGTTGATTAGAAGGAGATACCAATGGCATTTTGTTAGAATTTATTTTTGGTGCACTGTTATCCTGTGGAGTAGGGGATTTAACAGCTTTTTTATTGGCTGGTGCAGGTGTTGGAAGGGGTTTCTGGGGAATGGTGAGGTTTGGAGGGGTGGTCTTTTCTTCTTGTGGGTTAGAAATAACGCCAACTAGCAATGGTGTCTTTGTTTCTGGTGCACTGGGAGGAGGTTTCGGCATATTTTTTTGGTCTGGCTTTACATTATTTACTTCAACCTGGGCAACATTTACGTCAATAATTTCTACATCATCAGGGGGGACTGTTACAAAGAATGATTTAATCCATAAAAACACCCTTGAGAAACCACTAGATATACCCCTGAATATTCCTGTAAAAAAGCCTACTTTTGGAGGAGCTGGGTTATCCCCATCTACAGTTTGATGTATGTGATGTACCTCATTAGGCTGGTTAGAGCCATCTGTATTCATACTGACATTAGGTTCTTCTGGGCCAGGCTCATTGTTTGGAGATTGTGGCGGATCTGCCTGCTCTGGTTCTGGAGCATTTTGTGATTCTTCTGGTAGGTCTGCTTGCTCTGGTTCTGGCGGGCTTGTCTGATCTGGTGCAGTCTGCATTAGAGCAAGTATAGCGGGTTGTTCTGGAGCAGGCTCAGGCATTGATTCATTCTGTAAAGCAGCTGGTGCAGGAGTTGGTTTTGATTCATTCTGTAAAGCAGCTGGTGCAGGAGTTGGTTCTGGTTTTAGTGCAATTGGTGGGGCACTTAGTAGAGAAGCTGTTTCTGGCTCTGGCACAGGTGGGGCGTTGTGTGGTTCTGGTGGTGTACTAGACTGCTTAGCTTTTTCTTTATCACGTGGCAATAAATTAGACACTTTATAGTCTATTTCAGATAAATCCAGTGCTTCACTTGTGGACTTATAAGACATATTTTTGTCACATTTAATAGTTAAATCTTCATTATTTTTAAAATCATTTTCCATAGGATCTGAGTTTATATGAACCTCTTTTTTCTTTTTATTGCTTTTCGGTTTAAGTGAATAGCCAGATTTATTTTTATTACATGAACATTTGCCTTTATTCACTAGAGGCAGTGGGTCATCTAATTCATCTTCTTTGCAGGAACACTTTTTATTACTCTTTGGTTTGTGTGGGCGATCAGACTTATTTTTCTTGCAAGAGCATTTGTCTTTAGTGCTCGGTGGATGGTTATGCCAGTTTCTGCTCTCATTCTTGGGCTTAAATGAATCGTCTAACTTACCTTTGCACGAGCATGTGCTTTTAGTTTTTTGTTTAGGTAGATTATCTGGTTTGTTCTCTTTACATAAGCATTTGTTATCTTCCTTGGGCTTAAACAAATCTTCAGACTTTTTCTTTTTGCAGCAGAATTTATCATCTTCCATTGGCTTGAATAGATCATCTGATTTATTCTTCTTACATGAACACTTATTCTCATCTTTTGGTTTGCAACAGCCAGAAGACATTTTATTTTCTTTGTGCTGACTATTCTGGTCTGTCTTGGATTTATAAGAGCTCTTCTTTTCACTGAATAAGTCACTTGAGGGAGAAAAAGGAGAGGTGTCTTTATTTATATCCTTCTCTTTTTCTAAAGGAGATTTTAAATCTTTGTGTGTTTTGTTAATTTCTGAACTATCTGAAATTGCACTGCTTTTTGTATTTATTTCTTTTTTAATACTTTCTTCTATCTTGCTGTTTGACACTGTATCTTCCTTTGAGCCTTTAATCTTACTATCCAATCCATTGGTGTCCTCTAAACTTTTTATTAGTTGAGTAGAGTCTTCTTTTTTAGTTAAATTCTCAGTAAACTGCCTACTATTATAAATAAAATATACAAAGAAGTATATTATAGAATTGATTCTCTTCATAGGGGTAATAGAGAAATAATACTATATATAGGTATTGTGAAAGAATCAAAAATAAGGAGAGGCGTAGAGATCATATACAAAATAAACCAATAGAAACAGTCTTTTCATAAAAATGACGTGTGTATAGCCAATATCGCTCGAATAATCCGAAACAGTGTGAAAATAGAAATATAATATTACTTAGAAACAGAGATATATATGAAATGAATAGGCTTCTATTGTAAATGTAAAAATAAATGTTTATAAATAAAAATGACAATACAGCCAGAAGCAGAGTATCATATTCCAGAAAAGTTTATATTTGCAGCTGGGCCACTATTTATAACCCACACCACAAAAGACAATCGGTCATGCGTCCAAATATATAAATATCCAAATGTTTATCTTCAGTGCTTTCTATTCCGCACATCTGTCTATGAGAGTGATATAGACATTATTATAGATAAAGAAAAAAGCAGTATTAGAATAACCAATAATGTAGATAGAGAGGTGTATATACATAGTATACAAAATATTATGCCTCTATTTGAGGAGGTTTATTCGGATGTGGGTGTCTCTGTAAGAAATGGTGCATACACAAAAGGGGTGTGCACGCCAACTGTGTATATACATGGCTGTAGGGTATTTTCTATTGAAAGTAAGGAAGTGGAAGAGTTCTACTATAATACAGAGCAAATGAAGTTGTATACATATTCTCCTAAGATTTCAGCTATTACAGAGTATACTCTTTTTACTGTAGAGAGAATATACCCCAGAGGAATATGCTTTATATCCCCTGAGCATGCGTCTGTCTATCTTCCAGAGAAAAAATATACTATTCCAATTGAATATTCTCCTGCTTCATCTATCTCATTCTTTTATAACAATCAAACACTGCGGCATATTCTATCATGCGACGGCCTGATTATGTACAGAAATCAGTTTAAGAGATATCCAAATGACTTTATTCCTTCTGGCGTGTGGAAGAAGCACTTATATATATATTTATTTTCTGCTGAGAAGAAAAGGCTTTTAGTTCTTAACTCAAACCTTGAAATAGAGTTTGATATGGCAGCATCTCAAGTATTCGTGACAGACGACTATATTTTCATTTCCAAAAAAGAAAACACCGTTGCACACCATATAAAGACATTTAAATTTGCATTTATTCTGCCAGGGTTTGTAATTTCAAATGATGTTGTGTCTATTGAAGAGATAGGGGAGATTCTATTAGTATTTACCACAGAAAAGATCATAAAGCAAACAACTCCTCTTTTCTCACTATTCATCACAGAAATAAATATAAACACAAAAGAAATCAAAGAATTTACTGCAGTGCCTCAAAAGGAATTCTTTATTACACAAACGCAATGCATTAATCTGTTCAAGATTAGTCTGGAGAAAGAGAAACCACACATTATCACAGGAATACAAAACATATCAATCGCAAAGAAGGGCAGCAACTATGTAGCATTTGGCATCTCTGGGAATAACATACTGTTTTTCTGGATGGATAATATGGCATCTGTCTCTATTGAGTTTATTAAAAAGCCATTTGCTATAGAAAAGGACTCTAAGAAAGAAGAAGAGCTGCTCGCGGGGTTAGCCGCGTGGATAGACCCAATTACAGGCACTCTTTATACCGTGAGAGAATGTCTTTACAAAGAGTCAATATTTCCTATTATTATACTGCTTTGTACTAGGAACATTCTCCCATTTTCTTTGGCATTTGATATATTTTCAAACAGTGCAGAATATAAGACTAGCGTAGAGCGCACTTTATTCCATTTCTTGCACATAGATGAGATAGAGCTAGCGATAGATCTGCTAGATGCAGTTAAAACATATGCACCACACACGTATGAGGAGATAGTTTCAGTAATGGTGCGCCTGCTTGATGAGAAAAACACAAAGAAGCTCTACCATATAATAGATCCAGAGGAAATAAGCGGATTTATATGCGCAGAGTCACTAAGCAGACTAATACTGCAGGACTTTAGTCTTTTTAAAAGATTTGTGAGTAGTGCAGTTTTGCAGAAAAAAGAGCATCTTGTATATAACTTTGTTGAGTTTGCGTATAAAATAGATGATAAACAATTGCACAGCCACATGCTCTCGTGCCTACTCGATAATACAATGCTATACTTATCTGGAATGCTTTTGTCAAAAATCGACAGAAATAGTAGTATAGACACCCATGTAGATGCAGAAGAATTAGTAAATACTTATAAAAAGACAAACCATCTAATAGAACAGATAAAAGACACACAGGAGCCAGCAGAAATATTAAAAGACATATTCACAGGAACAGACGCACTGTTAATATCCATGATATCCGAAAAGCTCTATATAATCAAGAGCGCGCCATGAATTATGGGCGTCTGGTTATTTGGGGTGAAATGGCTTATACTAGCCATGCACGCGCACACATTATTGTTAATAAAAAGCATTTTATCTCATAGTTTGTCTGTTAGTATAATTGTAGCAGGTATATATCTTCATTCTGTGATCGAATAGCAGTCGGCAGTTATTATTGCGAATTTATTAGTTTTATCTTCTTTGTGTCTTTCCATTTGTTCTCTTTCCACTGAACAGATGCATGGGCCTTTCTGTGAGATGCACTCTATCACGGTCGTCTTTTCTTCCTCTGAGCTTCTTTTCCTTGACATGCTTGTCGCTACGGGCCAGGCGTCTTTCTTCATCCTGAGTAAGCGGAACAATTCTAGTCTGTGCGGGCTTGAGTCTTTCTGCCATTGGATCATCTATCTCCATAGAAATAGGTTTTTCTTGCTCTCTTTCAATTGCCTCTTTCTTCTTGCAAAGCGCTGTAGTCTTCATACGCTGAGGAAGATTCTCTCTCTGCTTGTCAAGCCCCTTCAGTCTCTTAAGAATCTTTGAGTTTATAATTCTATGCTTCTTGTCGCACTCTGACTTGTCTAGCAGGGCGTACTCCTTGTTGTACACCTCCTGCATGTAGTAATCCTCTTCTTCCTCTAACTTCTGTAGTTTGGCCTCAATATCTGGATCTACATAATCTGCAATGTTTTTTCCGTTATATATTTCTGGTATCACATCATATTTCCACTCATCTCTGATGAAGTATTGTGCATTCAAATCTGAGAAGAACTTTATTCCCTGTTCCTCGGCCTTCTTTCTTAGATCATTCTGTGTTTGCTCTCTCTTTCCAAACTCGTCGGTCTCTGCAACTCTCTTGTACTCTGGGTCTATCTTTGGCTTTTTAATGTCTAGGAATCTTCTAAACTCCTCAAGTCTCTTTTCTTGCATCTTTAGCTCTACTCTATGTGTTAGCAAATTTTCGCACGCAGTGTTCTTGGCGAGATCCACATTATGCTCTTCCAGAGATGACACTTCTACGCTGGGGCAGTTTCCAATAAGGTCTTTTACAAGCTCCTGTCTCTCGGTGTCCAGCTCTGAAAACTTTCTGATATCAGACTTGCTAAGAACAAATACCACAGGCTTTCCTTCAAAAAGAGGAGATAAACTTCTAAATAACCCTACCTGCATTTCTATAGAGTATCCGCATGTCTCGCTCAGATCAATAAAGTATAGAATGGCTGCACGCAAATGTGCAAGCGCAGTCACACTTTGCATCTCAATTGTGTTCATGTCTTCTATTGGATGGTCAAGTACTCCCGGAGTATCTATTATCTGCCATCTAAGATACTTGTAATCAAAATGTCCTACGTATAGATTTCTTGTTGTAAAGGCATATGGCTGCACGTCAACCTTTGCTCTACTCACAGTGTTCATAAAGCTACTCTTTCCTACATTAGGATACCCGCAGATTAGAAGAGTACGTGTAGTTGGGTCAATATCTGGCATGCGCATTATGCTCTGCCTCACCTCCTCTAAGTATACAAGAGTCTTGGACAGTTTCTTTGCCATTGTAGACATCTTTCCCAGTGCTGCTCTTTTAAGCTGCTTGCATCTGTATAAAGAATCTCCGTACTTGATCAGCTTGGTGTACTCTTTCTCGGTTCTGCTAATTGCAGATACAACGGTTTTAATGTGTCCTAGAGCCATTTTGTAGTGATCTCTATCATACAACACATTTATCAAGTCGGATGTGAATGGATGGGCCTCATCCACTCGAGGGAATGAGTTAATAATTTCATTTAGCTTCTCCACGTACATAGAGGATGAAAACTTCACCTTTCGTGTGTAGAATTCTCTGATTCTTCCAATTTGGTAGTGCTTGTGTATTTCTGTTGGGGTCCTTCTGTTTGTTCTAGAAAGGCAGGTGTCTATAAGCACTTCAGCGGTGGGCACAGTGGCTATGCTCTTCATATAAAAAATTTGCAATGCAACGTATTTTATTTAATTATAGTACTAAACATATTTAGAAAGAAAGAAAAGTGATATAACCCAGTAATCTTTCTTTATTTATACGCATGCCCATGTTTTTACACACAGATTTTCTATTTTTATGTATTACTGTCAATTATGCCTAGAAAGAACAAAACCAAACCCTTGAGTTATTTATTCCTATATTGTACTATAATCTAAATATACTGCACATGTCCAGCTAAATAGAAGTATACTCTGCATTTATTAGAGTATCTGTGATAGAATGTCTTGAATTTCTGGTGAGTTAGAGTCCATACCTAGCAGCTGGCTGAGTTTAATGCTTTTAATGCCGCTGCCACAGGATGCATCCTCTCCCGTGTATATTTTATAAATACGTGCCTTGGTGTCTAGATTTAGTGGTGACTGCTGCTCTTTTCTATTGAACGCATAGATAACCAAATCGTCTTTAGTTAGATTCATGTGTTCTGCAGTCCTTTCAAATGAGTCTGCTCCAGGAGTGTCCACAAGAACTGCGCTATTTCCAAGCATGTGATTTACTGAGTCTATAGATGGAATGGTCTTTATGGCAGAACAGTTCTTTTCTGTAAGAGCTAAAAATAGCCGAGTCTTTCCCGTGCCTTTTCTCCCCATTAAAACAATCCGCTTTTTCTGCTTAGGTGCCTTTCTAAAGGCTAGAAGTGTAATAAGCAAAGCAAGAATGCAAACTGCAATTGGTATAACAAAGCTATTCATTATTTTTTGTAAAATAAAAACATAAAAGATCACCGCACTCTCTATTCATCTTATTGGTTGCATTATCTCTTAAATACAAATAGCAAGAATTATCTGCAAAGGATGGGTATTAGAGAGTGTCTTATCGAGACAAGAAATTGTTTAAATTACTATTTCTTCGGAAAGAAAATAAAGATATGTCTTTGCGGCCCTTCAAAGTCAGGGAAAACCTCTTTTTATAAAGCATTTACTGAGAAAAAAGTACTAAAGAAAGAGCCCTCCACCATTGGATCTCGCACCAGGCACTTTACTAAAAATGGCTTGCGTGGATTGTTCTTTGACATAGGGGGCGCTGCTGAGTACAATAATCTTAGAGACCTTTGTTATAGAAAGTCAAATGCTCTTCTTTTTTTTGTAAATGCATCCGACCCAGATAGCTTTATAGATGCAAAAACAATGCTCCTAGGCCTACTTAATAGAAATAAGAGGAAAAACATGCCGATTCTCATACTCTGCACGCACAATGATGTGGAAGGATTTGTGGATTGTAAGAACATTGCCCTACATCTTTCTCTGGACTCTTTCCTAGGAAAAGACATTGCCTGTTACTCAATTTCTTCCTTGACTCTGTCCAATTTTACAGCAGTAGAAGAGTGGATTATGATGCATGCAAAATAAAGATTTAAATAGAATAATGCGCACGCAGCCTAATTTCAAGTTTTATATAAATATAATTTGCTTTTTAATACTGATGAGCTGGTAATAAATGAAATAAATATTTGTAAATAACCCAAAAAATGAATATATTTTTAAATTCTAGAATGTAATAGTTTCATCTGTCTCTGAATTGTTTTAAAACAAATAAATTATTTGTCCCGGGCAGAAAAGAATCTTTAGAACAATAGAACCTAAAGAGACAAATGTTTATTTGTGTTTGCATAAGAAACACCTTCCGCATTGTTTACTAACAATACAGGAATGTTCATAGAAAGCATGAACCAGCCAATAACTAATTGGCTTAATCTTAACTATGTGCCGTGTAAAGACAATTCTATACCTCGCTGTATCATATACCAACACTACTGCAATGACTTTAAAGAGAAAGGAATTGAGCCACTTAACACTGCCATGTTTGGAAAAGTAATTAAAATGGCATTCCCTTTCATTCGCAGCAGGCGCCTGGGGAATAGAGGCAATTCTAAGTACCATTACTTTGGAGTGGCTGCTAAGGGATCAAGCGCTCTTAGCTGCGACAAAGAAACTCAATCGGAAAAGCTATTTGTGAAAAAGTATGGTGAAATGCATAGGGCGGCACTTGAGTTTTTTCTGGATTACAACTATATGAAGGGGTACCAGGAAATGAAGTATTTCTGGTCTGAAAATGCAATGAATTTTACCAGCAGTCGGTACATTGAAAGGATATGCAGTTTAATTGAAAGAGAGTTCTTTGGCATGATTTTATCAAAGGTTATTACAACAGACTCTATTTTAGACCTAACTAGAGAGCTTCTCCCAGAGAACATTCTATTTTTGAAGACAACTGCAAAAACCATCAACCTTATGTGTCAGCAAATGAGCCCTCTCATAAACAGCCGGGGCATGCTACTTCGAATCGATTGTTACAAGCAGTGCGCAGCTGCTCTTAACAGTATTGGGAATATCCAGAAGTATCTGAATGTTCTAAGAGCTAAGTACTCTGTGCGAAAAGATCTTCAGGAGTGTAGAAACTTTTTGTCTATAGGCATGTGTATATCGCATGAAAGTATTTCTTTAGACAGAAGCAGTACACTTCACAACTGTGCATCTGCACTTATTTCTCTTTTTATTTCTTCCAGCACATTTGATGAGTTTTTAGAAGGCGTGGACAGCCACGTCACAGGCATTCTATACAGAAAAGAGAAAATTCCGCAGGACCTGGTTACTCTTTATTTCTCAGGTATACAGCAAGAATGCATTGTTGCAGGAATTCCTTGTATTGAGTTTATTTCAGTTCTTTTAAACTTCTTCTCAGAGCACTTTACCCTTGTTAATAGTAGACTATCAGAGATTTCTCTGAAAAAGAAAGAAGTTTCTTCGCCTTCTGTTGTCTCAGATATTACAACAGAGGAAAAGTCGTTTGTCTCTCAAATCATAAAACAAGACTAATATAATCATTTAAATAAAGATAGAATTTGATTGTTTTTTAAGATGGTTATAGGTGTAATAGTCAAATTAGAGTTTTTATCTAAAAGGGTGGTGAATTGCAATGTCATAAGTACTACAACAGCATTGCTACAGAACAACAAAAAGGTCTGGTATGTTACATTTACTGTTTCATCTAATTCAGCACAAAAAGAAAAAGATCTATTTTCTTCCATATCTATAGGGCATGCAGTGAGTGTAAATGGGCATGCAAAAACATCCCGAGCCGAGCACATATTTGCACGAGTTAATAATATAAAAATATTGGATAGGTACTCACTGCTTCCCTCGATATTTTTTCCCAGTATTAGCAGGCCATGGTCTCGTGAACTAATCCAAAAACGGCCGGATGAGGCAGTGCCTGCGATGGTTCTTGTTGCAAAGCTAGTCTGCAAGAAGTATAAGTGCCTAGTACACTGTGTAGATTCTTCAAACCAATACTTTAAGCTGACTCTTCAGACCGACAAGCATATTATAGAGCACAGAGACATTCTTTTACTAACAAACGTGCTTATAGACCTGTCTAAAAAAGAGGTATGCACCCAAAGCACTTCAACCATAGAAATAAACCCAACAATGACTCTCAAGGCAATTGCTCAGCTACAGAGCAATCTAAGAATGAGAAAGCAAACCATTCAAACAGTAAAAGAAATAGATACCCTAAAGAAAGATACATCTATCCTACTGGAAGGAAGAGTGTTCAGTATATGTGAGGAGAAAAGAAGTGTGTGCATTTCAAATGCAGAGGGTGGGGTTTCTGTGAAATTAGAAGCAGCGCCATTCCAGCGGTTTATGTCAAAGCTGATGAGCTTTAATCGGTTCTCATCTATAAAAGAACTTCATGCCTCTCTCGCATTCTGTAAAGTATCCCTGACTGCGGATGTTCTAATCCTGAATAGTGCTGCTTCTATCCAGAATGTAGACGTTAATCCATCTTTCTAGTGGATAGAGAAGAATTTTCTCATTTTATGTTTACATAATAAACACACTGTGAGATGAGTTTATTTTTAGAAGATTTCTATTTTTTAAAATATTTCGTGTGTAAGTAGAAGTGTCTATTTTCATTTTAAAAGGAAAGCATACTGTTTATTTTCTTATAGAACAAAAATGAAGGATTTTATTTTTGTATCTTCAGCCAATTCTAGGGCAATTTAATAGGATTTGAGTAAACTTGGGGTTATTTTGGTCTTATGGCGGTGAGAAAAGCACATTGGGCCATTAGAAGACTCGAAATTTTATATGATTCGATATATATGCCACAACATGAAACAGTGTTTATATTTACCATAGAGATATGAAAAATAATGAAAAGAGCCACAATTGCGATACTCGCGCTAAGCCTGCTGCATGCTAAAAGAGACAGCACGGTTCGAAAACACCCAGCACAGCTTCTGGTTGAAAATATTAGAAATACTGCAAAATGGTTTGGTGCACAGCTTAAACAAAACAGCCACCTATACCAAGATGATGATGAAGCCTCTTCAGAGAGGGAGGCCATTTCCAGAAGAGAAGCCGGCCCTCGGTGCTCGCCCGAAAATGTTATTAGAAAACTTCAGGACCATATTAAGAACAACGGCACACTAAATAACATTCATAATTCTAACGACAGATGCATAAATAGCTACTTTGGAGAAAGAGAGAGCTTTAGACCGCATGACACACACCATCATAATAAAGATACGTATGAGCCTGGGTATAATCCAAAAAAAGATGATGAGCCGGAGCTAATTTGTGAATATCCTTCTAAGAGGATGCCAGACGGCAAGTGTGTTCCATTGGCCGACAGCCCTAAAACCAACAGCGGCACATACCGGCCGCCGTATGACTACAGTGCACCCCCCACGATCTCATACAGTATGCGCAGTATATTACAGAAAGGAGCTGAAATGTATAAGAATGTTGCAGAGAGTCCTTTAGCGAATGCAATATCAAATTCCTATCTAGAAAACAATAATAGGCCGCCGAATGAATACAGCTCTGGATATCCATCGCATGATAACGGTTATAACAACTCCAACAACTGGAACAGCTCAAATAGCTGGAATAATACACCTCCACATGAAGACTACTCAACTTCACCAGGAACCACTATTCTTCCAATGTACTGCTCTCTTTCTTCTAATAAGATAGTTCCCTACATTATTTCTTATGGCCCTCCCGATAAAAGTAAGAAGCGAATGTTTGTCAACTTTCCAACATCAGAAACACTTCGTGATGAAAACAACAGTGGAAGTCCACTAAAAAAGCTAAATGTAACAGATACAGTTTTAACAAGCCCACTTACCTTGGCATCTCTCACAGATATAGCATCAAAAATTCAAATGGAAACTTCTTCAAGCAAAATTATTCACATAACAATCAATGACACTCCAATTATTCGGGTAAGCCAGGAGCACCTGCTCCATCCCATGTGCACAGATGGCACTTTATGCCTATTGGAAAGCAAATGCATGTCTACATCAGACACCACCTGCGAGAACTACAAAGTATGCGCTCCTCCTACGATTCAAGGCTTTATTAAATCCATACCGGTAAATTACAAAAATGAAAAGACTTCTATGGTAGTGTATAGTGCTCTAAAAAAAGAATTTAGCATAGAGCGACTATTCATTGAAAACCAGCAGATCCATCCACATAATATAGAATATATAAGCATAGAAGCGAATCTTCTGGAGAATTCGCCTGTTTCCGCTGAAGTAGTTAAAAAAATACAGAGTGCAATTCTGGAATCACGACAGCACACTCCTGGCTCAGCAAGGCCTGGCCGTGCCTCCTTCCTTATTGAATCAAATAACTCCCGTGGTTTTATTATATTTCTGCTAATAAAACAGATTTTAGAAGACAACGAACACCATGCCATTACAGAGACCATAAAGGCCCAGATGCGGAATGTATATATGCAAATATTCAAAAATGAAATACAGTCAGATTTAGCAGCAAGCACTGTAACAAAGGACATAGATGCCCTTGTGACTGTACTAAATGAATCTACCTCATCCATCGGAAACCATTTCGCCAACCAAGGATCAGCACAGCCTTATCCGTATACACAAAACAACAGCTATCCAGGAAGCTATCCACAGCAGAATAATATGCCGCCATACAGTAATGGGTATCCAAATAACTACCCGAATCCAAATGCACAAAGTACAGGTAACAGTGGATACAATCCATCTGGCCCATATAACAACCCGCCCACAGGAAATCAAATGCCTAACGGAAGCTACCCTGCTAACTATCAAAGAAACAATCATCCTAACAACTATGGGTATAACCCAAATAATATGAATCAGCCTAATCAAAATTATCCAGATAACTATAGACAAAATAACAATTACAATAGATAGATCTAGCCTGAAATGCCATTACATTATTAACACAGACTCATTCAGTGATTTTTCAAGCCTCATCTATTTTGTATGAACTCCTACTAATACTGTCTATCTTTATTCTGAACAGAACTCTTATTCTTCACTGTCACTATATGCTAATAAAAATATTTATATGATTCTAAATATCCCATAGAATAGACAAGCACATAGCCCAGACATACTATTATTTCCTCTGGTTATACTATATTCTGAGTTAACGGCATGACATACCCCGAAATTCTGTGTGTATTATTGATTTAATTATAATTTGTATTAAAATAAACCCGTACATTTTATTATTATTCCAGGTACTTTTTGTCTTATTAAGTGTAAATATTCAATCACGCCTACACCATAAAATACATGTAGGATATTCTTATTTACTGAATTAGTAGAATATGCATCTTATGGTGTATACAGCTTGAATAGAAATTGCTTATTTTATGTCTAATGTAAATGGTAAAATATACTTTATTATAAAGTGGCAACCACATGCTTATATCTTTATTTTTCTTAATCACATACTGGTGTATCAACAGTGGGCACATGCATTTTATTTTAAGTGCTGGTGTTTTAATTTATCGTATACAATTTGGGCTAAGTTGAGTTCTGTAGGAAGGACAGTTGGCCGTGTATAACAGCCACTTGTTCAAAGCACGGATTATAGTGGAGAGCACTGATAGAGCACTCCCCACCATCAAACGAGATCGGCGCACTGTTTGTTTCTGGGATTGTGGCCATTGAAATTTCTTTTGACCCTGTTGTGTATATAAAAGATCTACTGTCCTGGGTGAAGCACCCAGCAGTGCTGTTTTCACTTGGAAGGTGCATAGTTATATCTCCACTCAGTCCATCTGCAATGCTGAAGCCATCCTCTCTAATCAGAGCAAACCCAAACCCATCAGGAGAAAAGCAGACGTCTGTGCAGCCCTCTATTTCTATATTCTTTGTTTTGTACGGTCCTGCCATATACGATCGCACGTCAAATAGACGCATTTCTTTCATCTCCTCAAATAGTGCCATAAATATTCTTCCATCTGGTGAATATTTAATCAGTGGGCGACCTTGCACGGGTATTTTTGCGTGCGGGTTCTTCTCCCGAATATCCCAAATATACGCCTCATTCTCTGCTACAGATATTGTGTTTTTGAACATGAATGATGTTGAAATGCTATATATTCTTGAAGAGTGCCCTGAAAAAAGAGATATATATTCCTGTTTTTCTAAATTCAGCACACTTAAGTCACTCTCTGTAGTATGTACTAATAGAGATGAGCTTATAAAGTCAACTAAGAAGGACCCTTGATTCATTGTGGGCACGGGCGAGTGCCTTTTATTCTTAACTGCATCATGAAATACAAGATACCCTGAGTCCAGTGCGCATGCAATTATTTCTCCATTTGGTGAATAGGAAGAATCCTGAATTATTCCATCCATCCTTTCAGTTAAGTACGCGTTGAGCTCTGGGCCGGCTGCACTGTGCATATTACTGCGTACGAAATTTTTTTATATATGAAGCAAATTAATTACGCAACGGATAAAGGAGTAGAAATAGACTCTCCGATGACAATTAAAGCAAAGCATGCACTAATGAATAACACCGGAGAAAAGCTAACTCACTCAGGAGACTGGCCATTACTGCTGAAGGGAATGGAGGACATGAACATTAAGTCTTTGAAGTACACTCCAACTTCTTATGGATACTGCCCGCTGGAAAGACCACTGGACATATATCTGGAGTATGGTGTGATAAACCTGGACAAGCCATGCAACCCATCCTCCCACGAAATTGTATCGTGGATCAAGAGTATTCTTCGGTGCGAGCGAACTGGTCACTCTGGAACACTTGACCCCATGGTTTCTGGGTGTCTGCCTGTATGTCTGAACAAGGCAACGCGTATAGCCAAGTGCCAGCAGGATGCAGGAAAAGAATATGTGGGAGTGGTCAAATTTGATGAAGGAGTATCAAAAGAGAAATTTATAGAGGCCTTAAATCTTTTTGTTGGGCCATTATTGCAGAGACCGCCTGAGCAGTGTGCTGTGAAGAGAAATCTTAGAATTAGAAAAGTAAACCAGGTAGAATATCTGGACTTTGATGAAGAGAAGCAGCTGGGGCTATTCAGAGTAGACTGTGAGGCAGGAACGTACATAAGATCATTATGTACTCACTTGGGCCTTTATCTTGGTGTAAAGTCTGAGATGGTAGACTTAAGAAGAACACGAAGTGGAGCAGTGAGCGAAGACAATCTAGTTACAATGCACGATGTACTCGATGCAATGTACTTGCACCAGAAGACAATGGACCAGTCATACTTGCGTGCTGTAGTGCAGCCTCTTGAGAGTCTTCTTGTTGGGTATCCAAGAGTAATCATAAAGGATAGTTGTATTAACGCTATCTGCTATGGTGGACAGCTTACTGCTAAAGGTGTTCTTAGATACGGCGACTTCAATCACAAAGACACAATTGTGCTTGTGTCCCCGAAGGGAGAGGCAGTGGCTCTGGCAGTTGCCCTTGTCACATCACCGCAGCTGAGTATGATGGAGCACGGAGTTGTCTGCAGAACCAAGAGAGTTATTATGAATAAAGACACATACCAGAGACAGTGGAAGCTTGGGCCACAGGCACACACCAAAGACAGCGAAGAAAACAAGGCAAATACTGCACCAGAAGTGAACAAGCCGCAGGAAATGCAAGACAGAGAGACAAAAACTCCTGAAAAGAGAAAGCCCCAGCAAGAAGACAAGTCCTTTCTTAAAAAAAGCAAAAAAGAGTTTTCCTAGTCACACCTGATCTATTGCCACACTTAGTAATAAATAAAACAATTTATTGGATAGAAGTGCTTTTATTACACCCACCCATATAAACGGCAATTATTTTTTTAGTGCATGTTCGAACTAAAAATAGGGAAGAGCAGCTCTGAGCAGAAAGAAGAAAAGCCAAACGATGGTCAGTGCACCTTTTTAATCTTCAAAAGACTTCTAGAAGGTCTGCATGAAATTGTCAAGCAGCTGGAAATGAAAGTGACAAACGAGGGAATATACATACAGGCAATGGACAGCATGCAGGTAAGTATGGTTGACATTTTCTTGAAGAGCACTGCATTTGAAAGCTTCCGGTGCGACAGAAATCTGACTCTTGGTATACCTCTTCAGTTTATTCTGAAAGTGTTCAGAAGTCTTCCTGTAGAGGATAATCTGTCTGTTCTTCTGTCTGCAAATGATGATGCAACAAATCTTGATATTGTCTGTGAGGATGGTGGAAAGAAGTACAGCTCACACTTAAAATTAATTGATATAGGGTGCGAAGAGTACACCTTCCCATGCGTAGACTACACGGCTACTATAACCTTTATATCAGCAGAATTCCAAAGGGTTGTGAAAACACTCGGAGCTTTTGGGGAAGTTCTCAGAATAACTGCAAATGATAAAGGGTTTGTGTTCGAGCAGCGTTCAGAGGTCGGAAATAGTGAAGTCTCTTTTATGATAAGGGAAGAGGCCGAAAACACAGAGAACAAAGACTTTGATGTCGAAATTAAAGGGGGAGTTGAACTCGCCATACCATACAAATACATTTCTTTGTTCAGTAAGTTTGGAACTCTTGGTGCAAAAATCACCATGAGTATAGCAGAGGACATGCCAGTGTATATCACATCTGTCATGAACGCTGGTTATCTTAGATACTACATTGCCCCAAGAGACGACGAATAAATCATATTATTTCAAAGTAGCGGTCATTAGTATACTTTATTCTATATATTTATATAAAAACACATGCAGCGTGTAGTTTCTTGTTGCCAGGCACATAATAAATCCTGCAATATTATCTGCATCGGTGCGTATTCTATTGCACATATGAAAAATAACAGGAATGTCCATATAAAAAGCCGCATGCTGCACCTGAATCTTTTCTGGAGTGTGTGGGCCTGTGTCCATTATAGAAAGGGCTTCTTTATCAAATGTTACAGCTTCTGTGGATCTATTCGTATAATACGGCTTAATGGGAAGCTGTATAATCTCATCATACAGCTGATCAGTCTCTTTAAATGAAACAAGATATTCAGAGCCTTTTATAAGCTGCTCAAGTGTATAATCACTAGAGCATGGCACAGCAATCTCATTGTATGGGCCAAGATTATGTGCAGATGTATCTGGCTGTATGCTTTCTTCTGTTTGTTTATCTTCCTCTGCACTGCAATTATTATCCGCAGAGAATAAATCCTCATGATCCTCCATACTCTTTTCAAAACTGCTCTTACTCTCTTCTAAATTTTTTGAACTTATTTCTTCGTCTGCATTCTTTTTCTGTATGGTGCTTCTCTGTGCATCTTCTGATACATTCTCTAATTTCAGGCTATGGTTTGAAATATCTTCATTTTCTACAAAACTCGGAGGCTCGACTGAGGAGTCATTTAATGGACCCGATTTTTTACTTTTATTTTCAAGTACATCAGGTACATTCCGTGAATTTTCTTTTCTCGCGCATTTATTGATTTTTTTTACTAACTCCCTTAGAAACCCCTTACTTCTCAGTGTTTTAAATGCAGATAATAGCATTTCAACCTCTTTTGGTATATTGTACGTCCATATAAAGGGTGTTCTTTTGCTTATATCCGCAAGGATTGTGGCACAGTCTACCTTCTTTATTTTTATGTTATGCACACATACATACCTGTTCTTCTTTGGAATTTCATTTAACTCTCTCTCCCACACACGAACGCGAAGGTCTTTATGCGTACTGGGATCACACATTATCATAGTGTGCCAGTTATGTGTTGTCGAAATATCTTTTATGTACCCGTACACACTAACCACCGCATTCTCCTTAGAGGCGCTGGATATCACACTCGGCCCAGCTGGTATTATATTTATAAAGTGCTTTCTAATACTGTCAATAATTACACGGTCTCCTTTTTCCTCTGCGTACTTGCCTTCTATACAGGAGAAGTATGGCAGCGCACTTCCCTTTTCCTTATTCACCTCAAAGAAAAAGCATCCGCACTTCCTATCCACCAGGCGCCGAGTTCCGCTCTCAGTGGTCTTTACATTCAGCCGAGTAATCTTAATAACCGCCTGGTTCTCCATTATGTACTTTGGAAAACTCTCTGGGCTAGCCAGGAATAGAAGAACTGGAATAGCCTCAGAGCTAAGCTCATCTTTAATGTGCAGAACCATATGATAGTCCGACCCTGTTGTTTTCTTTGGTGGGGTATATGCTTCTATCAACCCAAACACTGAAGCATTTGCACCTGGCTGTATATCTTTAATGTACGTTCTGGTGTCCATACAGTTTTATATTTTATTTTTCTTCAGAATTTCATTATTTATAATATGCAGAAAGCTTAAAATATAAATAGCCAGAAAATCAATCGACCAGATGATACTGCAAAAATGAAATATTTCCCTATTCTGTTTTTAAAGATAAAATTGATATTTATTTAAACTATAAATAAGGATTAATTTCATTTCCAATAAATGCATAGAAAAGAGATTATATACCAGATGATAGGACTCATTACTATTATTATGTATAGAAGAGCTGCACCGATGCACAGCAGCTATATGGGATCAGAAGAATTCAGTAGACTTGACTCACTTAAGAAGTATTTTCCTGCAGCGTACACTCTGCAGATGAAGCTTCATGTGGATGATATTGTTTCATTAAAATATAATAAGAAGCACCTTGAATACTTTGAGTTTATAGAAGAGGATAAAAGCAGTATTGGTGGGACTAAGTGGTACTTAGAAACACAGAGGGTCAGCACATTTGATGCAGTTCTAAAGGTGATAAATCTTGTAGAGTGGCATGCAAATCAGGATAAAAAAGGGGTAGAAGATGAGGATCTAGATGTCATTGTAGATAGGTATAAGAGGAGTATATTAGACATACAAAAAAGGTACTGGCTTGGATACCTTCTAGTCTCTGCAATGGATTGTAGCGATTTTGTAGATCGTGTGTCTGTGCAAAATGAACAGGTTGTGCTGAATATAAAAGACTCGAGTGCGTATGCAAACTTTGTAGTAAATACCTGCAATGTCTTGGCTAACAAGCTGTTAAAAAAAGAAATTATTGAAAACCAGATTCCTTGTCTTCGCGATTATTCACTGTATGACGTATGTACATGGATTTCTCAGTTGCACGAACACTTTAGTAATAGAAGCTTTTCATCGCAAAAAGAGTCATTAGACTGCATGGAGGCTTTTCTGAGTGATAAGTATGTTGCAGAAGTATTCAAATTATTTATTCAGTATAAGAAAAGGCCAGAGCTTGTGCGCAAAGTTGTTATGTCTTCAAGCAGAAAAAACCAGACAGAGTATAGAGGGTCTCTAGTATCCTTGGGTAACTCTAAGAAAGGTGGGTATATCCCTCAGAATACACCTGCACAGAACATACCAAGTATTCGTATAGAGGATACTAATGGTTCTACACAATCTCTTGTTAGTAAAGTAGTGCCTGCTATTAACAATACAGAAGAAGTACGAAATGATCCATCAGTATCGGCATTAGACCAAAGTCAATACTCAAAGCACAATAATGCAGAAGAAAAAAATAATGAAAGTAATGAAGACCTCTCACGTAATAGGAATTCTTATTATAATGACCCTTTGATCATTTCAGAGAGAAGTAACTACATGGAGAATGTATCTAGCGATGCAAAAAATAATCCATTGGCAGCTTCATATGATAATGCAGGAGTAGATGGTGATTCTAATAAAAAGCCTAAGAGCAGAAAAAACAGTAAAGATGAAAGCAGTGACTCTAAGAATAAAGAAAAAGGAGAATCAACGTGGAATAAGTTCAAAAAGACTCTACACATTGGGAAAAATTCTAAATCCCCAGAAAAGGAGCATATTAAGAAGAGATCTGTTATGCCCAATACTAGCGAGTCTATTATTGAAAGGGATGAAGCCGCGCTAGAAGAAATTAACAGAACTGTAAATGAAATACCAATTGTAGCGCAGAGACAGAGCAGGCTATCAGCAGGTCCACCTTTAGTGAATGTTGATAATATGCGGGCAGATGATATTGTGCACCAGAACCAAGCAGGCCACGTATCTGCACATTATGATGAAGAAGGAGTATTGCCTGTGATGACCAGTGGTTCTAATCAGTATAAAGTAGATCCTAATCTATATTCCCGGTATGCGGATATTTCTAAAGAAATCCATGGAAGCTTCTTAACCCCAGATAAAAGAAGCTCTTCTATGCACGATGTCTCAGCAGTACCTAAATCACGCAGTGCTCTATCAAGTACGTACCGTGCCAGTTCTGCAAATTTATTTAAACCCATAGAGAATAGCAGTGATACTCATCTGCAGAAAAATCAAGAAGAGAAATTAGGAACTAATGGACCCATGATCGCCATGGGCAGTGGAGAGTTAATTGCGATGTTTGATGATGACAGAGAAACCACGGTATCTGATTTTTCTGAGTACCTAGACTCAGCCCGCGAGCATAAATTAGCAGGTGCACCCATACAATACAATGACTGGCGGCATCCAGAAGTAAAAGAATTAATAAGCACAGAGGGTGCTGATGTAAGGTCACAAGAAGTTGAAAAGTATGAAGGATTAAAGCAGAATATAATAGAAACCCTATCTCATGGCTTTTCTTCTTATAATAGGCCCATGCATGATGACCAGAATACATATCGTAATAGCATGAACAATAACTATGGAGATGTGTATGCCCAGAGAGAATTACAACAACAATTAAATCAGATAGAAAACAGGCTAGAAGAATCAGAAAACACAATCTATCCACAAAACAATCCATCAAATTATAATCAACAGCCAGACCATCCCAGAAATCGGCCTGAGCTCTCTTATGGCGCTATTTAATCTGTTTAATTATAATCATGTACAATAAAAATAATTATTTAATTTTATGCTTCAGCATACCCTTAGTCCAATTATATCTAGAAATGGTAACCCGATATAACCCGAATATAAATAATATTATATTTATTGTAATTTATATTTATTGTAATTAAAGTGTACGTATAGGAATATTCTTTTATTATTAAAGTAACACAAAATTTCTGTGAGCAATTAAATTTCAAATAATAAGGAATAATGAATAAACAGCCAAATATAACTGAGCACAGCAAACAAACAGCGCATACCGCATAACCCTAGAAAGAATATACGAAATACAACAGAAAGTATAACAAAGTATATACATCAAATTATTCGTATGAGGTACTTATTATAATTTATAACGGACTAATAGTAATACTAAACTTAAATTTATGTGCATGCTTGGTTATATAACACAATAGTACCTTAAACAGAAATTTATTATAGAGCATACACAAACAACAATTATATTTGCGGTGACACCTCATATGAGGACAAATAAAGGAGAATTCCTGATACTTAAATTAAAGGAAGTATTTATTTATTTTTATATGAACACTGAGAGAAAGACCATTATACTATCAGGGAATCTTCCTATACACTGTAAAGATGGACAAATAGGATTCTATGCGCCTTCATACTCCTCAGTTGGCGCTTCTATGCTGTATGGATCAGCAGCAGAGAACAGGGCTAAAACAACATTTATTGGAATATCCCATCCTGACGGGATGCCTTCATATAAAACCATCCAGCCGACGGAGTTCAAGTTTCTGCCTGTGGAAACTGAAAAGGGCCCTAAGGACCTTGTATTCTCACAGCACCTTTCACAGGCATGCCATCACTCGCTTGGAAGAAGTGCACTGTTCCCAATGGACTTGGAGGAGCCATATAACGACTACGTTCAGTTTAACCAGGACTTTTTCTCTGCACTGAAGACTGTGTACTCGCACCAAGACACAATAATTATTCTGGGGAAGCATCTTTTAATGCTTCCTGAGCTTATTAGAAAAGAGTTTCCGCTTGCTAAAATAACACTGGTGTTTATATGCCCATTCCCAGCATACGAGTTGTTCAGTTGCATACCATACTCTAAAGATATTATGCTATCCATGCTGATGTGTGATAGATTAGAGTTGCAGAGTGAAAACTACCTTGAGAACTTTATTTCAACGGCATTCCTTTTGGTAAATGCACAGACCAAGGAACTATCAGAGAAGAGCCTAGAAGTTATTAAAGGAAGCTCTAGTATTGTGTTTATAGAGAAAGAGGATGCGCCAAAGAAGAGCGAGAAGAAAAGCCATATGCTTCCATATGAAGAAGAGAAGAAAGACATGCTGACAATGCTGACAACATCCTACAAAACATCATTTCTTGACATGGAAGATGAGAGCCTACTGAATGAGCCAATAAACATTCAAGAACATGATGAGCAAGCAGTAAAAGAATATTTAGAGGATACAATGCCTGTTGTAGAAAAGCTTTCTAAAAAAGAAGAAAACAAAATGTATGTAGTGTATGTTGGAAACTCCCGGGTGCTGGTTACTGTTGCATCTAAGCATGCACCAAAGAAGTATATTGAAGAGGTGCAGTCATCAAAGCAGTATAGTGATATTTTAGAAAAGATCAAAGAGACAAAGAAAGACAGAAAGTTTGTAATGGTGATTGAAACTACACGAAAGGTAGGATCATCTGCACAGAATCTCCTTTCTGTGTTGAAGTATCTGCAAAAGAACCCAAACAGCAAAGTTGACTTTATAAGATGCGTAGTGTATGGAGAAAGTGTAGCCTTCCACAACACAGAGCTATCTGGGCTGGCAGAGAGAATTTCTTCTCTATATCCAACCAGGTTTACAACAATTATATTCCCAACAACATATTTATACTTTGCACTATTAGAGCTAGCGGATATTTGTATAGCAGGAGCACCTACTGACTCGATATCTCTGGTTGCCTCTGAGTATGCCTGTATTAATAGTAAGGGAAAGCTTATTGTTCCATACTCGTCGGGTATTACATTTAGGCATGCGATATACACGCTAAACTGCCCAGACATAACAGCAGAAGTGATTAAAAATACACTAAAGATGAAAGGCCAGGAAGAAGACTTTTTAGAAGGCACTGATGAGTGGATGCGGTCCCTGCACCATATACTACGTGTCGATCCGCCGTGTGGCACTGAACAAATTGGAAAGATCCCACAGCACCTTGCTAAAAATGTGCTGGAAGAAAAGGACAGTATCAAATCTGCGTACAAAGAGTCAAAGAAGAGAACTATTTTTCTGGACTATGATGGTACTCTAACAGAAATAGTTCCAAATCCTAAAGATGCCAAGCCAACAGAAGAAATATTGGGCATTCTCCAAAAACTTACAGAGGATAAGCAGAATAATGTATTTATAGTAACTGGAAGAGGAAAAGAAGAGGCAGAAGAATGGTTTGGCCATCTCAACATCCAGATATATGCAGAGCATGGGACGTATAAAAAAGAACATGGAGAGTGGATTACTGTTCCCTGTGATATTTCATGGAAGGAAACAGCAATAAAAATAATTGAGGAGTATGTAAGCTACACCCCAGGCTCTGCAATAGAAGTTAAAAACACCTGTGTTGTATTTCATTGCAAAGACCATGGAAGGTGGTGTGCAAATGCACTGCAAAGAATGCTGGGCACCCAAGCCAGAGTTGTCACAGGAAAGAATATTGTTGAAGTCAGACCAAAAGGCATTGATAAAGGATCCTGTATAGAGAAAGAGTCATACTACGATGGGTTTACTCTGTGTGCTGGTGACGATGCAACTGATGAAGATATGTTTATGGTTCTTTTAAATGCACCAAATACGTACACCATATGCGTGGGAGAGAGAACCACCTGTGCGTCTCTTAGGGCAGGCAGTCCAAAAGAACTTCGTGCACTGCTTAAATCTTTATATGAATAAACACAGCATGTTAACTGTTTTTTGTAATTTCAGAGATTACTTCACAAAATAGAAAAGAATATTATAATGTACAAAGAGTAAGTTCCAGCAGTATTGTCCGAATTTCATAATAGACCACTATAATTAAACAGCCTAATAGGCACTAATATTGGGCTAGTTTAAGCATGTATAAAAATAAGAAAATTCTAAGAGCTTCATAAAAAAGTCCTCCATGGTATCCTGTGCAGCAGCATAAAAGGAAAGTACAAGTACGCTCTCTTTACAGGGAAGGACAGGGACACAAAAATAAAATTGAATATTAAATTAAATAAAACCATAGGAAATGCATAAATGCCCAAAGGATTTGCAGATTTAAAAAAATGAACATTGAAGAACAGAGCCGGCTTCTAACGCACGAAGAGATGAAAGGTCTTTTGGAGAAGTGCAAGCCAATAAAAAAGTGCACAGAAATAGAAACAATGAAATATACCGTACAATCTATAATCAGCCAACCGCATGCACCGCTTGCCCTAAAAGAAAAGCTATTGGGGTATGGAATAACTGAATTTGAAGCAGTGCAGCTGATTAATACTCCAGCACGGAAAATACTTGATCTGTATGTTATAGTAGAGGAGCTAGAAGAGCGCCTGACAGAAGAGAATATAGGAGAAATAATTGCTCTTCTTTCTCCATATGCAGAATAGAATATTTTATCTTTATGGAAGAGTACAGAGAATCGCACAAGACAGAGAAAAGAAAGAAAGACACTGACGATAGGAAGACAGTGACAACAGTACTGGACAAAAAAACACTAGAAATTCTGGGGAAGTTGCAGAGGCAAGGCCTAATAATAAAGATGCATGGGGCAGTTAGTGTGGGGAAGGAAGCAAGCATATACCTCGCAACGGCTTCACCAAACATATGGAGTAAGCTTTGTAAAAAGCAGGAAGTATCTGACGACCGCCCAATAATAGTGGCAATAAAGATATACAAAACATCTGCAATGGTTTTTAAGGACAGGGAGCGGTATGTAGTTGGGGAGAGAAGATTTAAGCAGTATCCAAGAAGGAATTCAAGAAAACTAGTAAAGCTGTGGGCAGAGAAAGAGGTAAGAAATCTTAATAGGCTACAGAAGGCCGGAATACCATCGCCCAGACCACTTTTTCTACGAAGAAATATTCTTATTATGACAATGATTGGAGACTGCACGCAGATAGACTCAAAGAAAGAGGAATCTTCTGGGGATAATTATACTACTCAGAAATTGGCATGTGCAGAGGAAGAAAACAAAGAATTTAGTGTGGATGTAGAGGACAGTGGCGATGATACATCCGCCAGCACAATGAGCGAAGAAACAGAAAGCATAAGTTTTACTAGTGATGAAGACGAGTGCTTCTCTTCAACCACAGATAATAACACAAGTGGGAATGAGCTGGATAACATAAGCATAACACTAAGTGATGCAAGTGATGAAGACATGGACAGTGCGTATACAGACCATATTTTAGAAGTGGAGGAAGAGAGTTTGCTAGATGTAGAGTATCCCGCGGATATAATACCAGGCGTAGATACAGTCCCGAGTGTAGAAGAATCTCCAGAAATATCTGAGAAGAGTGCTGGGGGCAGTATTGGGTGTGGTGAAGTTTCGCTACTAAAAGAACCATCAACAGCTCAAGAGGCCTCTAGTAAGTTGGCAGACATAATAAGTAAAGAAGAGTATTCCAAGAATGAATCTAAGCATAAACCAAAAGATAAAAAGGATAAAGAGCCCATATATGTTGAAGAGCGGTGCAGAAGAATAGGAGGAATAGCTCCAAATTTGAAAAGTGCTGGATTAAAAGGAGAGCAGCTGCAGGACGCATATAATCAAGTTGATTCATTGATTAAGCAGTTATATAATGAGAGCGGGCTTGTGCATGCCGATCTGTCTGAGTACAATATGCTTTATTGGGAAGGAGTCGTTTATATTATTGATGTAAGTCAGAGTGTTGAAAGGCACCATCCAAATGCCAATGAGTTCCTTAGAATGGACATTTCCAACGTAAACAAATACTTCTCCCGGCTGGGTGCTCAAGTAAAGAGCGATAATGAATTATTTAGAGAAATCGTTGGGGATGAGAGTATCTTGAAAACTCCTAAGATATATTCAGACGAAGAAGAGAGTAAAGACACATTGGATACAGATGCAATGCAGAGCACAGATGCTGCTGACTCTATTAGAAAGAAAAAAGAACATGTTTTGCTAACAAAAGAAGAGAAGAAGATCCAAAAGAAGCAGGTAAAAGAGGAGAACAGAAAGAAGAGAGAAAACAAAATTTCCAAGAAAGATAAAAAGATGCTAAGTAGAAAGATAAGAATACGAAAAGAAGGAAAGAATAAATAATTAAATTAAATTTGCCTATGATAAAAAATTTGTGCTTATGACTGTATTAGTTGATACATATGGAATTCCCGCACACATAATCATGTCACAGATATACAAAGCCACGTGTTACGAGGTCCGAATAGAAGAAGTGCTAGGAAGGTCCTATAATGCACCAAAATCCGGCAAGAAATACGTACTTTTAGAGGATATAAATCCAAAAATACTCATTGCGCTTCGGGATATAGAGAGTGTGGTTTATGTGTTTCACAGAGAAATGCTAGATGAAAAGGAGTACAAAATAATCGACTACTACACGAATGAGCTGGTCTATGTTGAAGGAAACACTATCAAAATTGTTAATAAAAAAACTAAAAAGCAGGAAACATACGGGGTGGAGAGAACAGTAGATCTATCAACTCATAGGGTTATCCATAAAATAAGTAAGACGGCAGAAGAATTAGAAAAAAAGCAAAACGGCTCTATTCTATCAAAGAAACAGGCACAGAGCAAGGAGGCATCTCTTCCGTTTCTTCGGGTGCAGAGCCAAGAAGAAGTGTATTTCCCAGAAGAGGAGGCTGATCTAAGCGATGACTTAGAGCTATCAGAGGAGGAAATGTAACAATAAAATTTCTCAATTTTCTCTATTTTTTTACTATGACACTTACACCAGAGCAGAAGTATACGCTAATTGTGCGCAGCCTGGAAGAGGTCTTGGGAGATGAAAAAATGCTTGGAATTCTGAAAACAAGGGACTTGAAGGTTTACTGGGGGACTGCCCCCACTGGGAAAATTCACATAGGGTACTTTGTTCCCATTGCAAAAATTGCTGACTTTTTACGCGCAGGGTGCGAAGTGACTGTTTTAATTGCAGACTTACACGCAGCTCTTGACAACATGAAGGCTCCAATGGACCTGATTGAGAAAAGAGCAGAGTACTATGAAATGGCGATTAAGGCCATGCTAGTAAGTATTCGTGCGCCGATTGAGAAGATTCGATTTGTCAGAGGAACTGAGTACCAGTACAATAAGCAGTATGTTCTGGACATGCACAAACTGTCCATGGCTGTTTCTGTAAACGATGCAAAAAGAGCAGGCTCAGAAGTAGTAAAGCAGACAGACAATCCCCTGCTTAGTGGACTGGTCTACCCAGGGATGCAGGCAATTGATGAAGAGCACCTAGGCGTAGATGCACAATTTGGAGGAATAGATCAAAGAAAAATCTTTGTATACGCAGAGGAAGTTTTGCCTAAGCTAGGATACGAAAAAAGATACATTTAATGAATCAAATGGTCCCCAGCCTGGCAGATGGGAAAATGAGCAGCAGTGATGCACAGTCAAAGATAGGCCTGGAGGACACTAATGCACAGATCAAGAAGAAAGTGCTTGCTGCATTCTGTGAAGAAAAAAACACCAGCCACAATCCAGTTCTTATATTCATTAGTAAGTTTGTGTTTAACACATTCCTTCTTAGCTCTACGCCGACCTTTACTATTTTAATCAAAAAAACAAATGAAACCCGGGTATACAACAGCTATGAGGAGCTAGTCTTTGACTTTGGAGAGGGCTCTATCCATCCACTAGACCTTAAAGTTGCATTAGTGGAATATTTAGTGGGATTAATTTCCCCAGTGCGAGATGAGATTCTCAAGCATAAAGATGTCATAGACCAGGCATACCCAGCATCAGTTAAAGTTAAGTACGAAAAACCAAAGAAAGCAGGAAAGAAGCACCCAAAGGCAGAAGAGAACAAACCAGCAGATAAACAATAATTTTAAATTTCTGGTTATATCTGCTAGGCTTGTCTAGAGAAGTTCGGGTATATGTGCATACATACAGTACTCCGAAAATTCAAATAATAAATGATACTTTTAGTATTTCTGTGTATACCACAGCTAAACTTACTATACCACTGTATTATACGCATTCTATAACATTTTGGATTATGCCAGATTATATATAAGCTGTTTATGCCTTATGTGCTAGTAACTGACAGATGTTATTATCTGGTATTTAATTGCAAATATTTATTTTTGTATGAATCCTTTTGAATCTGTTAAGAGCGGGTATGTGGATACAACAGTTCTGTCGTATTTCTCGCTTGTGCAAAAAAAAGACATAAACACACGCTGCAAAGCACTGGCACGCATTGTTAATGATCTGGATAAATTACCCATTGACTCTGTCGCGCAGTGCTTATACGACACAATGCCTATACTCTGCAAGAACGCGCAAGAGCCAGTGCCAACTCATGTTTCTGAGATTCTTTTATCTGTTATAAAGAAGAGTTCTCTTGAGATACGAAGAAGCAGCATGTGCCAGTGGATGCACATGTTTCTTTCTTCGCCAAATAAGGCCGGGTACAAAGTAGTAAAGATTCTTAGCAAGAACCAGGAGCTGGAGCCGCTTCTGACTATATATAATAAAACAGCAACTGTTGAAATGTACATAAAAAGCAAGATTATTGAAAGTGCATCAGAGAAGACAGTTGATATATGCCCAGAGACAATTAAAAAAGCAAAAACCGCTCAGGAGTTGTGCATACTTGCTAAGCTAGTAAAATCCCTTGAAGAAAGAGGACAGATGTGTGCTGAAATAAAAGAGGCGGTGCTTGATACTGTCACTGCATCCAAAAATATATCAGATAAATGGAAGGTGTTTGCTGCTATCCAGGATGGGTATACGGTAGAGGAGCTGATAAAAGACAGTGCAAAAGTAGAAGACAGCACATTTTTATCTATTGTTAGCGCTGAGAAATTTAGAAAGCTGGCTGAAGAATATGGCAGTGTTGTTTTTGTGCAGAACTGCGAGCACCTGCCTGGAATTCTTTTCTCCGTGCTGTTAGACATAACAAATGACAGAAAACTTGTTCTTAAAAAGTTGCTGCAGGGAAACACTGCAGGATTTGAGCACATAAAGGTAGAGAAAGAAGACTTCCCGTATGTGAACACAATTGGCTGCTACAACAGAGTAAATGAGGTGCTACAAGCACACCCTATACGGGATGTGCGAGTGTATGGCGAGCTTACATTTAAAGAAAGGATTATTCGGGCAGATTTACTTGGTGACAAAATAGAAGACATCAGCAGAGAGATGATATCTCAAATAAGCATAGGGTTTCTTAAGAAGGAAAGCATTTTTGAAGAGGGTGTTCGGGTTCTTCCGCCATTTTTCTTTAAAGAAGAAGAGGGGATGGGACAAGAAGAGCACATATATGTTGCAGCGCAGCACCCTTCTCTTACAACTAGAAAAACAATAGATCTTATGTTTAAGCACAAGCTGTTCATTGAAAAAATACTGAAAGGTCTCTCTGATGAGCTTATGCTGTATCTTATGGATAAGATAGAGAAAGAACCGGCTGATGTAATACAGGAGGTATATGAGATGTTAAAGGGCGCCGTTAAGCAGAAGTATGGACTTCGAATGCTCAGCCGTATATACACAACCACGACGTATACAAAGTATGACTTTCAAGAAAAGTTTGTGCTTAGTGGGGATATAGAGGAGAACTATCTTATATATCTTATAGAAAAAGAAGCGGTAGAGGAAGACAGTGTATATAAATACATTATAGCCGACGCAAACAAAAATGCAACTGGGACGCAGAATGTGCTTGATGAGTGTCTTGAGCTGGAAGAGGTCATGGAGAATGCAGAGGTAAAACAGGCAAGTAATGCATATCTATTCGGGCAGGCACACTTAAAGTGGAAAAAGGTTCTTTTATCTCTAAGAGATGCAAATTTATCTGGGTTCCTACAGAAAATACTTCAGACACAAACTGTCCTACCAGCTTTGGAAGAGAGTGGACTAATTATTGATAAGTGTGCATATCTAACCGGTCTTATAGGCAAAATAGCTAATGCAATGATCTTTTGGAAGAGCGTGCGAGAGAAGCAAGTGCCTGCATTAATACACAGACTCTCTGCCAGAATACAGGAGGAAAGCATGAAGTGCACTGAAGAAGAAAAAGAACTTGCCAAAAGCATTGTTTTAATATACACAGAAACACTACTTGGAAATGAAATTCATGCAGATTTGGACATAAAGCTTCCATCTGTTGCACTAGACAGTCTTCCAAATAAAAGCAGAGCTGTATTAGCATACCTTCTTCTGAGAATACAAAGAAGCACGGGGCATAAGGCACTATCTCTGACATTTAAGGAAGCACAGAATCTTCACTGTAGAGTACTTTCTTTATCAATACAAAACAGCACGGCATTAAACAGCATAGAAGAAATAGACTTCTCATTTGTGTCCCAAGAAGACATCCGGCACATGCAGGCGCATCTTGAAAAGTTCCCAGAAAAGGCCGCTGCGTGTATTAGAAGCGACCGTGCATGGACAACAGGTGCTGCTGCATACCGCAGTGAGATGTATAATCTTATTTTAAAGAGCATAGCAAAGCACTATGCGAACTCTGTCCTCAATGTTTACAGCATGTCAAAGGTTGAAGAGGGTGCGATTGATGCAGAAATATTCTATATGCTTTTTGATATTCCTGCCATCCAGGATATAAAAAACATGAATGCATACGAGTGGAGGCTGTTTTTGGCAATTTGCAGTGAGATCCGGTCAATTGAGCTGCTGTCTTTAATATCCACTATGGTCCGTGCTGAGTGCAAATGGCTTCCTTTCTTAATATCAAGTGAGGCAGATGCTTTGGATCTTCTTGGGCTGTTTGCTAAAAACTTCCCTGTTCTTCTTCGTATATTCTTTAAGAGCAGCCGAAATGTTAGGCGAGTGCAAAGGTATTTCATTAGCCGAGTCACCCCAAATCTCATCAGAGAAGAAGCCAGTCGCCCGCTCCAGGGCGTTGAGATCAAGGTTAAAACCATTGCAGAGACACACATTCTAGTTGTTTTGTATACGATAGAAGAGTCTGAATTAGAGGTTAACATCAACTTCCCCAAGGACTATCCGCTCACTATACCAGAAATAAAAATCATCCGCTGTGTAGGGGTTAAGAAGCAGCGCCTACAAAGACTTCTTCTTAGAATACAGATGTTAATGGCCGAGCACTGCAGAGTGGGAGAAGCATTGGTGCTGTGGAAGCTGGCTCTTGACAAAACAATTGATGAAATTGAGGAGTGCGGAATTTGCTTCTTCATGGTGGACGAAGTTTCCAAAAGCTTCCCAGACACAACTTGTGCAAAGTGCAGTAACCAGTTCCACGGTATTTGTCTAAAGACTTGGTTAAAGAGAAGTAAAAATCTCTGTCCTATCTGTAGAGAAGAAATCGCATCTTAAAATAAATATCACCTATCTTTCTATATATACTTTAGGTGGCGGCTTATATGAATGTCTTTCTATCTGAACAATATCATGTCAGACCAAATGTTTGACGATCTTCTGAAGGAGAAGCGAATTCTTCTGGTTCGATTTGGGTATGCCGCAGAGAAAGATTGCGAGCGCCTGGACAGAATGCTTGCGTCAATAAATCAAATGGTGAGCAGATATTTTGCAATTGCAGCATACGAAACAAGAGATGTGACAGAATTACTCCGCAAAAAGTACAACATAACAGAGGAGACTCGGCACATTCTTGTGTTCTTTACCAAGGGCGCACCTATTTATGTTTCGTTTTGCAAGAGGCCAAGCTTTCAGATATGCGAGTATATCCCGGGTGTGGAAGAAATGCTGTCTCTTTTAATTATGGTGCACCAAGGAATAACCCATAATAAGAAAATAATCAATGTTTATGGGACATACTTTGAAAATAAGAAATCAGTAAGAAAGCTTGAGAAACAGGAAACTTGAGCGAGTCTACAACAAACAATCTTTTTGTTCTATAGTTTTAGTGCAGCAGTTTTGGTTAAGCAGTCTGAAATAATAAATTAGTATTTATTTAGATGCGAATCTTCTTTTTTATTTATGAAGTGGACGGGATGCACGCTCAGGACTGCGAAAACCGCATACAAGTTTGAAGAATCAATTTTGAGCTGTGGGAGGATTTGCAGTCACACCGCTGTTGTGCTGGAGAGGTCTATTGTTTTTGTAGAAAAGAGTGGCGAAATCATAAAGTACCCCACGGGGCAAATAAATAGCTGTGGCATTTTATCAAATGGTGTCATATATTCTGAAGAGAACAGCAAGCATCTTATCTATATAACCCACCCCTATGAGACTGTGCACTCTTATTCTATTCAGAATGTACCATTTAATATTGTATCGGCGGATAAGGACAGATTTGTACTTTTATTTTACGCAGAAGGAAGAAACTATCTAAATGTATATAAGGGGACGCCGCCAGCGCCTGTTCTACTGTTTTCGTCACAGCAGGAAGATGTTCTTGGTGTGTGGATCAGAGGAACCCGACATCTAGTGGCAGAGACAAATAAAATTATTATACGCAGTATGCGCAGGCGATCTAATGAGTCAGAAATAAAGCGGGTGGGGGAATACATACCTGTTTCTAAGAGAGTAGAGAGCGTTGTGCCTATTAAGATGAAGCGAGGGGCTTATTTTTTAGTGAATGGGCAGGAAGTGGTAAATGAATATGGTCTTGTAATTAATCTAGCTGAACATTCCAATGAACAACAGCTGAAGTGCATTACACAGAAGGCGCTTTCGCAGATAGAGATAATTAAGCAGGGGAAATATAATATAAAAGAAGTCACTGACTTCATTAAGTATACAACAAAAGGGCAGCGGCTGTTTTCATCTGTTTTGCCATCAAAAAGCATGCATGGTGTGCTTAGATCATATACTTCATCTTTAGACAGCTCTCTTGATAATTTACTTTCACAGGAAATTTCACTGCTATCAAAAAGACAGATAAAAAAGATTTCTGTGCATTTGGAGGGTGTGGTGCATCTTATAAAATCTGTAGATGGCATTAAAACCCCTCTTTTTGGTGAAATTGCAGAGAGAATTAAAAAATCCAATCGAAAAATGGCATATCTTTTCAGAATGCTCAGCTCTGCTTCTATCCCAGACAAGGCGCTTATATATGAGCTATTTTCTTATGATGAAAGATTTCTGCATAGGTCAAAAAATCTAGGATATGTGCTTATACAGAGCGACCAAAGTTCTGTAAAGAAAAAAGAAGCATCTGTAACAGGGGAAAACATTGCACATACTCTAGACGACCCAGAGCACATTCAAAGTGTGCCAAACCGCCTGTGCAACACTGGGATAATAGAAGAGTGCAAGCGGCTTCTCTCGGGCCACCAGATAGGAGACTTTCTATTTGATGTATATGACACAGAGAACAGGCGAAAGAAAGCATTTGTCTTCTCAACAATTGCCTCTGTTGGTAGAGGCGTCTTTCTTTTAAATCGCAACAGCCAGATCAATGTGTTTCAGGTTCCTCAAATGAAAGTCTTCTTGAAAAAGAACAACCACGTGGTTACTATTACAGACCTGACTGAATGGGACAGCATGTGGCCTTCCTTCCATTTTGCTGTGGCAACTGCTCTGTCAATTCCAAATAGGCCATTTATATCAACAAGCCACATTGATGTGATGTCGCCAACTATGCTAATGTCACTGGCTGGTGCAATATTTGGATTTGGCCTGAAAACATCTGTGTGCCAGAGCAACCTGTCAATTGGAGAAAAGCTGAATCTGTCTCGGTCTCTTATTCTCTCGCTGTCAAAGAGTCATGACACTCTTCTAATTGCAGCTACCATCCTAGGGAACTCCTTTATTATAAAAGGCACGGGAAACAAGGACCATGCCGCCATTATATGGTTTAATATGCGGCTGTCCACATCTCCTGGGCATCTTTTAATGTGGAGTGTACTTTCCCTTGGAATATTGTACATAGGGCAAGACGACTTATTTGCAAAAAAGTCTCTTATAGAGTATATGCAAAGGCGGGGTGTGATAGTCTCAAAGAACAATGACCCAATGTCTAAAAAAGAGTACTATGACAAGTACCACCGGGTGGCCGCAGCATTTTCCTTTGCATATATAACACTTGGATCGCATCTCCGGGAGTACATTAGACTTCCTGATCGAACATGTGAAATTATTGTTAATGGGTTGGTGCACATGCGAAGCGGCTGGGAGAAAATATCAAGTCTGCTTGAAGAGATTCCAGCGCACTCTATTCCTCTAAACCGATTTTACTCTTCGCTCATGATAGTTCTAGTGCTTGGCACTATTGATGGGTATGAAAAGACTTTTTCCGATGCTGTTGCAGAGGATATAAGTGTAGAAGAGGCATATAGTATTGCTGGAAAAATCTTTGGGTATGGGCTTCTTTTAATCCCAGAGGAAAGTACAAAGCCGTCTGCGCAGTTTCTTGACGGGATTACAAATCTGCTGTACCGCCTAGAAAGCAGCTGTACACACTCTATTCTACTGGACTATAGTCTTCTTGCATCTTGTTTGCTTCTTAATGCCTCTGGCGACCTTTGTCTTCTGAGCATTTGCCAGCGACTGCTTGATTCTGTAAAGTGTGTAGATTCCCTAGCAAAAATAACTGACTTTTGTCCATTTTCTGGGATATACAGAGAGCAGTATGGTATGCGCTATGGGAGAATTCAGCACATAAAAATGTGTCTGTCGATCCTTGCGCCTGGGTGCGGATCTATGCGGCTTTCTTCTTCCCAAGAGTCAATTGCATTCCTAGTAACTAGCTTTTATCCAGAGTTTCCGCTCACCCCAGAGGACCAGGATGCATTCCAGGTAATCAGACACTTCTATCTGCTCTCTTTAGCTCCGGTTGATGCTAGAGATACATGCTTTGTGAATGAGGTGCTTCCTGCAGATATTGAGAATGACCTGCTGACTTCCTCGCCTGTAGACAAAAAGGCCGCTGTAGACATTATAACCTCATACTTTGAGAAAAACAAGATTAAAGCATTTGATTCAACATACATAGAGGCACTTATAGCACATCTCTATTCTGGATTGTTATAGGCTGGTGGTTATTTCAAAGAATAAAGTGTAATACTCTGAAAATTACTGTTGATTGTTTGTATAGCCATTGGCGTGTATTTGGTGTATGTGCTTATATTAAATGCCTATTTTCTTTTTTTATTTTTGTCTTGAATGATAATTCTATATTTTAGGATATTTTATTCAAATGGATTTATTTAGAAAATACAATGAATATGTACTTAAATTCTGAAGACTTTTACAAAAAATATAATCCATGCAATACAGAAATAAATTAAAAACATACTAGAAATAAAAGAAAAAAATTAAACTATTTTTAATGGAAAGACTCTGCCATTTATATTCTTAAAATAGTGACTCATGCAGGCTTCTAGATAATATTATAGAACGGGAATGTGTCATTTAGTCTATATTCCCAGAGACATCTTAAAAGAACCAATTCGGTGCCGTATTTCAGTTAAATTATGCATTTCGCAGAATGTGATTGCTTCATCGAGGATAATCTTTTTACTGCGCGGACTCGCATACTCTGAGCTCTTTCCCTTCTGCTCTAGCATGCACGCAGCTTTTATAACAGACATACCCAGTGTTACTAGCGCACATCCAAGGTTCTCATCGCTTTGTGGCGCTTCTACCTTTTTTCTAGCAAGTATATCAAAGACTACATCCATCGGTGCAGAAGCCATGATTTCAGGGTTTCCTTTCAGAATTTCAATGCACTGGTCGTATGGTCCAGACAGTGCATCATCCCAAAGAGTTTTCATAAGAATAGGATCATCGATTTCTCCCTTTGCGGATATTTTCAGTGCAAGCACAGAAAAACCAAACATAACGCATATCTCAAACAGCTCTTCAAAGCTTAGTAGGCCTGTGTCCAGGCGAACAAAGGTTTCCTCAATAATCGCCTGTGGCGCGGATCCTTCGCACTCTGCAACATTATATGCGCAAGAAAGAGCAGCTAAGACATCTGCCTGCCTCTGCGCCATGCACAGTCTTTCTTTTGCACAGAGGCCTAGACGAGGCACATAGTTTCTAATGTGCCCCATTAGTGCAGGATCATCGCTTTCCTTTGATGCCGACTGCATAGTGCTGGCGATCGATATGTACTCTATTCTTTTTTCTAAGGAAATGGTTGGCTTGGCTCTTTCCGCCGACCGCAGCAGATAGCGGGCAGCAGTTGAGTAGTTTTGGTTCTTTGCATGGTATTTCCAAATGAGATCGCACATATCCAATGAGTCAGATGTTCGGTCCAGCCGATCAAGATAGTCCTCCAGATATGGCGACTTTATCTTAAGTAATGTATCAGCTGAAAGGCTTCCTTCTGAAATCTTTGCAATTGCAGAGTTTAGCAGAGCATTGCACAGAGCAGGCCTTTCGTCTTTAAGCCCCTCTAGAAGAATCTCCTCTGTGCACTCGATCTTTCTGAAATATGCAGTGGCCTCTTCTTCTGTAATAGAACTGAACCCAGCGCGGATGGCATATAGAATTCCCTTTGAAAACTTTACATTAGAGTACATCTCCACAATTTCTGGGAGGTACTTTTTGGCAGCAGTCTTTGTGAAGAACTCCATACTTTTCACCAGATACCACTTCCGGTCCTCGCTGGTTGCTGCGCGAGAGGCCTTCTCTATAGCCTCCTTCCCCTTTAGCAGCAGAGTGTCTGTAAGGGCAAACAGTGTAGAGCACTTTTCATTGAGCTCGCTAGTCACACTGTCCACTGTTGCCTTCTGGCTTAAGTTCAAATCTACAAGAGCATTGAGTGTTGCTCTTCTCAAATCTGTCACCGGTCGAAGGAAGTTCGCATACGTAAACTCAAGTTCACTTGCGCTCTTCTTCTGTGCCTCATCGAAAATATATAGAGCGTCTGACTCCATAAGTATATTTATGTAGTGCAAAGTCTCTGCAATATTATCCAGCATATCTACAACCGTGTCCTCTGCAATTCGAATATTGTTAATGTTTATGCACTCTTTAATAATAAAGTTCTTCAGTCGCTTGGTTCTAGCAATCGCGCTTTCTATCTCATCGATATACTCACTGATCTCTAGCCCAGACTCGTCCTTTAGCATTTTGTATATGTCAACGCCCCACACCTTATACACAACTATTCCCGCACATGTGATAATAGCCTTCTTCTGCAAAGGCTCTGATTTTTTGAAAAAGCTGTCTATAGCAGGCGAAGTTGCTCCTCTTGCAACTGCATAGAGAGCAGAAATAAGCGATAGCTCAGCCCCGTTTCTCTGCATAAATGCAAACATGCCTTCTGGGTTTGTTGTTGCCCTCTCCATTAATTCCACCCCATTCATAATGTGATATATATCAATCTTGTTAACTCCCAAGCAAACTACTTCCTCCCCTGAAATAAGTCCCTCGGCCAGGTTCTTCCAGGAACTTTCCCCAGACAGAGCAATTTGCAAGTACTCTGTGCCAGTCATAATTGTACAACAGTTCTCTGGGGTTGTTGTGTCTGTTTTGTTTCGTGTGATCGTTGTGATAAACATTTCACTCTCTTTTCTCCCAAAGCTTACTAAACTCTTTCCTATCTGATAGAAGTTCTCTTCTTTTATAGAGCTTGGTGCAACTAGTCGCGATCTTATTCTAGCAGGGGTCATTGGTCTCTTCCCTAAAAGATACCCATTACAGTCCAAAAACATCCGAGTGGCATCAGAAAGAACCAAGTATGCTTGGCATCTAGTTCCGTCTGCACGCACAAGCTGTATTTTATCGGTTGTGTTCAGCTCTTGTAAGTCTGCAGTCCGTACTTTCTTCAAGTACTTATCTAGCTCGTACACCTCTAAAGTATTGTCCTTGAACAAAACCAGCACTCCTTTATACGTAGGAACTATCTGCAATACAGCAGCCTTGCGCCCCATTGCATATAGAAATGGAAGAACGTGCGACATTATCCCGTGCGTGTGTGAAAATATCTTTGCGGTATATCCCTTTAGCCAACTGCTCTCTGCGTACACAAATTCATATATGTTTCCATCCTTTCCCCCCATAAAAATCCTTCCTGCGTCGTTCTCGCATACACAGGTCATCTGCACCGGAAGATCCACTGAAATGTCCATACTAATGTACGTGGCTGGGTTCTTGCACAGGCACATCATATTAATGGAATGCTCTGTAAACACAAGGATGCAGTGCTGTACATTGGATGTAAAAATGTTCTTCACCCTCTTAATGGCAAATATAGCTTGCACTTTCTGAGCCTTCATCTCTATTTCGCTTATCATTTGGTTACTGTAGTTCCATATTACTAATTTGCCTTTTACAGCCCCCCAAACAGAAGACATCCCATCGATCAGGCCAACAACTCCTCCTTCCTGTGCCATTTCCTCTATCTCCTTAGGCAGGCCAACAGACTCTTTTTTATAAATAAGAGTGTCCATGGTATAGCCGCTGCTGTAGTTCTTTACCGCTTCCTGCGGTGCCTGTAACATACTTGACAAATCCCTCACTGCGTTCTGTACCTCGCTGTATTTATCCATACAAAAATAAAAATGTATGGAAACACTTTACACACTGGAAGGATATACATTTAAAGAGCTGCTTGGAGAGGGGATGTATGCTGAAGTGTATCTCGCAGAAAAGGATAAGAATTCGGTTGCATTGAAGGTTATACCCAAAGGAAAGCACAGAAAGAGAGGAACTATGCATGCGAAAAAGGAGATTGCTGCGCTAAGCAAGCTGGGCGACACACCGGGTGTGGCTCACATGAAGGAATGGAAAGAGAGTGACAGCCTCTTCTTTATTTCACTGTCGTACTTTAGGGGGTACAATCTATCGAATCTTCCATCTATGCTGACTCATAATGAAGTTTTATGCACCAGCCTCTCTATTCTCGAAACTCTTATGAGAATGCACCAATTCGGGGTATACCACCTAGACATTAAACCAGCGAATGTAATTGTATCTAGGCATGGTGTGCACTTAGTGGACTTTCGGCTGCTCAGTGGTTTCCTCAGAAGAGACAATAAGCGGAAGCATGCTTCCATATGAAGGAACTCCCGCATACATGGCACCAGAGATGATCATTCGAAAGTCTAGCACCATTACTCTCCCCGCTCTTGATGTGTGGGGATTTGGCTGTCTTCTATACTACATGGCATCTAGGAAGGACGCATTTGTGTCTACCTCATTGTATTCTCTCTACCCGAAAATAGTTAGTTGCAAAATAGACTACACTGGTATTCCGCTGGACATACAGCACATATGTAAGAAGATATTCATTGCCTGTCCAGAGAGCAGAATTGGTATAGCCGATCTCATTACACTGATTAAAGAGAAAATTTCATTGTGTACATAGTCAAACCATTAGAGTGGGTGTGGGATATGTTTCAAGTGTAACACAGCATGATATATAAGAAGCCCTGTACTTTTAAAGTGCACAGGCGAAAGAAAGTGAGTAAGCACTATGCCATGACAATTTTTAAACTATGTGAGTGTGTATATGCGTATTTAGAAAGAATTTTCAATAGAGTATAAATATTCATTCTGAATATATTTTCTTAGTCTATGACTAGAACAGAAACAATATAAATTACCTTAGATCCAATCTGTATTAATTTTTATATTATTATGTACTCTAACCCACATACAGCGTATAAACAGTGTCAGTGTTAATTTATAACGTAAATAGTCCAAAGTACTCTATTTCTGGTTATTTCTACACTTTTATATTATTTAAGAATATTTTCTCTACTTATTATTAATAATGTGTACACAATATATTAGTAACAACATAAAAAGCTATTTCTAGTTTATATTATAACTGGTGTATGGGCATAATCGGAATGAAATATAAAGCACTAAACTGCACAGTATTTTTATTCTGCGACTGGTTTTCTTTGCTGGATTATAAATATATTATAAAGCCAGCTAGCTGAAGTATTCAGCAGATGCACGATTTTTTTAATAATGTTCATTGAAACTGTGCAAACAGAAAGACTGCAGATTTCTCCAAGTGAAAAAGACATAGATGCAGCGATTCTAAGCACTCTTCAGAAAAGAGTTCCTGGTAAGATTGTTAATGGCATTGGAATAAGCCTGTTTCCCGTGCGCATTAAAACCGTCACTGATGTAGAAATACACGAGGGGCTGTTATATCCGTTAGTCTGCTACAAGCTCATTATATATCAGGCCATCCCAGGAGAAATTCTTGTGTGCACAGTTGAAAAGCAGGACAGCACAGGAATTCTTCTTGCGCACCCACTTCTTCCAAGTCTTTTTGTTCCTGCCTCACAGCTACCGTCTTCATCAGAGCTGACTGCAGTTTCTGGGCGCATGGGGAGCACTGTAGACATATGGGGGTGGAAGTACAATGAGTGTATATTGTATGTTCGTATGGGTGAACTATGTAAAGTATCTGTTGTCAGCACAAACCACTCAAAAATATATGCAACGATTAATGGGCCCGGGCTGGGCCCTATTTCCTGGTGGTGATCTGGGCATTCTCCTATTATGTAATTATTATGTAACCGCCTATAACATGCAAAGGATAAAATACATAAATCTTTATTTCAACACCCCGACGTAACCCGAAATCCAATCTTTGTGATTTGCAATTAGAAAATAAACTACAAATATTTTAGCTTAATACGTTAATGCAGTACACAGTAAGCACAATAAAATTCACAAATTCCACTTGTATAGAGTGGATATTTCAGATCGTTGTTGAAATGTTTGTAATCTTCACATCTCAATTATATAACATCATTATTGCTCCAGAGGCATCGAGCAGCTCTATCTCGTTCTTAAGCACGGCAAGTATAACAGTAGTACAGAGCAATTCGGGTTATATCTTGGGTATATTAGAACAGATGCTGTATTTATTGCTAAGTACTATATTGCTTATGTCTGTGTATGCAGCGCTTGTTTCATTGGCACTGATCCCAGTGAACATTATGTTTATTAGCAATCTTATAATAACACTATACATTAGATTTGATGCGTGGTCTAGCAGATATTTCGGGTTATGGTATAAAATTATGAATGTAGCTTATGCATATATTCTATATTTGGCTGGGGTTCTATTTTTATATCGAGTAATAAACACCAGCGAAATTATTATATCCAGATCAGTATATACAAATGGGATGCTCATAATGCCGGTTGTGTGCCTTATGGCAATTGCTGTTATATCCAAGTATATTACACAAATAGTATTAAAAACCATGAATAGTACGCTGTCAGGGTGCTATGTCAAAGAATATCACAATACGTTTATTAGTTTGTTATTTTCTTCTATTACTTGCTCATTTTTAGAGCTGCTTCATCTTCTGATTATTAGAAAGAGTGCGTGCGGATTCATTGAGACTCTTTACTATATCTTTCTGGGTGGGTACAGTCTCTTCTTTTTCGGTGTGATAGCAATCACCCGCATATATAAGAGAAATGATTAGGAGAAAATAGCACAAAATACCAGTAGATGCACCAAATAAATGAAAAACATCTCTGTTTATTTTTCTGCCAATCGGGCTTCTTTAAATATTGTCTATTCTCATACAAATCCTTCAGAAATAGTGCGGTTGGTGTAATAACAAATAAACAAAGAAGGTATAAATAATATTAGAAACATATACACACATGTACACTATGACAAGTGCTATTATAGCTGGTTCTTCAACTAAGCTCAAGACAGGATTTGAACAGATAAAAGAGTTTCTTTGCTCAGAAGAGAAGAAGAAGATACTAGATGCATTTCATATGATATCCAAAAAAGGAATTACTCATAAAGAAAAGGCACAAATCTTTCCACAGATTCTTAGCTTAATAGGAAATACTTCAATAGAAGTAAAGTCTCTTGCGTACTCTTTTATTTTACGTACAGTTAGGTGTGACTCTTCTCTTTTAATTCTTGCAGTAAACACTCTTATGCAGGAAATAAACTCAGAAGTGGAATTAAGGGGGCCAGCTCCTGCTCTTAAAGCATCGCTTGCCATTGACTTTATATCAAAAATAACTGATCCAGAGTTTTTAAACCACTTCTCGTATGAAATAGAAAAGAGGTACATTTCAGAAACAGAAATCGTCAGAAAGTCTGCTTTGCTTGCTGCTCCTACAATCTTCCGAGTGCTTGGCGAGACAAAAATAGACCGTATAAAGCAATCCCTCCATGAAAAAAGTGCCACAGTGCTTGGTGCAGCTATTTCTGCAGTTATATCCATAGAGATGTACAAACCATGCACATTTAGCAGCGAAGAGATTTCTCTCTGCTTTAAAACACTGTGTGTACACAGGCAGAACATAGAAGAAGCGCACGGAAACTTCTTCTTCCTTTTCTCGCAAATGTGTAGAATTATTCGCACACATCCATCCTCTGATGTAGTTGAGACAGCAGCGCAGGTTTTGGAGTTTCTTCCACTGTGTGCTCTTAAAGAGATGTCTGCTATAAACCAAGGAGACCTTCCTCTAGCTGTGGTTGAGAAGATTGCGAACTGTCTAATATGTTATGTTGGAACAAGACACAAGACAGACGCACTTGAATGCATTCTTTTCCTTCTAAAGAACCATAACATTAAGCTTGAAACAGATCCATTTATATTGGCTCCTCAGGACACAAAGAAAGAGAAAGTGCAAAAGCTTTACATCCTTTCTCTTTTAAACACCTCTGAGGCACAGGCAGAAATAGTTGCTTGTGTCAGAGACCGCGAGTGTGTGTACCACTCAATCACTCTTTTACTGGAGCTGGGTGTGCTTAAAGAAGAGCACATTCGACTTGGTTTGCAGTACAGTCAGTCATCTATGCTAAAAGCAATATATGCCAAGCATCCATTACCAGAGAAATTCTCCTCCGTAATAAGAAATGCTCTGACTAAAATGGAAAATGTACTGGAAAAAGAGGCATACCTTTTCTTAGCGGGATACTACTTAAACACCATCACAGATGAAGCCAACCGAATTCGTAGAATACGCAGCTCTACTGGCGGTGTGCTGTATGGCAGGCCTGAAGAGAGAGAGAAGGCTGAGGAGCACCTAGAGGAATACATGTACTTCCTTTTGAATTTGCACACCCGCGGCATTCTCTCTAAGCAAGACTGCACACAGCAGGCACAGACAGCCTTCGCAGAAGAAATCTTCCTTTTTAACAAATTCACACACTTAATTGATCTTCCTGACAGAAAGCATCTGTTAGAGCTGATTGCATATAAGCGAATCCTGCACAAACTTCCAGACTTTGTGTAGGCCTGAAAACAAATAGGAAGAGCACAAACCCCAGAAATTACAACTGAATAAATAGTTATAATTGCAATTTTATCATATTAAGACTTATTTATTCTTTTGTGCTATAAATAGTCTTATTTCTATAATATCACACTGCGTACATTCCTTCTTATTTAATTTAACTACAGAGTCATGTCACTGGTTGCAACCGTGTACTCTATTCTTCTAAATATATTGTTCTTTAAATTTCGTACAAACAGATTTTTAGTTATTTCTGCATCCTCATCGATATAAAGAATCCCTGCTGTTCTTCCTTTTGCAAATGAAAAAGAGGAGCGGCCTACCTCTCCAATAATCTCTTCGTTTCCTTGCATAGTGAATTCCTCAGACTGGTCGCTTTGTATCACAGGCGATTTAGGTGGAAAGCTTCCTTTAGCTGCAGTAAAAAGAAGTATTTTTTGCGTGCCCAACTCTTTTTCATAAAGTGGTTGAAATATTACATCTTTTTTACCTTTTGGCTTTTTTCTCTGCACCTCTTCCTCTAAAGAGGCTAAGTACGATAAAAATGCTTTTCCATGCGGATTCTGCGGAATATCATATGGGTACACAATTCGCTCGGTCTCTGTGGCCATTCTGCGCAGCTCAAGAATACTACAGGGTACAATGCCAGAGCAAACACATTTTCTGCAGCAGCCACATGCAGTGCTTGCGCGAAACAATAACATATGACTTGTTTTTTACTCGCATGGATATATACGATGGAGTTTCTGGGTCTATAAGATCTTCTACTTTTGTACAATTCACCAATTCGCTTTTGGCAAATAGCGTCTGCTTTCCAAACACCTCAAATACCGATAGATTTTCTATTTCCTGAGCAGATATAATATTTGAATCTACCCATTCTTTAGACTCTGTAATAACAATACTTTTCCCCTTCAAACACCCATTTATCGTTTTGCTATCTTGAGTTATAATGTCCTCGCCTGACCATATAATTGATCTATTATATTCTTTATCTATTATAATCTGTGTTGGCATGGGTGTTACTCCAATATAGACCTGATTGCATGAAACATCACAAAGTACTCCTCTTGTGTTGTATGCCTTTGCAATAAACCCTTCACTTTTTGAGTGTCTCTTAAAAGGCACTGCCATGTTTCCTCTTTTGTACATATTAAATCGCTTTGCATACCACGTGTGCGCCTTCAACAGATTTTTCTGATCTTTCACACTCTGCTTGATCTGTCTTCTTTTTGTTCTTGCTCTCCTTCGATACTCTTTTGGCAGCCGCCTCTCATCAAAAGACGCAGTTCTTCTTCTTTTGTGAAATGGGAGAGTCTGGAATAACATTTTGTTCTTTTTTGTAGCTGCGATGCTTGCTTCTATCTCCTTTATTTCCGCTGCTCTAGCGTTGGCATACTCTATAGAATATATTTGTGCATCCATGCTAGTTAAAATTATTTCGTATTTATAGTTATAAACCAGTAAAACAAGCTATACATAAAGCATAAATATATTCTTTTCCTATAAAATTAATCAAAGAATAAAACCTCTGTGGCAATAGTTACAGTTGTTATTATGCCCAGTGCCTCCAGGGAAAGAACAACTAGGCCCTGCCTGTCTATGTTGAAAGAAGCAGAGATGTACGCGCACTTTGGAAGTCTATCTAAGTGGTACTTAAGCAGAGTAAACGAGCAAGAACTACTCACGGGCGTGTCTAGCTTTGTGCTTAGCACAATATTATTCTCTGAAATTCCTCGAATAGATACTTCTGTCTGATCTACACTTACCTCCAGCTCGTTGCTGCAAACTCTTCTAATGAGAGACAGCCCGCTGTACGCTAAAGGAAACATTGCTGTTCCTAGGCTGTACTCTACCTCAGTCCACTCGAAATCAAGCGTGTACGGTGTTTTTCTAAGAAAATGCCTTCTCCTGCCCATGTCATCTTTAGAAGCTCGCCTTTTCTTGCTATTGTTAGCCTCTCCATGCCTTTCAAGAGAAATTTAGTGTATGGAATAGTCGTGCCCTCGCTCTCTGCTGTGTATGGGTCTAAAACCATTCTGTCTATGTAATGGTCAACAACAATGCTTTTTGACTTGTCAACCGCCTGTATGTAAAGGCCAGATTCTTTGAGCACAATAGATATTTGCTCAAACTTTCCTGCTATTCCTTTGTCAATGGCCGTGCATGTCTTCCTGTCTAATGAAATATCCATTATAGCAAAGGATTTTAAACAGTAATTCTATAAAACTGCCACTTACAGTTTTTCTTGTGCAGAGCAGTGCAGGCTGCAAAGCCTTTCAATCTAAAGCATCCTCGCAATACCCGCAATACATTTATTTGTTCTTAGCAGATGATAGTATAGATGCATAACAGATTTAATAAGGCTGCTATTAAGGCGGAGCATTGTATATTCAGTAACAAATGATGTATAATAAAAAGCACACATATGCGCATAGAATGGCATTAAATAGTACCACGCGTTTTCATTAGTATATTATATTATTGATACTGATATAATGAGAAATTATGATTAGTAATAGATAAATTTATTAATTTATAGCAAATCGCACCGAAAATTGCTGCTATCGCGATCAATGCAATATATATAAAATACACGAGATGCTAGTGCGCGCACCTAGAAATGAATAATCCATAGAGTGTAAATAGTACTTTATTACTTTTTTGGTGTGTATGCTCCTAAGCAGGATATTATGTTTCTATATCCAAATACTGCCTTAATAATAGGAGTTGATTTAGTATAGTATGTGGCAACTAGGTCTCCTTTGTATTTATCCCACAGCCGCACAGTATTATCACTTGAGGAGGAAACAATCAGGGAGGAGAAGTGCGAAAAGCTGACAGAGTATATGAATCCTTCGTGCCCTGTATACTTAAACAGTTTCTTTCCCGTTGCAATATCCCAAAGGATAACAGTTTTATCCTTTCCTCCAGACAGAAGGTGCTTACCACAGGCAGAAACATCCAAACATGTCACTGCATCTTTATGGTCAACAAAAAGACGGACCAGCTCACCATCTTGCAGATCGTGCATTCTAATCTTAAAGTCGCAGCTGCCAGTAAATAAGTAGTTTGAGTTCGGGTGGAACTTTACGCACATTATATCACTAAGAGAAGAGGCAAACAGCCGAACAGGCTTTGCATTCTCAACACTCCACACGCATGCAGTTCTATCACTTGACCCAGATGCAAAGTAGTAATCATTCGATGCAATATCAATACACCACACAGGGAAGAAGTGCCCCTGGTATACTGCAACCTCAGAGTATGTATCCAAAGACCAAAGGCGAATTGTGCTATCCTGCGAGGCAGAAAGCAAGAATCGCTTGTTTGCAAAGAATTTCACTGCATACACTGGACCAGAGTGCCCAACAAGTCGCACCACTTTTCCGGCGTCATCCCGCGCATCGTCTGCCTTGCCTGTTCTCATCTCAGGCGCCTTCAAATAGATGCTTTGTTTGAGCTTCAGTAGGTTTTCATCTGTTAGAGAGTGTATCTCAATGTATGAGTCTGTGTACCCAAGCGCAACGAGCTTTAGATCAGAGGAGTAGTCAGAGCAGCAGAGGGTTTCAAATGTATTATGTACAGTGTAGCAGCAAATACTTGGCATCTGGTGCTTCCCTACATTCATCCTCTTAGCAAGATCTCTTAGCTTATCTATCTCAGATGCAATATGCGAGGCAGACGGACTGGGCAAAGGTATTCTATCATATGCCGGCGGCGTGTGCTCCAGCCGTTTTTTCTTTAGAATCCCCAAGAACTGGTCTAAATACTCATACTTATACTGCTCTTCAGTCAAAACAAGCTCTTCAACCTTGGGTGAAATGTAGTGCACACCGCTTGTAATGGGCTTCTTATTAAAGTCAAAATCTGCCACGCCCACCAGCCCGATGTCCACAATGTCTTCGCTCATCTTTCCAGTGAATACTTTTATGTTAAGGTACTGGTTCACAATCTTCCCTATTTTAAGCATTCCATTGAGCTCCAGAAAGTCAATTAGAAGGTCAAATGCATACTTCCCCATGGTCAGGTGGTATTTATTCGATATAAACGCCATTGCCAGCTGGTTTTCTTTAAGATTGGACATTTCTCGTACCATTTCTATCTGACGCAGCTCGCTTGCATGTACTTCTATAAAGTCTTCTTTGTACTCGTTCATAAATGAAAGTGCTTCATTCTCCCTGCGCATAGATATCATGTCAAGGTACAAATGAATGAAAACAGGAAACATAAGATTATTAAGATCGTTCTTAAATGAGTCAAGCGAGTCCTCAACCCACTGCCGCAGCTTAGCATACCCAGAGTCAATTGGGCCAGACGGATCAACAAGCGTGACATTCCTGACTGATAGCCGAGAGTTTATCTCCCGGTCACCAACGTACTCGTTTAAAGGAAGAACAGTTCGTGCAGGCCCCATCTCCTGGGTTCTCTTATACCCCCTTTTGTCCAGCACGCTCTTTTCATTTCTGTTGTCTCTGTCCATCTCTAAAAATAATTAAAATACGCGCAAAGTAGTAATGCGCCCGAATAAGATGGGCATAGTGTATTTTATATACGTGTGGCTTCTTAGCTCAATGGTAGAGCGCACCCCTAGTAAGGGTGAGGCTACGGGTTCGATTCCCGTAGAAGCCTTTTACAATTATATTTTTTTGTTTTAAATATTTAAGCCAGTATAATTCAATAAAATTTTATTTTTAACCCGAATTATATATATATTGTCTCTCTTAAGAATTAATTTCTTTGAAAAACTACTAATTATTCTTTAAAATACATAAGAATATAATAGTATGCCGATTTTTTAAAATTCTCGGGTTATATTATTAGTTAATAGTTTTATACATTATATTTTTCTCTTAGATCATAGACTCCAAAATTATATTAATATTATTTATATATTCTCTATATTTGTTTGTGTTTCTAAACATTCTCTAATTTCATGGTAGAATTATATAAAACTGCTTTATTATCTAACAAATTGTTTTCCCTAAAATGTATTTATAGATTTAGACTCTTCTATATTCTATATAAAAATTATTTTTATTCGCTAATTCTCTTCTGGCTGTCAAATGAAATTATAGATCATTTTAATTTCTTATCTAAAAATATATAATATTATTTTAAGAAATGCATTGCATGGATCAAAAAGATTACATGGAAGACCAAAATGAAACAACAAAGAATGTCTTAGAGTTTGTTATGCGAACAATTAAACAATCAATAGATTCTGAAAATATATCTAAAGATACTTTAGATAAAACAGTGCATTGTAATATTTTAAAGATACAAAACTATATAGCACAGAATATACCTACAACGAAATCGCCTATGCTTGATATGCTATTATATAATATACTTCTTTCATATAGAAGGATTATTAAGAAGAAAATAAGCATTGCATCGATTATTAAAAAGCAGAATACCGATATAACATATTTAATAACCAATCTCAAGGATAAACTAAAAGAAATGCCAATAGAAAAGGTAAAAATGTTATCTGTATCTGCAAATGAACATAAATCAAAATCTGTAAGCAATCCAGAGGATAACGAAGCAGCATCTAGTAAAGTTGAACGCCACACGCATAGCGGGAAAAGAATGAATTATCCTAAGACAATAACAAAAATACTAAAAACGTGGCTATCTAAACACATAGACAATCCATATCCAGATGAGGTTGAGAAAAAATACTTAATTTATAAAACTGGCCTTGGAAATACACAAATTAATAATTGGTTTATTAATGCAAGAAGACGAATACTTCCGAAATTATTTCAAAAACAACAATCTATAGAAAAATATGCCTAAAAGTATTTTATTAACTAGTTAATATATGCTTAATCTAGAGATGTTGCCCTTTTTTATATAAAATAGAATATTTAATATATTACTAAGCAAAAAATATAAGTTATTTATGATAAAATGAATATCTTCAAGTTATAGTACTTCTGTTTAATTATAAAGTAATTGATATTATACAAAAAAGATTATTTTATAGTTTGTATATAGAGTATTATTTTGTTAATTGCTAAAGAATATAATAATAGTTTACATAAATGTGAGTTTATATATACTTATATAGTTTAACATGGATCGTTATTTGTTTTACAAAATAACTAAAAATAAATTATTTATGTTGCCAAGGGGCTATATATTAATAATTAGTTTAATAAAATTTTATCTTGGTTTTAATTTGTTGGCAACAATTTATAATTATTTATATTTCACTGTAGAGCTATTTTTATAACTACTTTTAACTAAATATTATTCTCTTTTCTAAAATATAAATTTATTTCTATTTCTAAATAATTCAATTTTATTTCTAATACATTTGTAATAGAAGGAATTTATTTTTTTAATTCAAATATTTAAAATATAAAGAGACTTTTATACATAAAAATAATAAATTACTGATTTAATTAATTGGTTTATATGTTGAGTGTTTGTGTATAATTTGTAAATATTGTATAAAGTATAAAAATAAGATATTAATTTACATTTATTGGACACAATAACTACAATTTAATATTTAAAGCTCTTTTTAATTTAAGCTGCACTTTGTTAGCTAAATAATTTATTATTTATACATAAACACTATTTTATAATATGCACATTTAATATAATTAATGACACATATAACATCATAAATATTCAATATCAATAGAAAATATATGAAATTTATTGAATCATTTTATAAAGTGATTTTACAATATATTTATATATAACAATTAACAACAAACAATAATTACATGGCATCAGATATTATAGTAGAAAACCCAATAAGCATAACAGAGTGGGTAGCAATTATAGTTCTAATAGCTCTGGTTATTTGTATGTTTTTATACTTCTGCGTGTGGGTAATAAAAAAAAGAAAAGAAGAAAGATTCATGCAAAGATTAAGTTCTTTAGAAAGAAGAGGAAATAATGCAGATAACGCTTCTATACATAATATGTGCGATTCAGATCTGTCTATATACGATCCTCCCCTAAGGAATGGCCGGCCTACTGCACAGCTAAGACGTGATTCACTTCCATAGTGCTAATAGGAGTATAGTAGAATTAATGCTCATTTTAAACTTGGTGCTACTCTAGTATATATAATTTGGGGCATTTCGAAAATTTACAGAGGATAGAAAAAACTTTTTAAAATTCTACTACAGCAGAGCTATACACAAAACGAGGATATGCAGCATAGAGAGGATAATTTATAATACAATGCACAAGTATCGCCCGAAATTATAACTAAAAACAAATACACAGCACAGAAATACAATAAAAATAATGCGGATTTACTTAAGAATGCTTTATTTTTCACAAATATAGAAAGATATTTTAATTTATCTGTTTTTAGTGTATAAAAAAATTTAGTTTTTATAATGAACTTTAACGAAGAACGGTTGAAAGAAGAGCTACAGAAAAGATTTGTTAATAATCAAGTGATTACAAGCAAGGATATGAAGACAATAGTAAATATATTAATGGGCATTGTTAAAAAAGAACAAATATTCCCTGAAATACCAGAATCACTGATGAATATGGCGTATAATATACTTTTTATACAATTGGATAGAATAATTAACCCGAATTCTGTATATAATGATAATTTATATAGTAATAAGGATGGCATGTATAATGGCGATAATATATACAATACCAACAATGATATGTCTAGTGAAGAATATATTTCTAGTGAGGACTATGTATATAGTAAAGAGTACATAGACAATGAAGATGATATATACAATACCAACAATGATATATCTAGTGAAGAATATATTTCTAGTGAGGACTATGTATCTAGTAGTGACAAAAAATCTATATACAATGAAGATGACATTATATCAAAAATTAATATGTCAGTAAATCATGTAAAAATGGTTATAAACATCATTATAGAAGAAGGGAATAGACTAAAGAGTATGGAGAAGGAAGCATACTATTACAATTTAATGAAAAGTAATCATTTGATTGCGGCAGACATATATAGAGTTAGACACAAATTTTTCTGCGATGCTATTGATAAACTGTGTAATCACTTCAAAATAAAAAAGTTAGACGATGAAATGTCTTCTAATGATGCACTAATTAGTCTTTTCGAGCTAACTGAGTCTAAAGAGTCCTCAAGGCTGCAAAGTGCATTAAACTTAATTATGAATCACAGTGATAAACTGGCCATAGAAGATAAAAATGGCCTAGAACAATCGAATTCTCCCATATTAGAAATAAGCGATGAAGACATTAGATCGCTGCAACTACTTAGAAAAGTGAAATGTGGTGATATAATTGATCTTTTAGATATAATATATGAATCAATTTGTATTAAAAATCAAGAGGGCACAAAAACAAATTCTCTTTATTTCGGGTTATATATACCACTATACGATATGTTCTTGAGTGAGGAGGATATAAAGGACATTGAATTATATAAAAAAAAGAATACAGAAAAAATTCAGAATGTTTTAAGTATTCTACAAAATATAAAAAGTATGACTATTCGAGATTCAAACCTATGGTGGAATAATCTTAAACCCATTAATAAGCACCCTAAGTTTAATCTGGAAAAGTTTAAAAATAACGTAGTCCAAAAATATTTAGAGGCAGCAGAAGATAAAAAACCGATTGTTAACAACAAACCAAAGCAGTATGATAATTTGGTTGGCGTGATAAACGGTTCTTTGCCAGCTAAAAATTCCTGGAATATTCCGACTTTCATGATTATTATAGCAATATTTTCAATCCTTCTTTTTATAGTAGGTAGTATAACAGCAATATACCTAGTTAGTATAAATATGATTGTGTTTAGTATATTATAATTTTATAGAGCATGTATTCATTATAAAGTAAAAAACAAAGACTTTATATTTACTGCATGAAAATTTAATAAAGAAATATCTTTGCTATTGGCTATTTACTATAAAAATCTCTTATTCTATCTGTATTTAATTTCTAAGATTAAATTAAAATTATTTTTATTACTACAGAACAGAAAGCCATAAGTATATAAATACAATAAAATATTCTTATAGAATTTTCTCTTTCTATTTTGTCTTTATCTCTTACATATATCACTGTTAATAGGCCTATAAACCCTTCTGCGCTTTAATAAATTTCAACTCGTGCAGTACTCTTAATTTAACCCATCGCTTTATGTATTGTTTCTATACATATATTAATTTTAATACATTGCCTATTTTCTCTTCTTTTTTTTTCTGATTATTTTTCTTTTATTTATGCCTTACATTTTCTTATATTGCATTTATATAACTGTCTCTCCTCCTCTTAAATGTGAACATCTTTTTTTCATAACAAAAATCTGGTGTTTATTGAAATTCAGAAACTCTTATATAGCTTCATTTGTCGCCGCTTCCAGTCCCGTTAAGCATATCATTGTTTTTATCTTACTATGCACATTATTATCTTTAACAATGATATGTATATATTGACAGTTCTGTTAAACCTTTCCCTCAAACACACTTTTTCATTATCACAATACGAGAAGCCAATGCCATTTCTGAAGCACATACCATGTTTATACGCTAAGAATAACCAGAAACCCTGCTGGGACTCCTATTCTTACCATATTAACACTTCAAAGATAGTTTATGCTACAAAAGCATGCGAATCTAAGAGCAGTGGTTCTGAAGTTTAGGTGTTCACCAAAGGCTATGCCACCCGCAGCTCAGATCGCTCCAGACACTTCTTCTATGCCTATGTGCTCATGAATGCCTCACTTTTAATCATCAAAGTAATGATCTTCCCATTCTTGGAATGGAATTCCTATCTCATCCTCTTCAACATAATCCTCCTCAGCAATCTGGTCGATTTTAAAATTCAATTTTTCAAATTTTGGCTTTTTTTCCCCAATGGAGCGGCCTTTGCTACTTTCTTTTTTGTATTCTCTCTGTGAATAAAAACCAGAGTCTATGTCTGTCTCTAGTTGCTTCTTTTCTTTTTTCATGCGTGAATTTCTATTTGTCATAAAAAATCTGGTGTTTATTGAAACTTGAAAACTCTTATATAGTTTATTTATCATTATTTATGATCCCGCCAAAAACATCATTATTAGTGATGACATCTATACGCATATTGATAATAATACTTCTAAACTATGCGCCAGAATTCATTATTCTATTATCTTAATAAGAATGAATATTACTCCTTGGGCACATAGCATGTCTATCCTCTATGTATACTCTGCATGTAGTGTTGTTAATTTTTCTATTTTTCTATTTTTATTTCTTTGCTGTGTTTATTTTTTCTTATTATTTCGAATTTGAGTTAATAATTTCTTGGATAGTTTTAATATTACTAGAACATTCTTTAAAAAGATAAATAAAATATAGAAATCATAAAAATAAAAGAGAGCATGAAAAACATACTAGTATTAACTAATAATTGAATGCACATTATAAAAATATAACCAGAAGTGATATAAATTAGTTCTCTATTAACATACTTTAAACTAATATTTTTAAATAGAATATACAAAGAAATAAAAATAGTTCTTAATAATTAATGTAATATATTAATATAACATATGAACTATAATATTACATTAATATCATATGTAATAATTAAAGAAATATATGCATTATTCGTTTTATTCTTAGATTTACATGGACAAAGTACTTAAGATAGCTAAGATTTCATAGCACCAGAGATTTGCTCCACATCTGAAAATAATTCGCACGTTTACAGTATTTAGCATGTTGTTACTCAATTGTTACTTTTTGATTGACAAAATCCAGGCATTTTAAAAGGTACTGCTCGTTCTCTACCAATCGATTGTTTATATATGACAGGGTATTAATTGTGTTTTCCATGCTCTGTACTATGTCTTTCTTCTGGAATATATACTCCTGTGTTAGAAGAGCAAAAATATTTGATGCTTCGGTTTTATGCCCCATTTGCTTTAACTTTACATGAAGATTTCTTGTTTTGTTTAACATATTTTTCTCTTCTAAAGTTCTTCTTCTTAGAGACCTTTGCACCTCTAATATTTTGTTGTTTTCTAGTCTTTCTTTAACTTTTAACAATGCATGCCTTGAAAGCGGTTTCTTGTTCCTAGCACTTATTTTTGTATAATATGGATCTGCTGTTATCTTTCTTACATTATACATGCTTGGATACTCTATATGTGCCCGGAATTTGTGTATGATAGCCTCTTCATCTATCACGCCCACATCATCCTCATATGCTTCTATTGTAGGCTTCCACAACAATGGCCGATTGTTGTACTTCCATCCCTTATTACTCATTTCAGTTTTTTGAATGCTGCTTTTGTCAATTTCTTCTAAAATAGCTATATTCTCTTCTTGATTGAAGTTGGCTTTGTTTATTTCTGGCGTACTATCAGTTTTTGTTATTTTTGCTGGATGGTCGTCCTGCGATAAATGCCGCTTTGAATTTATTTCTGACTTGGTTGGGAGTGTTGTTTCTTTATACTCAATAATATCATCTTCGCTGTTTGACACCTCGGTTTTGTCAGAATACTTTTCTTCGGGACTGTTTCTGGCTGCTTCCTCCTCTGTATCTTGCTTTTCTGTGTCAGAGTAATAGCTTGATGGGCTTTCGTTCCTATTAGTTTCTTCTGTTTTTGCTGTTCTTTCATCTGAGTATTGGAACTCTTCCTTATCAAAGGAATCTAAATGGTCTCTTGTTTCTGTGTCGTTGCTAGACTGAATATACTCTGCATTATTTCCTGCACTTTGCCCCTCGGTTTCCTCTCCCGGTGAAGTTATCTCGTCCTCTCTAGCATCGCTTACTCTGTCAGTTTGCACATCTTTGTCCTCTGACAGGTTTTCATCAGAGTATTTGACTTCTTCATTTTCTGAGCGCTCGCTTGTTTCTTGATGCTCTTCCGTAGAGACTTTGTCAGAAGATTCTTCGGGGGTTATCTGCTCTCTTTCTTCTTCTCTTTTGTCTTCTTCCATATAAATATATTTTTTACTAAACTTTATGGTTTATTGTTTATGTATTGAGTTTTGTTTGTATCCACAATCACACTCATAGAAAACTGTCTGTCCTTCATCTGCCGACCTTAACTGCATGGTATAATAGTACAAATATTCCGATCTACACTCTGGGCACTCCTCTTTGATTTTTGCTCCTTTATGTCTCTCTTTTACTGTTTTCTGGACATATGTCTTCTCTAATGTTCTTTTTGAGTCTAGTTTAAGAGTATTCTTTTTATTGCAGAAGTTGCATAGCATTGAGTATGCGTTTAAGTACTTTTCACACGAGCTGCAGAACATAAAAATATTTTTAGCAGTTACAAGTAATAACCCAGAAATACAGAAAAGTAAAATATGGCTATTAAAAAGCGCATACTCACATAAAATACAATATGAATGAGAATTTGCCCTGTTTAGGCATGGCGTGGCATAATATTAAAAGTAGTAAAGTAGTTTTTAATATGTTATGTGTATACATTGTACCAAGCATGTCACTGTATATACTAATTCTACTATCACAGCATATGGTCTCTTTAAATATATCCAAGAAAGCCTTAGATCGTATGTATTATTATATAATTCTTTTAGTATAGTAGTCTGTTGATATAACGCATAGTTATAATGTTGATTTATATCCATTTGCTTTTGTTCTTTTGTATTTAAGATCTTATTTATTTGATTTTCAGGTTATATCTTATAATTTCTCGTTAGATTCTTATCTAGTGTTTGGGTGTGTGCTGAGTTGTTGTATAAAAACTTCTATTTTATTTTCTTTATTCCGATATTAATATGTTATGAATGTATTAGTATAATTTTATTGTTGCAGCTAATTCTATTCTATTTTAAATAAAACTTCTTTTACTTTTCTATTATTATGTTGCTTATAAAAATAAATTTGTACTTGAATGTAATATAATTTATATAAGAATGTACAATTTATTTTTATAAATGAGCAGAGATATTAATAAAGTAATAAACGATATATATAGTAACAGATGAAGAAGAAATATAATTAGAGATTTACAATTTAATACTAAGAGATGCATCTCTGTATGCCCATATAAACCATGTGCATATTGGGATGGTATTTCTTCTTATAGAGTGATGGAGCAATGTGTGCAATAGTAACATATGTATATGCATTATTTGGAATGTAAGCATGCGTGCTAGGATCATAACTAAGAGCAATAGGAAATACATACAAGTTTCAGGAATTCAATAAACAAAGCGTACTTATGTAATCTAGCAGTTTACATTTAATAAGAGGGAAAATCAGCTTTAAAAGCAATAAAACAAGAAAACACAAAGGTATAAAGTAAAGCTTAGAATTAAATAAAGTATGTGCAGTGGATGTGGAATGAAAATGTGTATTGATTGGAGCACAGAAGTATCTCACTATATCATACCAGGGATGTACATTACAAGGACTTTCTTTCCTCTTCTTGTTATATTTATTGCTTGTACAACTCTAGCCACAAATCATGTGAAGGACATTACAAACAACAAATACATTATTGATATGGTTAAGTTTATTTGTTCTTGGATTCTTATGATGTCAATGATGACAGGAAATGGGTTTATCTTAATAGCAATGCTGCTTTCTGTTATTACAAGTAGAATTATACTACAAAAAATGAAGAAGGATAGGTCTATATCCTGCTGTTAATAAAGAGGATTCTTAACTATTACAATTTCTGTGCGGCTGCTTGGTGGTATGAGGCCGTGTGCCACAATTCCGGGAACATTAAGAATGTCGGACAGAGTGGGGCTGTACATTACATCCAGTATTATATTGCCCAGGTATGTGGTGTATATGTTCTTGCCAGCATACCGTATACTATACGTACAGCTATGCAGGTCAAAGTGTTTTTTTATAAGTGAAAGGGATGGCTTTACAACTTCAACTGGAACGTAAAGGTTTGTAAAGTCATGAACACATTTACTGAGCGGTACTACAATTACTGAAAGCTCTGAAATATGCATAGCAATTCGTTCAAGAAAGATTGCTCCACCGTAACCTTTGATTATCCATCCACTTGAATCTACATAGTCTGCGCCATCAAAGTATAAATCTATTTTGTCCAAGCCTTGCATGCTGGCAGCAATTCTTTCATGAGAGGCAAGAGCTACTTCTGTTTCTGTGCTTGTAGCAGTAAATATTGTTTCTTTTCCTGATATGTTTGCATTGATACATTCATTCAATAATAGAAAGGCGGTTCTTCCACTCCCAATGCCTAGCACACTGCTCTGTATATTGATCTTCTTCGCATAAAATTCTACTATTTCTTTATAGGTGGTATACTCTTCACGCATGCTTTGTTTTGTTTATGCTTACACAGAGTATTTTCAGGGTACCATATACACAGGCTGTTAGGAAGTGAGTATAACACATACATTATATGCCAATAATAGGCATGCACATAAAATGCAGATGAGGATGGGCGTAGCTGAAAATAATAAGAAAAGAAAGAGTATTTATTAGAGTATTATAACAAAGAATTAAAGAGATGCTGAGGAAAAGAAAGTGCAGATTTAATATATGTTTTATTTAAATTTATAGGGGTAAAGAATATAAACTTTTTATGGACAGAACAAGAGAATTCAGATCGCTTATAACAACTACAAATATTATGCAGAACAGGGTGGCACGTCCAGCACACCCATCGATTACAATAATACAAGACATAAGCGCAGGTCTGGAAGAATTAGAAGGCGCAGTAGCACAGAGAAGGAAGATAAGTCCAGATGAAATCAGTAACATTGAAAGGCTATTAGAATTTCTTTTTGAGCAGTTCACAGAAGAAAGCGGTGCAGAAGAAATATCTAAGTCAGTAGAAATAGCGCTAAAACATAAACACACCGGGTTTGTGCTAAGGCTTCGGAGCATTCTAAAGAAGCACAAAGAAAATGAACAGAGGAAAAATGCCGCTCTATACCAGGAAGAGCAGAGAAGAGCTCGACCGCAGATGCCAGGTATGCAGCAGGAAACAGGCTATGTGCAGAGAGAAATACAAAGAGAAGAGATGAGCAGTATTAGAAGAAGGGAGTTTGAGTCGCTAGAGCAGCACATAAACGAGCTAGGGCAGATGGTGACAGAAGTATCCATGCACATTTCACTACAGGGAGAAAAAGTAGACTTAATTGACGGATTATTTACCAAGGCGAAGTCTAATCTGCGAGGCGGGTCATATGAGCTTAGAGGGGCATTAGATAATGTGAACAAAAAAAGAAGAACAATTTTACTGGTATTTGGTGTGCTGTTTGGAATATTACTTATCAAATACCTTAGATGGATATAAAAATTAAACAGACAAATTAGTAATAGACAGCTAAGAAACAGACTAGAATATTATAACTGGAAACCCCCGAACAATCAACTATTTATTAAATCCATACCACAAATGGAAATGTTTTACCTATTTATACGGTTGATCTGAATATATAGCACTGGTTGCCATGCGCAGTCACCATGCAGTCATCTTTTATAGAGATACAGGCAATTTTCTTGTCTTCTATAATTCTTGTAGCAGACTCAAGGTCGGTTTCCAGGAAAGTTCTGTTTAAGGAGGTTGTTTTAGTATCGATTTCAGCCAGAACAGTGTTAAAGGAGCCGGTGTATATCTTATCGCCAGAAACAGCCATTTTAAACTTAGAGAATATCTCATCGGAGTCATACAGATCGCTAATATTCTTGCGGACAAGCGGGTATATGTCATATTCCATAAGGACATTTTTTGGATAACGAATGTCAGTCGTCACCACATACTGCAGGTCACGGCTAGCAATGATATTGTCAGAAACAAACTGAATATCAGCGACCGGCTGTACAACCTCGTTGTAGAAATCTGAGCGCTTGGGGGAATTCACAGTTAGAACACTTTCGCCACGAGAGCATTCTCGCAAGTCGTGCAAAAACATTGACCCACCAGCTGTGCCGTATATGAACATGTTATTGGAGTTTTCTAGAAATCGAGCAGTGGTGATAACCTTAGACAGTTCTTCGTTTTTGGTTGGTTTTAGATTAAGCGCAGTCCACGGGTCTCCTAGCTTTGCATTTAAAAAGGTAATAGTAAGCTCGTCTGACATAAGAATAGTTTCTCCTGTGTTAGAAACAGATAGACTATGTATATTATAGATGTTTTCTGGAGAGTACTCTTTTTCTAGCTTGACTCGTGCCTTTCTCTTTGTTTCCCCAGAAAAGATCATCTTTATGCGATCTGAAGGAGACCGGGTTTCAATAGAAGAAGCCTCTTCCACGTTTTCACAGGAAAAAGAGGAGTCTGAGCAGCATTCTACAATGTGTGGCGGTGTTTCTGTTTTTATATACGAGGAATATATATTCCAAAGCTTTATATTCTTCTGGTTTCCACTAAGCACTAGAATCTCCTTAGTTCCAGAGGGCACTAGGTTTATATTATCCACAGACTCTGAAATTTCAGTGCTTCTTAGATAGTCAAAGCAGGAGGAGTGGCTTTTATATTCTATTCTCTTTTTAAGGCTTGGCCCTATTTTATATACCTCAACAAAACCCTTATTTCTTCCCAGAACAAGGGTGTCATCCGAGATAACGCTGGACTTGTAGCAGTCCATTGGCGCGGCTGTAATGGTCTGTCTGCACTTCCAATTGGATAACATATAGTAAAATTATTTTGTGGGTTTCAAGTAAATATGGAGTTTGTTGTGGAGAGCCTGTGGTATATTGACAACAAAATAGGAGAGGATGTATACCAGGATGCATCAAACCGGGTTTATGTTATACCAAAGCATGCAGTTCCATACAGTACCATATTTGCGGAACTTGACACTTTTAACAAGTTCTGCACGTATGCATATAAAAAGAGAGAAGATGCAGTGGGCGATGCAGGAATTCTTATGTCGCTGGCAAATATATGCATAAGAGCAAGGCTCCAAGGTGCATCGATGAAAGAGCTTTTGCGGGGATATAAAGAGTCCAGAATTCTGGCAGAAGGAACGAGTACATCACAAATGCGGTCTATGCTTAAAAAGAGCCAGAGAAAGCATGATTATATAAAAGAAAAAGACATAGACAATGTTTTCTTAGAATCAAACACATACATATCAAACTTAAAGCCATCGCAGTTCTATAAAATGGAGTGCAACCTAGCAAGGTATTTTATTTCAATGCGGCAGCCAGGTTTGGCATATAAATTTGCTAGAGAGGCACTGGAGATGGCAAGTAGAAGTGCATCATCAAATGGAATAGAGGAATCAAAGAGACTTTTAGTAGAAATAGAAAAAAAAATAAGAAAGGATAGAAGCTAAAGTAAATAAAGCGTATATCTATAGATTAAAGCAGAATGTAAAACAAGAATACATAATTATAATAGAATGTGGGTATGGCATTGCTTTGTAACACAGCACGCAATATGAGCAATAAATAAACTTTATATTTCAGATTATATCAAAAATTTATTGTTCATTGGGTAATTGTAGAAGGAGCAGAAGTGCAAATAACTTCGCCAGGCAGGGATACACCACAAAGAAGGCATAAACAATATATTAGTAAATATATACGAGAAGTACACTTATTTTATACAAAATCAACAGCCATATGTGCATACTGTTAAACAATGGGCGTATGCTCAAAAATACCCATTAATAGTGATCAGTTAAATGTGTATATGGGCGGAGCAGCCGTATTTTCTAGCGTGTAAGTATAAGTATTGTTGCAGAGGAATAATCGAAGTGTATAAAAATTTATAAATTTCATTCTTGCTGTGTAGAAAGTAAGTCATGTTTGGACTACCAAAAGAAGCAGAGCAAAAAGTAGAAAGAAACCGATTTCTAATGGATATGGTAAAGAATGGAGCTCTAGAAATTGTGGTGGTATCTACAGAGGACAAAGACTATATGCCCTCCATGCACGTGCTCTTAGAGCTGCGTGCAATATTCCAAAAACAGCTGCCTAATATGCCAAAGGAATATGTTACTCGTCTTTTGTTTGACATGAAGCATCGGTCGATGGCAATGATTGACAAAAAAGAAAATAAAGTTGTTGGAGGAATTTGCTACAGGCTGTTCTATGATGAGTCTTTTGCAGAAATAGTTTTCTGTGCTGTAAACAGCGATTCACAGATCAAAGGGTATGGAGAGTTTATGATGACAATGCTGAAAAAGACAGTTCTTTCCGATTTTAGAGAAATTGCACACAAGGCAAATGAGACATTTAATGGGCCGATATATCTGCTGACCTATGCTGATAACTATGCAATAGGGTACTTTAAGAAGCAGGGATTCACAAAGGCTATTACGTTTATTAACTGGAAGGGGAGAATAAAGGATTATGAGGGAGGTACTCTAATGCAGGGAAAGATTCTTCCAGAAATAACACAGAGCGATATGTACACAATGCTTCTATCCAGAAGAGAAAAGTTGCAGGAGATTGTAAAGCAGAAGTATCCAAATATGCAGATAGAGTATGAAATGCCTAGCGAGATTACTGATATAAAGGATATACCAGGGTTGGCTGCGGCAGGATTTACAAAGAAGATAGAAAGGTCACTGGAGTGCAAGGGAAGTTTAAAAGAGCTTTTGCTATATCTGTGCTATGAGCTCCGAAAGCACAATACAGCATGGCCGTTCCTTGAGCCTGTTAACCTAAATGATGTGCAGGACTACTGCACCGTTATAAAGCACCCAATGGACCTACAAACAATACAAAGCAAAATCGAGGCAGACCAGTATAAGTCATTTGATGAAATGGACTCAGATGTTCAGCTAATAATAAGCAACTGCTATGCGTACAATCCGCCTGGGTCGCAGTATGCAAAGTGTGCGAAGTCACTAAACGACTTCTATCAAGACAAAGTGCAGTGGTGCAGAAAGGCTCTATCCCAGCGAAGATAGAAAATATACATACGCAAGGCACATTAGATTGCGCAAACTCTTACTAAGCAGCCAGGCAATTTTCAGTTATTTGCAGATAGTGCTATTTACAATGAACAACAGATGCAAAGACTTATACAGAGCCGCACAAATATTTGTACATCCCAGCAGTTAGAGTCCTAATAAAAACTAGTTTAAATAGTTGAGTGCACCTAGATGCTTAGAAGAGCAGACTAATAAATATCATATATCTATTACTGAAAGATTTGTTATAGCAGGCTTAATACTAGTGAATTATCTTAGATGTAAAATGCCAAAGGCAAAAGATCCCGCATAGCAAAGGCACCTGGGCATATTATAATTTATAAGAGAAATTACTATAAAAATAGAATTTCTTAATTATCCCCCATAAAAAATAGAATACCACAAAATTAGACCTTGGCACTGCTAGTGCCGAATATAATAGAAACAACTTTATTATACTTATGACTTGCGGGATATTCTGCAAAGCACATGCAAGAGCGCATTTGTTCGAGGCTTATCAAGCGGGTGGGAGGCCTCAAGCAGGGAGCCGGACACTTTCTTTGCATACTCCAGAGAAAGAAACATAAAATACCTAGTGGAGTTCAAAGAGCTGTGCATGACCTCTAGATTTCTTGAGATAATGCGCTTTATATCAGAGGGTGTATTATCGATAAAGGTAGCATCAAATGACACAAGACCATTAAAACTCTGTCTGTGTAAAGACATACGGCGAGTATTTTCCTCAGAGAACAAAAGAGGGATACTTAGCGTATAAGAGTTTCGAACAGCATGGTATGCCTCCTGCCACTTCTGTATTTCACTGCTGTGCCTAGCAGTGGCTTCTTGCAGGGAGACCACCATATTCTTGGCATTCTCAACTATGTGGGAGTCTTCCTTTGGCTTCTTGTGCTCCGGCAGCAGTACCAGCTCATTTATTTTCCGCATATACATTGTGCATATTTTCTGTGTATTCTCTTCTGAAAGGCCGTCTATTTTTACATGCCCATTTGAGATGTACTTGGCAATCCATAGAAGTATCTGCTTTATTCTAGTCTTTGCAGGCTGTGATGCATTTGAGTGCCTGTAGAAGTCATCTGGTGATACCCCTCCTCCGTATATCTGGTCGTATCCAAACAAACTTTCCCTACGGGTTTGGAACACAGAGCACTTCTTCTTATCAAAGACATCCAGAGAAAGTCTTCGTATCTTAACAGGAGACATAAAATCACCAGGGCATATACTCATTCTTTTTCTAATTACACCAGAAGAGTGCTCACTCAAATTGTGCACACCCTCGCTTAACGGCTCTGTGCGAGCAGAGAGCACTGTCTCTTTAGAAGAATGCCCAGAATTAATGGCCATATTGTGTGGTGTGTAGAGCGCTCTTTTATGGGTATCTAGCACAGATTTATGCACTGGCGTGTTCTGCATATTTGCTGCAGTGTCTATATCTATAGATCTAATGACAGAAGGTGTAATATTCATTTCATTAAGACCAGCCACGGTTCTTTTTTCTGCAGGACTGTGCTCTGTGCCTGGCTGGCCTATAGAAGCAGATTTCTCTGATACATTTTCTGGCATGTCCACAGGTGGCTCTTTCTCTCGCAGATCTAATACATCCTTGTCCTGGCTGGAAATACTTTGTAGCGGGCTTATTTCTACTGGCGCAGCAGTATTTCTACTCTTTCCTGCTCTTCCTTTAGCAGCAGAACTTCTGCCTTTTCTTCCTCCAGAAGATGCAGCCGAGATATTTACAAGAGGTTTCTCAGCAGGGAGTGCATCTTCAGAAGTGGCTTCTACGATAGGCCCAGCCTCATGCGATTCAACACCACTAGACTTGGTAGCAGGCGTTTTGCCTCTTTTGGGTTTAGGTTTTACTGGAACCGATGTACTAGAATCTACAGAAGGGGCGGCTGTTCTCTCTTTCTCGGGTTTATCTACCTCAAATGCGAATATAAATTTCTTTTGGCCTGGTTTTATTTTGGGTGCGTCTTTTAATATTTTTCTTTTGGCTTCTGTGCTTCTTGGAGCAGAGGAAGAAATATTCTTCTTATTTAGCGCTGGCTCTTCGTCATTGAATGTAAATGTAAATCCAATCTGTTTGGACTTGGCTTTACTTACCCCCTTTGGGGCTGCAGCGGTCTTGGCAGAAGTCCGTTTTTCCTTACGAGGAAGTGTGTCATTCTCTGTTGTAAATACAAATCCATTGTATCCCTTATTCATTTCAAATTAAACAAAATTTTAGAAGATGAAAGTAGAAGAAATGCAAGACTACGCTCAGAAAGAGATTAGAGAGATAAGTGTGATTTCTGCTGTAGAGGAGCCAATGGCCGCCTCATTATACGGATTTATCAAGAATGTAAGGATGGCTGGAAAGAAGAAGGTTTTTATAGTGCTGAGGCAGGGACTGGACACAATACAGTGTGTAGGAAGCGTTGTTCCAGGAGAGAGCGAGAAGTACTCCCCCGAGTCATACGTGTGTGTGCAGGGCAAGATAGTCAATACAAAGACCCCTGTTCACTCATGCACAGTAAAGCATCTTGAGGTGCAGGTGGATGCGGTTTCAGTCCTCTCTGTTTCAAAGGATCTTCCATTCCAGCTGAAAGATCTTGACTGGCTGCACAGTGAGAGGGAAAAGGACCCGCAGCTGCCAGTTGTAAACCAGTCAAAGAGGCTGGATGCTAGATACATTGACCTACGATCCATGGAGACACAGAGTATATTCCGAGCATACTCCTCTATTCTTAGTCTATTCCGAGCGTACTTAGAGAAGAATCTGTTCATTGAGATAAAGACCCCAAAGATTCTAAAGGGTTCCTCAGAGGGCGGGTGTGAAGTGTTTCCAGTGAGCTATTTTGGCCAGCCAGCAACACTTGCACAGTCACCGCAGCTGTACAAGCAGATGGCGATTATTGGGGGCCTTGAAAGGGTCTTTGAGATAGCCCCATGCTTTAGGGCAGAGAACTCTAACACAGGCAGGCACTTAACAGAATTCACAGGAGTGGATATAGAGATGGAGTTGAAAAATAAAACATATATAGATTTGGTAAGGTTCATATACGGAATGATTAAGTATGTTTCTGATGGAGTGCAGGAGAGAAACCAGAAGGAGCTTTCTACTATTAAAGACATTACAGCAGCAGACAATCAGACAGTCATTGCTGAAGCCCCAGTGATAATTACATTCAAGGAGGGAATAGACATACTGCGAAGCATAGGAAGGGAGGCATCATACACTGAGGACATAGGAACAGAGGATGAAAAGATCCTGGGACAAGAGGTCAGAAAGAGGTATGGCAGTGACCTGTTTGCCATGATAGAGTACCCAGAGTCTGCCCGTCCATTCTACACCAGCCTTCTTCCCTCTGACAGCAGGTACACCCAATCCTTTGACTTTATTCTAAAGGGTGAAGAGATCACATCAGGCGCTGAAAGAATAAACATCCCAGAGACACTCAAAGAGAGAGTGCTTGCCAAGGGAATGAAGCCAGAGAGTGTGAAGGATTATATAGATGCATTTGAATTTGGAGCACCAAGGCACGGCGGGTGTGGAATAGGCCTGGAGAGAGTTGTAAAGCTGCTCACAGGGTGCACAGATATACATAAGTGCTCAATGTTCCCCAGAGACCCAAGAAGGCTGCAGCCATAATCTGAATAAATCTAAAGGACACTTCTTATTACATGCCTAGTATACTTTTATTTTAGCAAAAATTAGAAGTTATTTTGCTTCTTATTAGTTATTTCTTTACAGAGTCATTCATAGCCAGTGCTAATATTTGGCGGCGTGCGTGCAGAGACAGTTGCCGCGCAGCATGTGCCCGCCAAATAATATATAAGGCGGGAAAATACGTTAACAGCAGGGGTATACCAAAATAGAAGGAAAAAGAAAGCCTCTTGACAGAATCGAACCGCCGACCTTCAGTTTACAAGACTGACGTTATACCACTAAACCAAAGAGGCTTACACCAAATGGCCTGGCAGGCCCTCTAGGCGCATCTAAATGCTAATTGGCTAGAGTTTCCAGTTATATTTCGGGCCGTGGGTGTTTCAGGATGGATATGTTCGTAAAGATGAAAAGGCTTCTTCTGCCAAGAAAGCGGGTAGAAATAAAAACAGAGAGACAGTCACACACACTTAATGGGTTTGTACACTTTCAGAACATTCTAAACAGCCCATATCAGGAAAGTGCTCAGCATATTAGGCGTGCAGAGAAGGAGTATGCCACTCTTATAGAAGAAATAGAAAAAGCACAGTTGGAGAAAACACACATCTTCCTTCTGTTTACCTCTCTATTTAAGCAGCTGGATGCGCTTTCCTTCCTTTCTTCAAGCAACGCAGTGCGCGTTCAGATGGTCCGGGAGGAGGTGGAGAACCTTCTAATCCAGCAGATGTACATATATGTAGAGTATATGGCACAGTGCACTGATACAATGCACAGCAGCCTATTTATTGTGCTGCTTGGCCGTGTGCCTATAAGAAAGGCGGTAGGAATAAAAATGCGGTACTTTTCCCGGCGAATGCAGAGTATGGATGGCAAGGCCCTAACCATTGTACCTGAGGAGCTTGTGTCCATAATAGAGCGGGAGTGCACCAGATACTGCACGCTTTTTGGCCTGGATGATCTTTCAGAAGAAAACCTCCTTGTGCTGGATGGGTTCCTATTTTCAATTATAAGAAAGAACCTATGCGCATCGCAGGATGCCTTTTTCAGGTTCCGCGAGTGCATTTTAATGCGTGCCAGGTCTTCGTCTGGGTCGAGTGCTTTGCTGAGGAGGTTTAATGTAAATTTAGATGCTTTGTGAGTCTTTATTGTTGTAGGTGCCCCGGTTACCGCTTTTTTTATTGCACTTTATAATTGCCGGGAACTTTTTCCTGTTAAGGCAGTGCCTAAAAGGGAATGTCTGTGCATATATATACAAGAGAGAATCGTGCAGATTTAAATATGATTAATAATTATAAGATAAAAGAAAATAAAATAAGAAGTAAGTTACAGGAAATAGAGCAGGACAGACCGAATATTATTTGCTGCATCAAAAACAGAAGCGACACTATGGGGGTTGACAGCCATGGCCTTCCCGTACTAGAAAGGACCCTTCTTTCTAGCATAGAGTTGGAAAAAAAATATTCCCTATTGATGGACCTATATATGTTATTAAAAGACACGTGTCAATTCGTAATATAACCATGCCGGTTCTGGACGTATTAGACACGAGAAATACCTTTTTCTGGGTTGAGTTCTTTAGGGCACAAATAGTTGAGCATAGGTGGACAGAGCACGACGCCAAGGTGTTCTTCAAGTGCTCTGTGTCTGATGATATAATTAGGGATATTGTAGGCGATCCATTCGGGCAGCCATTAAGGGACTCTGTTCGCAAGATATATGACAGGGTGTACACACAAAAGAATGTTTCCAGGCTTAAGAGAAGGCTTAAATCAATCACCTCGGGCGAGTTTATTTCACTGGAGGTGTACAAAGAAGAGCTTTCTCTGCTGGTTCGTTCATATTCTGTGTCTGTTATGCTTTCATTAGAGGAGCAGAATATACTCATCCAGAAGTACTTTTGGAAGGGTCTTTCCAGCTCTATTAAGATTCACTTGGCCAGCAGAATAGACAAAGCCTGCTCTGTGGAGAAGATCATTATGGAGGTTTTCCTGTTTAGGCAGAGGATGATTGCGAAGTACGGCATAACCGACAAGTTTACAGGAGTAATATATGTTAAGGAGCAGTCAAACTTCGGAATGTTCCCCATGCGCAATGATCGGGCAGAGGAGGAAGAGAACAGGCAGATAGAGCAGAAGCTAAAGTTTATTGACTGCTCAAAGCCAATAGCTGCTTCATCAGTCATACCATTCCCGTCTACCAAGCCTATACTCACATGCAGTCTTCCCGTGCTTAAAAAGATTCCTTCAGGTATTGTGGTAAAGAATGACCCTTCAGAAACGCTTAAAAGAATAGTCTTATACTATAAGCATACAAAGAGAGAGAGGATATTTAAAAAGCCCATCCCAGGAAAGGCGTTCTATGTTTATACTGGATGCATTGATACGTGGGCAGCAGGGATCCTTCTGCAGGACAACAGAATCATTTCAATTATGAAGTCTCCACTGATCGGTGAGCAACTTAACTACACTGAAACAGAAAAGTGCATTCTTGCTATAAACAAGTCAAGAAGAATCTTCCGAAAGGTAACAGGAGATGGTCAGATTGTTTTTAAGAGCGACAAGTACAACTCTTTTATCTACACAACCGAAAAAAACATTAGTTTTATTGATGGTTTCCAGATACAGGAATAAGCTTAGAAATGCTGTCTATTATTCCTTCAGCAAGAGCTTGGTGATAAAATAAATTGCTTCAAGCTATGGTTTTTGAGTTATACGCGTTTACATACGTACAAATATTTTTCTATTGCTTCTCTTTTATATGATTAGTACATGCATCTCACTAATTGTCCTATAATAATGCAGCTCATTACTATTTCGAAAATACCATGCAAGCTGTGCACACTCCCCTTCTACTATGTAATGGGCTAAACCAAAAAGATATGTTTGTGCTATACCTATATTATAAAGAATTTCTGTAGATTAAAAGATACTCACTCAAATATTTATACTTTATTTATAAATCAGGCGAGTGAGTGCGTTTTTATATGAAGAACCTCTTTACATGTGAAATAGTGGCTTTTTTTATTTTCTAATATATAAATATTTTAAAAATAGCCTGCCCATTACTGGCGTATTTATTAGAATAATAGACTTGGCATATAAGGCTTAAATATATTTTATCTTTATTAAAATTAGATAGGGCGTATTAGGGAAAGAACAGAGAGATAGTTTGTAATAAGCCGTTCTGAAATGTTTTCTCTTATCTTTAGAGGGCCACTCAGCCTTTCCATGTCCAAGTCTGTTCTTCTGTAGTGAATCACTCGATTGATGAGGGCGTCTGAAATATCGTACTTTGTCTCAAGAGATGACACTAGGTCAATAATCAGAGAAGTTGGGTCTTCCACCTCTTTAATGTATGTGATTATAGAGGATATAGGGTGGTTTCCATCCAGTATGGCATCCATGATCTCCTTGGTATTTGATATGTTAAATAGAGGGTTTCTTGTGTTCTCCTTCTGCATTGTGTATGGTGCCATTACTTCCTCCTCATCTATTTTTTCTCCAAGCGTGTCATACATCAGCATTAGGCGTATTCTAGACTTGTGTGCTGGGCTAAAACATATTCCCTCGGAGATTGCTTTGCTATACTCTGTTTCTGCTGCCTGTATCTTATATGTGTTTGTGAACAGAAGAACCTGTTTATCAGTGGTGACAACCAGTTGGTTCTTATCATTTGTAATAAGGAAGTCTCTTGGAGTATATGAAAAGAGTGTTGTGGAAAGAATACATGCTGACTGAATATCAATTACCTCCAGCACAGATCCACCGTCTGTGGATGATAGAAGAAGTAGCCAGCTAAGGTCTTCAGTCACTCTCATCTGCACAGGCGCCCCCTCCTTCTTTTCAACTGACTTAATTATGTCACCGCTCGGACTAATAATATAGACATGGGTTTGTGTAGAGATGACAAAGTACTTGTATGCTCGGGTCTCTACGATCCTGGCAATCGCATCTGTCTCTTCTGCCTGGGCGCTGCTTTTTTCTTGCAGGCCTAGAGATCCATTAATTGGTGCTTTAGAAAGAACTTCACCATTGTATGAATATACCAGAATTTCTGTTCTGTGAAGAACTGTGAGGGTCTTCTTAATATTGTTGAGAGAGATGGCTAAATATGGCCTTTCCTCTATTTCGCCCAGAATAAATCCCGACGCCCTTGATGCGATAAGAATCTTTACAGACGCATCTCCACTCTTTATTACCAAAGCAAAACTGTTCCCACAGAATGAAATAGCACACTCAATATAATCCTTTGGAGTAGAATATCCTAGCTTTCCTTTGACTTGGGCTATTCCACCAACTGTTTCTTTTAGAGCGTAGATCCCCTTTGTATAACAGGCAAGAATGTTGTCTCTTGCAATGGAGAGGGATACTGGCTGCCCGTCCCCGCACATTTTAGAAATTTCTTTTAGCTGCTCATCCTTTCTCAGAGAAAGCGTGTACACTCTGCTGTTTGTAGAAATCACTAAAGTGTCTTTAAGAAACCCCATGCACTGCTTGCTGCCAAATACCACACCAGCACGCCTTTTCAGCGGGAGTATTTTTTCTTTGTGGCAATCAAGTATCTGGAGTTCATTCCTCTGTGATATGACTAAATATCCTTCACTTCCTATATACCTTGCAGTTCGCATATGCTCTTCTCCTGCTGCATCTGGTAATTTGTCCTTAAGTGCATGCCTGCTCTTAACAAATCCTTGCTCTAGGCACAGAATAATCACTTCCTTTTCTGTAAGCACTGCTAGATCCTTGCACTGGCCGCTTCTTCTAAAGTCTAGCGACTGAATCGACTCAAACGAGAACTTCTGTAGAAGAATGTCTTTTTTAAGCTGCAGAACCAATACATCGCTTGCTGTGCACACGGCTATAATCTCTGCTGAAATAGAGCAGGATACATCAACAACTGGACTACCAATCTCAGTGCATTTTAAAGTGTAGATGGCTTTATCTTTATCTACTGAGTATATGCACATCTTTCCCTGTGCTACCACAAGAACTTTATTCTTTAAAGTAAGCTGGTGCACACTTTCAAAGTGCATTGGAATATTGTTTAGTTTTGTTATTGTATACTCCAGCTGCTTCTTCTCAATCTCTTCAATCTCATTCAGATAGATTCTCACAACTGAATCATTCAGTACTGCCACTATATACTCATCGCATGGGAAGAATGACTTTATTGCACTCCCTACCTCAATTTCTTGGATCTGCACGCCATTGTTATATATGTTAATGGTTGTGCCAGTGGCTGTAGCCACATATCTATCTAGTGTGCAGATGTCTTTAATCGTTTCTCCCTCCTTGCACATTCCAATTGTATTGAGCTTCTCCGCTCCATACATCGTGTAAAAATTGTTTACTGCAGCTACTACACAGTAAGTATTCCCTATTTTAGCAATTGTAAATCTGGGTCCATCCAAAATGGAGGAAATAGGCCGCTTGTACTCGAACATTAAACTGTCTAAAAAATTTTCAGTTGTAATTAAGATTATGCTGCTGTGGTACTTTTGAGCAAAAATTCTCTTTTTTCCTTGAATGAGTTCACTTCCAATAAGCGAGGCCAGAGGCTCGCAATTTATAAGGCGGATGTCTATAAAGCACGTAAACCAGGTGGAATTTGACGAAGAATCAAAACAGAACACACAGTTCCGAGGGCAGGGAGTAAGCCTAGTGGAATTAATGGGATGGATAACATTTGAAAATGACTCTGTGCACGGGGGAAAGAAGTTTACTCTTTCTGATGGAACCGGATCAATTTCCTGTCTCCTGTGGGATGAGAAAGACTCTTCGCACATAAAAAAGGGGGCGTACATCCGAATAGTAGGAAGTTTAAGCAAGCACGAGCAAAATATATCGATAAACTGCACCATTACCACACCAATCACCGATGGAAACAGTGTGATGTACCATCTCCTCATGCGCATAATTGATGCGCCCAGGGCTTCTCAAAAGGACTTATTGGCCCCCTCCATTATTTCAGAAAATGCACCTGCAGCAAGCCAGAGGGAAGAAGTGCATCTGGGTAATTTTAAAAAGATACATCTTGACATTCTTTCATTCTTCTCTAATAACCAAGGAGAAACTGGCCTGCCCATAAATATCGTAGTAAGCTCTCTCACATCATCTAAAGTATACTCTAGCGCGGAGATAGACAGCGGGCTGCAATATCTAATAAGGGCTGGAAAGCTGTTCTACAGCACAGAAGACAAAAAAACGTTAGCACTGTTGGATTAAATAAACTTATGTGGAATGCGTCTTTTAATAATTGTGTGGTTGCACATACTTTACTGATATACAATAGAAAAGCTGCGTGTGTTATTCCTATGTGGCTCCATGCTGAAAAACAAAAGCACTAAATTGCCAGCAATACTCTATGTGCTATGCAGGCTATTTTCTTTACGTTACTAGTATTAGTGTATTTGATCTAAATATATGCATATAATATGCTTAAATACATATAACCCGAATATTCTGACTATTGTTGAGTGCTTGTTGTCCAGGCAGATACATTCCATGTATTTATGGGTGTTTTGGAACAGAATTCAGATACTTCAAGTCTTTCTTATGCTAGAACTTGAACCCATCGGCGGGTGGCTTTGTGTTATTTTTGGAAACAACCTGCGCAAACTTCTCATACAGTTCTTCTTTTGGCAGCTGCTTAAATGCGCTTCTTGCGCTTTCTTCAACTCTTTGAATTTTAAGATTTAGCCTGCTCAAAGATTCTTCTAATGTGCTCTTTTCTCGGGTAAGTATCCTGCGAATGGAAAATCTACTTTTAAGCTTGTACTCAATCATTTCTACATGCGCAGCTGCGTGCTTGCAGTACTCAATCTTTTCCTGGAGTGAATAGGGCGGTGCCCATCCTTTCTCTACCTCCTCTATAAATGGATGGCCTTTTGTTTCCTCGCATAACTTTGCCCCGTTCATCAGAAGAACCCACGCTACCTCTTTATACCCTAGCTCCAGAGCAAGGTTCAGCGGGGTTGCACCTGCATTGTTTACTGCATTTATAGGAAGGTTCAGCGCTATGTAAAAGGAAACAAGCTCTGGCCTGTTGTGATACACTTTCGTATGGAGAATTGTTGAATTATCTGCCAGCGGTATTTCTATACGCGCACCAATATTTATAGCCTTAATAATCATCTCAAGACTGTTTAAGATGTGCAGCAGATGTTGTGAATACACAGCACACTTTGGGAATCGATTCATTAGCAGAAGAAAACACCCCCAGTTATTTGATGCAGCTGCTAGATCAACTGGATAAATGGGCCTTCCTGGCGCATTAAACTCAATATCCTGCTTTTTAAAGAGGTTATTAAGCAAGCAGTACTGCAGTGTTGTTGTAAACTCCATTGGACTCCCCCCATATGTCAAAACCATATCTAGCACTCGAATGTCAGAATTAACAGCTGCCAGATGCACAGGGCCCAGCCCATGCCATGTCTCGTGGTAATCAATTGTTCTCTTAAAACACAGCATAATAATAGCTAAATTCTGCACTGCCAGTGCAAGAAGAAAGTATGTGGGAAATGCAATGTTATGCCTACTTCCAAAAATACGCGCATTAACACTCCGCGGAAATCCCTTTAAGAAGAATGCTTCAATCACACTAGTCATTTTATTAACCATTGCAGTGAGAAATGACTGGTTTAGAAGAAAAAAGATCGTCTTGTCATCAAAGTGTTTTATCTTCCGCAGCTGCTCAAGAGCCTCCTTTTCCATTCCATCCTGGATATACAGCCGCAGGCGGTGTGCTTCTATAAAGTCAGATGAGTTGTGTATACTTGGAAATAGCTTGTTGTATATACTTCGCATGCTTATATCAGTCTTACTTGTTTTAAATAGCCCGTCTTTAATGGCCTTTTCTGTAAGACTTTGTAGTGCCATGTAAATTGTTCTCTGCAGGGACATACTGCTGTCTCTCTCTATAAACTCAGCGTATGGCTTGTGCATTTGTTCACTCCAAAGTTTTTAATTTTTATACTTCTACTATAAATACATGCACTTTTTTCTCCTCTAATGAAATTATATGCATATTCGATGTGTTTCTGATTTGGCGCTGGTTTATTCCATCTTTAATAATAAAATGGTCTTTTTATTGCTCTTAGAGCCAGCAGTTAATTAATCGCCGATGATAAAAATAAATAATTTTAAACTATAAATCATATCTATTGCAATGAGAAATCAAGATTGATATGGCGAGATTAATATGCACGGATAACGAGCCATATTTTATTTTTAGTGTTATTAATTTTTGCAATATAATAATACAAAATAATTGCATTGTATGTGCATTTATTTATATTATTTCGAATTGTCCATGGTATAAGATAGAATTGAAATTGTTCTATTGCTATATTAGAAAATGGTTATATTTCGGGCCATTCTCTGAAATGCCTTGGTAGATTTTGTTGTGCGCTTGCAGTAATAAGATTCTTTTTATTAGAAATTACTCACTCTGAAACACCCTCTCCTAGGTAAAAATTAAATGATTGTTGATGTAAATAAAGAAATAGAATGAGAGTGCAGGAGAAAATAGAAAGTATAGGAGGAATTGCCGGAGAGGTTCAGAGAAAGGTGCGAGACTGGGAGATTCAGATAATTGCATCTTCTGCTGGTAAGTATCTTAGATCGCTCTGCGATACTTATTTTAAAATAGAAGAGTGCTCTTTTAAGGATGAGCTAAGAGAAAGAATTTTAAATAGAGAGGATGCACCCGAGCATTATTCAAGTAAACCCCATGCTTTGGAGAAAGAAGAGGCAGTAGCACTGCTTGAAACTAGTCATTCTTCTGTTTCAGAGGAGAATAATCTTATGTCTCTTTCTATAATAGAAATAGAAAAAGCAGAGCGCAGTAGTAATAGCAGCACGCCTTCTGTGGAGTCAGCAAAACAAGAAGAGTTGAATGGGGAATTTTTGGATATAAATAATTTAGAAAAGTGTTCTGCTGAATTGAGCACAGAGGTAGTAGTGAATAATACAGCTGAGGAGATGCAGGATGGGCTTGTTGAAATTAGCTCTGGGAGCAGCCCCAGTGTGGATAACAGCCCTCCTAGTAATGAAGAAAGCGTAGAAACACAAATGCGAATAGCAACTGAGCTAAGAAAACAAATGATGGAAAAACACATATACATTCTTGATATAGCTGCTCTGGAACAACTTCCATGGCAAGATATAATAAGCTGTTTGCTTGATGTGATAAAGTCTCTTGGGCACATGCCAGCACAGGCCCAGCGCAGGCGCCCAAAGAACCTTATTTGCTTTAATTGCGAACAGAAAGGGCATATTGTAAAACGCTGCCCAAATCGAGCATCAAAGAAGAAGTAGTGGCTGTGATTTAATTTGAATTACATAAAATATCCTCAGAATAAAGAATTTTAATTTTATCCTTAGCATTTTATTTGATTTAACTTTCTAGGCATTCCTATTTTTTATGAACATTTGATTTGTGTTCTAATAGGGGTAGAGCAGAATTCTTTTACTTTATAAAATAATAGGCGTAGACTATGCTAGGTTGTAAGCACATATAAAGAACTATAGGTTATCAAATGTTTTTCGTTAGTATGCACGGTGTATGCGTGAGTGGTTCAATCTGTTTGGATTGTTATTAATGCTTTGTAATATAACCCGAATTTATTAAAATGAAATATTATTTATGCCTTATATATTTTAATATTTGTTTTCTGTGTTAATTTTAGTTTTTGTATATTAAGTAAGCATTCTTTTCTATTTTCTACTTTATTTTGGAATATTTTCAGATTATGCTTAAAATACAGCTGCGAAAATAAATAATTTAAAATATTATGAATGCAGTTTAAACAAAAATGTTTGGCTATATTCAATATAGATTTTATTTATCTGTTATTTTTAGTGCTTTCATCACCCATGTGAATCTACCCGGCGTGCCCCTGTGCACTGCCCACTAAGCATAACCATATAACTTAGACCTCTTTTTTAGCTCACTAATTAAACAAATAAAATAAATTTGCATGCAAACTATTTATCCAATGGAACATAATGTTCAGATGATGTCCTTCCTCGCAGTGAATACCCTGCAAATCCAGAAATCAAACCAATTATAATGAAAATAAGAATAGTGAGCCAGTTGAGCTTGACTTTCTTTCCAATAACTCCTTCTGCTCTCTTGATCTTCTTTCCAACTCGCTTCTTTGTTTTTCTAAGCGTTTTGCCGAGTGATGCATTTTCATTTTCAGTTTCTTCAGTGTTTGGTGTAAATTCTTTTGCTGCATGCGCAATAATGGCATCTATTTCATCTCCAATTATTTCCTTTCCTCGGTGGATGTTTCTCTTGGTAGATGTGTGCACCTGATCGCTTCCTCTGTTGTACATGTCGTTGTATATCTTTTCTGTATTGAATTGATTTGAACGCTCAATGCTGTTCATGTGCTGCAGATGTGAAACCAAAAAGTCCTTTATAAAGGACTCTGCGGACTCTGTTCTTGCTGGGCCTGTTATTGGCACATGGCGGCGAATTGGTTCATCAGATCGCCTCTGCTTCTTTATAACAAGGACTGAATGAAATGGAGAAAACTTTTCCTCTGACTCAATTCTCTTCTGTGCCCCCATTGACAATGGTCTGTCTAACTTGCTGTTATATGGAGATAGCCTTTTAAGAAAGAAAAAGGTTTTAAAGGGAATTGTTGTCAGTAGCCTGTTTTCAGTTATCTCTGGCTCCAGGTAGCACTGAACTACAGCAGCCAATATTAGTATAACAACGCCAACTACTCTCATACTCTTTTTGTTCTGTCTGCTTATATATTCTAGCTTGCTACAATGTTTCAGATGTTTCTACACAGTGCTTAGCAATAACTCAATAGTAAATAAATAAATGCGTAATTTTTTCGTGTATGGAGTGTCCGTATGGAGTACTTGGTGTTTCAAAAGAGTGCACTGCTGATGAAATAAAAAAAGCATACGTGCTTGGTGTGAGAAAAACACATCCAGATATTACTAAGAGAAACACAGACGCGGAGTTTATCCGGATAAGCGAGGCGTACTCAACGATTATCTCAACCCCCCGCATACAGAAAATGTACGTTGACTGGGAGAGTCTTCCATATCTAATTGTTGAGCTGAGCAATGCAAACTCTGTAAAATGTCGCTGTGGAAGTATGTATGACTACACACAGCAGATCGGTCCAGTTGAGTGCATGTCATGTTCTCACTATATAGAAGTTATACCAGACACACAGCAATAGGCCTGCCACCGGTGTACCTCTGTTGTTTCGCTTCGTGTATAACTGATTTCTTTCAAAAAAGAGAAATACTGAAAATAATAGATAGATTGAAGCCTAGGCTGCTGAATGTCTAAAAAAGAAATATTAATTGTGTGGCGTGAAAAATTATTAAATCATATTGTGGAACAAATAGAGCTTATAAAATAAATAGATAAATATACCTAGAATTGAGGCAATTTAGGATTTTCTTAGATTTTAGGTTGTTATAAATTTAATATTGGCATTTTGGAGCGCTTTGATATGTATTAGACTGATTAAATGCCTAGGGGCCGAATATTTCTTAAACAACAATAAATATGCGCCGTATCTTGTTTGGACTGGTAATATATAATAAAGAGCATGACACACCGTTATGGTCTTTTATTATTTTACACTATAAATAGCCATAGTCTATTTATAGAATTAGAAGGAAAAGAACTCATTTTTCTTCAGATAGCAGTTGTCAAGGAACTCTTCGGAAATCTCCAGTACATCCTCCATTTGAAATGTTCTGGTTTCAGGAAGTGATCTTGCTCTGGTTTCATCTCTTTCCTTTATCTTTATAGGTTGAATCTGGCTGTCTTTTTTGTCTATGCTAGCATAGCTTCTTTTTCTTCTGTAGTTCATACGCAGCACCAAATTTCTTGGTATTTGCCACGTTACAACTTGGTTCCAAATGGGGGCACGCTTGTACTCCTTAATAAATTTCTCTGTGAAATAAGAAAGCATGTGGTATGTTTTGTTTTGATATACTAGTGAGGTCGTCATTTTTATTAGCCCATTCTTTTTTGGTATTCTTTTCTCACCTTTTCTTACACTGACTATTTCTTTTCCCAGTGTGAGAATGTTTTCAAGCCCGTGCATAGAGCTGAGGTCCTCTAGCCTCAAATCATATGAGCTCTCCATTAGTTCGTAGTATAGAAGACATCTTCCATTTATCTTTGATGTGGACCAAATCTTGCCATCTGTCCATCTTGATATTCCACTTTCCTCTTCTTCATATACATATATACTGCCAGGTCTAATTGAATCTCTTTCTGCATCAGATAGTCTGCACTTTATCATGGGAAGTGCGCCAACTCTGGACATGTCTATTATCTTTATGCACTCCTCTTCGTTCATAATTGCCCCAAATATTGTCTCTGGGCTCTGCGGGTTTCTTCTAATTGTGAGAGTGGATATTCTTCCTTTTATTACGCGATTCATGTAAAATAAGGTGGCGGGATATTTATTTATGATTTGCAAACCTTATCTTTTTGTTAAGAAATTTAATTTTATAAGTGTTCACCATGGACAAAAAATTAGAATTGGCACTGCAACAGTTAGATATGTCTGCAGTCGTTGTATCGGGGCCGGGCGGCAGTGGAAAAACTGCACTAATCCATCGAGTTATAAAGAACACTAAGTACAAGCTGGTAGACATTGACACTATCGAGGAGTACAAGACTTATAGAATAAGCAAGTCTCTGATATATCTTCTTCGGGTTGGAGAAGGCGTGCGAATCAAACCACACAATTACAGAGGTATTATTTTTGAAACAGAGAATCCGTATTTCTACAGAAAGATAGAAAAGTGTGTGCATGTTAAAATATCTCCTCCTACAATCCGGGCAATTCGCAAGCACTGCCCATCTGCTCAGAAAAAAACCACAATGCACCGAATTCTTCAGGCACAAAAACTCCCTCCAGAAATTCACGAGGCTCTATTAGAAACAGAAAGCAGCGAAGTCTCTTTCTTTCACATTATTGGTAAAATACTCTACCATAAAACAGAAGAAATACCAAAAGAAGTAATTTCTGCAGTATGTGAGTCCCCCATCAAAGTTCTTCTGTACTTACATGAAAACATTCCTGCGTTCACAAATAATATTCAATCCATAGGAAATATACTTGATAGAATATCATCTGCATCAATCTCTCCAGATCAGCTATACCTTCTTATAACCGAGATCTGGAAACTAGAAAAGCGCCGTGTAAATACATTCTACAATATTAGAACTTCCCCGTATAACATGGAGTAAGTCTCCAGTTATACCGCTTTGCTCAGTGTTCTTTGTATATATTTGCGCTGTTCTTAAATAGGAGCATGAAGATATAAATCTGCATTTTGTCCTTATTTTATCCAGCCCAGTACTAATTTATTTTGGTAGTCCTATTTGCTTCTGGTTATGGTAAATATATTTTTATTTTCTCTTATTTATTTAAGCTTTATTTCTAATAAAATAAGATCCTCACTGTTATTTAACAACAAGCAGGACTTTTCTTATGGAGAGTGAAGAGTTTCTTTACATTCTTAAGAAAATATTTAAAATAGATCAGATAACAATAGGAGACAATGGAACAGTTTATATTGATCAAATAGCCGAATTTATTGAAATTCCCAGCACGCTCATTAAAGAGGAATAACTATTTTTTACTTGATGGATACTTCTCTTCTAGATGGGCCTTCGTCTTTTCCTCTTCTTTTCGCACGTCATCCATTGTCATGTTCTTCCATTCATTGTAGTATTTAATTACCTCCTGGTGTCCTTGTGTGAACATCTTTCGCATGAACTTGTCAATATCCTCGATATATCTCTTTCCTATAATAGGAATGTTCAGGTCTATGTGCACTCTCTTAAAGATGGTCATAACTGGTGTATGGCTCTTCTCCCAGTCCGCAGGGAATAAAAGATTTCCACTTTCATCTTTTATTTCAGCCAAGTTTATATTCTCTGCTATTTGCTGTCCGTGCACTAAATCAAGGACTTCGCATCTTTCTGCAACTATTCCGTCTGTGAAAGGATCTACTGGTGGTTTGTGCCCTTCAAAGAAAAGAGTGTCTATTCTTGCTTTAAACTTTTTTTCTGAAAGAGCACCACTTGTGTAGGTGGTTTTACAGACAGGGAAGGCATTGTAAGATATTTCGCTCATTGTTAGTGATCCAGAAGGAGCTATAGCTCTGAAGAATCCGGGTACTTTTTTGGAAAAATCAAGCACCTTAGAAGTGTATTGGCATGGTTCTGCAGTCTCTTCATTTTTGATGGGTTTGTTTTCCAGCACTGCCACGCGCATTCCTTTATCTGCTTCTCTTTCGCTTACTCTGCAGGTTGTTAGAAGCTGCCCCACGTTGTATTCCTTAAGTGTGTATGGCATATACATGACATATAGTGTTGTCCTCTGTGCCATCTATAAATAAAAAAAGAATGAAGCCTACTATTTATAACTTCTCTTCTAGAATATATGTTCAGTCATAACTGTGCATAAAAATAAGTTCTAGTGCATGTATTTGTGCATTAAATTGGTGTAATGCAACAATTGGATACTTTGTATCCTCATCTCTAAAAACATTAATTAAATATAAAGTCAATCCTACCCTATCAAATGAGCCATTTATATTAATTGGTCTAGTTTTACTATATTTGGCTATTGATTTTTCGGCACAAGCTCTTTTCAATTAACGAATATATAATTATTTCTTTTCTGTTATTTAAGCCATTTTCTTTATAATAATACTTCACTATTCGTAAAAATTAATAAAATTATTTTTAAGTATTTTCATAATAAATAAGCTCTTTTTCTATGCGCCTGCTGTAAGATAATGCTATGTAAATCCTTAAATCCTTTGTGGTTTTTTGTTGTATCTGAATTATTTATTCTCTGCAGTTTATATATTTTATTAGCATATTGCTATTTATTAGAATGTTTTAGAAATTTAGTTATTTACTAGGAGTCTGTTGTTTGTCTGTGTAGTATACTCGTTAGATTCTAACTAGAAAGTGTTTAAGTATCTTTACTCTTGCGATTATGTGTGATTATTTCATTTTATATCTTTGTTTGTTTATTGTTTAATTGTTTTTATATTACAAAGAGTAAATTTATCTTTTTGTATGTGATGCACTGACTATTGTTGTTTTTCCTGTTAATTAAGACAATTATATAGTTGTTTTTACATAATTTACTATTTTATAAAACTGAATGCGTGTATAGAAATAGTATTGAATTATTTTTACATGTACACTTTAAAAATAAAACATAAAGAAATACTTAGCCATTCTATTGTAATAAACAGACTAAACAATATACAATAAGAACAGAAAAAGACCGCACAGACAAATAAGTATAAAAACACATTATAATACAAATAACTAGTAAGCAAATTAAATTAAACCAAACACACAGTATCTAGACATAACAATCTCAAAAACAAACTATCCTGTATAACTTAATATATCTAACATATATAAATAATTTATAGATTACACTTACTATTAGAACTAAACATAGACTAAACAAGTGCTAGCTTAAACAGAAATTCGGGTTATATTTTCAAATATATTTGTATCCATAACTAGATAAATACGTATAAAACCCTCGTGATAATATATGTTTATTTGCCAAAGGTATTCTAGTTTTATTATAGAATTTTAGAATATAAATATAAAATACTGTTGTTTCTCTGGTTATATCGTCGTATAAAATGTACTTATTGGAATATAATGGACTAAAATAAAAATAAAAATATTTATGGCTAGAAAATTAAACCAAGATAAATTTTTATTAAACTAATTATTGTAAATAGACTGAATTTCTCGCAACATAAAGTATTTATAATAATTTTACCCATGACAAAAGAAATGGAAAAAATATACAAGGAGTGGTATAAAACTATGCCATCTCAGATGATTGATGTGAGTGAGTCATTTGTAGGGATTGGAAAGATAATTATAAATGGGCATTCATTGTACAAGTATATTGAAGACGTATACAGCATTCAGAGTGATACACTGCCTCTTAACTTACTAAGCAGTATAGCAGATACCATAGGACAGAGTCTTATTGCATCTGGGTTTAAAGACTCGTACTTGGTTTTATTTGAGGAGGACAATAATACGGAAGAAAGAAAGATATGCACGAGAGAGGTTGCTGCCACATTGGAGAAAGGCGGGGCTCTTAAGATCATATGGTTCCACTCAATGTACGACCATGAGTTTAAAAATTTCATAAAAAAAGAGCACATCTGTTTGGGAGTGGGATATCAGGACAGTGAATCATTAGTATTCTTAAACACTGTGCTGGGCTTTTCTTTATATGCAGCGGTTTTGGACAAGGAAACATTTAGACCGCCTAGGCTATTTATGTTTGTTATTAGCCCTGCCATGTATTTGTGCGCAGAGAAGTATGTTTCCCGGGAATATACACCGAAGAAGGTAGAGCTTTTATCTATAGAGAGCACTGTTTCTGAGGTAGAGGGTTTAATGAAGAAGCATTTAGGAGATGCAAAGTATGCAGAGCATATAGAAGTAGTGCGGGGACCTAATTCACTATTGAAGTACAGTAAAGAGAGAAAGCCTGTGGACAGAGAGCTGATAATTGAGATAGAAGAAGTTATTAGGAAGTGCAATGTATGCAGCATCAAGAGTGTGATAGATGGGCGACTTTTACAGCCGGCACAAGAAAATACAAATGATGTTTCAGCTGCAGAGATAATTAACGAGGCGCTGGAAGAGGTGGGAAAAGAGAGACTATTTGTTCCGACAACTATGTCTTCAGTGCGATTCTATAATGAAGAGCAGGAGAGGAGTTTTAGAACAGAGCAGATGTATATTGAAAGCTTAAAAAAGAATGCACAGTCTCTGCACGAAGGAAAGCATTTGCATAATCCTATTATGTTGGTGAGTGAGAAGACAAAAAAAAAGAAAGAGGTAAAAGAAAAAATAGGAAAAAAGCAGTTAGAGATCATAGAAAAAAACAAGAAGCAAAAAGAGCTAGAGGCAAAGAAGAAGGATGTTGCCTTTTTGCGCAGTTTTTTGGCAAAGTACGAATCATTTTCTGCCACGTATGAGAAGAGAAGACATTTGGAGTCCTTTTTAGTGAGAGCGCACTCATCTTTTATATGCAGAAAGGTGTTTTTATTACGGATTGAGTTTTATAGCGAGCTCTGGAGCTTGGAGAAGAGAAAGAAGAGGCCAAGTGAGAAAGACCTAGTTTCTTTGTACATGGACTGCACGACTTTTATTGAGAAATACAGCAAGGATGCCTCAATTGAGGAGCTGCAGTATGTGCTGCAGGCAATGCTTGACCAGGGCTTTGGTGCCACTATTTTAGAAATGTGTGAAAGGTACCAGATTAGTTACACAAACAAGAGGGACAGTGCATGCACGGTGATATACAATGGAGGCGAGCCAGTCAGTCTGGTATTTGATCCTGCTACCACAAAAGACCCAAATGACTACGATATTTCGTTTCTTATGCGGGCAGCTGGTGATAAGCTAAAGAGAACGCTTGGTTCAAAGCCAGACCCAAGGCTTCTGTTTGAGCCAGATGAGTGGCAGAGAGACCTTCTGAAGATTGTGGATGACAGCGAAAGTGCAGTAATATGTGCCCCAACCTCATCGGGTAAAACCTTTATCTGCTACTATGCAATGGAAAAGGTGCTTAGGGAAAGCAATGATAATATTGTCATTTTTGTTGCGCCGACCAAGGCTCTTGTTAACCAAGTAGCAGCAGATGTCTATGCAAGATTTGGGTCAAAGCCATACATAAAGCAGAACAATATTCTGCAGGGAATATGCATGAGCGACTTCCAAATATCGCCCTTTAACTGCCAGATTCTGATAACAGTGCCAAATGTTCTGGAGAAGATTCTAAGCATGCCGCCAGAGCAGGCAAAGAAGGCGCACCCATATCTAGACAGAGTAAAGTACATTGTAATAGACGAGGTGCACAAAATAAGTGACAGCCGCATGGGGGCGAGTATGGAGAAGATCATACACTTCAGTCCGTGCTCACTGCTTCTTCTGAGTGCCACATTAGGAAATCTAGACGAGTTTTATGGGTGGGTAGAGAAGATAGAAAGTAGAAAAAACCGCAGGTGCCATTTGATACAGCACAAGGAGAGGTACTGTGAAATCAAAAACTATGTCTTCGTACCAAAAAAGATAAACACACTAGAAACCTGCCACAAAACAACCAGAGCCCCGGGAGAGCAGTCTATTGCGCCAATACACTCTCTTTTTGCATACTCATTCAGAGTGATAAAAGAGGATGGGTTTAGTGATGATGTGAACTTCCTGCCAGAAGAGCTACTAAACCTATACTATGCCATTTTTGCAGTGCTTAGAAAAGACCAGAGGTCTCTCATTAAAGAATACCGGCCAAAGCGATTCTTCAAAACAAACTGCATAACGAAAGGCGATGTAAAGAAATATGAAAATTATGTAATTGAAACCTTCAGAGACATGATCAAAACTAATACTTTAGACACAGAGCAGGTTATAAAAATATATGAAATTTTAATTCGAGAGGCTAAGGAAGGGTTCCAAAAAATAGAGAGCGATTTGAAAGAGAAGCTAAGTGGGTATATAAAAAAAGGGTCAGCCGCGGGAATTAGGCTGCTTCAAAATAAGCCATTAAAAACAATAAGCAGCACGCCTAAAGAGGAGCAAATCAGCGCCGAGGGTGAAAATCTGGCTAAGAAAATGGCAAACATGGAGTTAAGTCCCACAGAGATTTCTCCAGATATCCTATTGTACAACATTGACTATCTTCTGGACAACATTCTTGATCTTACTGTAGAGCTGGAAGCAGCCAATAAACTGCCGTGCATCGTGTTCAACCTGGAGAGAACTGTTTGTAATGCGCTTGCGATTAGGCTATCAGAAGAACTGGAAAACTTTGAGAAGTGTGCGCCTCCAGTGCTAACTAAGGCAGACATCAGGGAGAATGAAAAGGTTCTAAAAGAGATGCGCAGGTCAAGAGATGCAAATGTTGCAACAGGAAAAGATGCATGGATAAACGAATCAATTGTAGCAGAGGAAATGGCAGGAAGAAACATAGACTTGAATGCAAAGGACCCACGGTTCTGCTTTACTGATCCAACTATAGCTTCTTCTGGTGCATATCTGCTAGATGAGTATGCAAAGTCACTTAGAAAAACTGGCCGACTTGATCCAAGGCTAATACAGGCACTGTACAGAGGAATTGGAGTGCACCACAGCGGAATACCAAAGAAATACAGAAACATGGTAGAAATACTCTTCCGAATGAAGCAGCTGCGAGTTGTGTTTGCCACAGACACTCTTGCTCTGGGTATTAACATGCCGTGCCGAACAGCTGTCTTTGCAGGAGACTCTCTGTATCTGGACTCAATGAGCTTCAAGCAGATGGCAGGAAGAGCAGGAAGAAGAGGGTATGACACGCAGGGAAATGTAGTATTCTTTGGTATACCAAAACAAAAGGTAAGGAGTCTTATTACATCGTATCTGCCGCGCATTAAAGGGTCCTATCCGTACACAAGTCTTTTGGCAGTGCAGTCAGCAAGACCCACTGTGAAGAGCTCTACAGTAGAAAGCATTCTTTCTTATCCACTGATGTCGCTATCTCTGCCCAAGGAAGCATTCAGAGCCATCAATGGGCTGAGCACAAAGGACTTTACGCAGAAAATACTGGATGCACAGAATAGGTATCTCATTAAAAAACAGTTCCTGTCTTCTGAAACCATGCAGAATGATTTAATACTGCACAGCACAGAGGGCAAAAAAGAGGCACCATTCACTAAAAAGCTCTCGCATACATCGGGCCTGTGTGATATGGCGCTGAATACGCTTTCGTATGGTGCAGAGGCATTTGTGCTTATGTCGTTAGTGAATGAAGGTATTCTGGATAAAATATGCAAGCAGGAGAAGGACAAAGAAGAAATATACAAGTCCATTATCCACTTGGTTGCATATATCTTTGAGATACACCCACTTCCATCAATATCATCTCTTCCAGCGCTTCCAGATCTGGAGCCAGGTATATTTGCACGGCTTGAGGCGTACTATAAAGAATCAATTGCAATTAGCAGAGAGTATATGCACGAAGAAGATGCAGCCTGGACCAGGCTAATCCCAGACAGCGTGCACTACACTCCCATAGCCCAGTCCTTCTTTATTCTTCCTTACTTATACACAAAGAAGAACAGTTACATTCTAAAATACTTTATTGATCAGAATGTGAAGCAAATCATAAATGAGAATGGAGTAGGAGAAACAGAGCTATGGCGCCGTCTTAAGAACATAGAAGACGTCCTTATGCAGCTTGTGGCGTACTACACTGAGTACTTCCCCACCTCAATTGCCATGCCATTCGTATCCGGCACTCTTTCCCAGTTCCGAGAAAGATTCGCCAGGATGCATGCATAAGTTAACCATGGCATAAGCAGAAAAACAGAAATAAATCATAGTCTATTAAAACATCTATTATTTTTATACTATATGGCCAATGGAATAAGAGCAATTATACATCCATCGGTATATTTATTGATTTTATAGATGCATTCAAGTATTAGAATATAAAGTGCTTCTAGAAATAACTAGAGCATATGCTTTTTACAGCCCGTTTTATTTTATATTTGACGCATACAGCACTGGGCTCTATTATTGATTCATACATTAATAAAGAGCAATAGAAATCTTTACAGTTCTTACAATATATTTCAAATAGTGTTAATATAAAGCATCTCGAATTATGTCATAAAAAGGCAGTAGTTATTAAAGATATTAAAAGTAAATGTACCTCTGTTGACTCATTCAAACTTATTAAAGCACAAACTTAAATCAGAGGAGAAAAGTGGCTCAATCATCATAAAATACTCTTAAGCACTACAAAATCAAGTATACTCCGAAGTACCGAACGTATTTAGAACAGAATAAAATTAATTACGTGGGCACAAATTTTTTCATAAATGGGCACTCCAGCAGATATAAACTGGGGAGAAAGAGAACCAAGACGGCCAATAAGCAAATCACATCCCTATGAGTTCTTCAGCTTCTCCAATCCAAAGAAAAGAAAAGCAGATGATCAAATATTCAAACCAAGCGCTATGATAGACCATGAAAGGTTTCTTCCTGTAAAGAAGCCGCAGAATGCCCAGCCGCAAGCATCAATGCACCATGAAAAGCTGCTTAAAATTAATTTAATACTGCAGGCGTATCTTAGCCTTATACTAAATGTGTTTATTGTAGGTTTAATGATACTATTAGTAGTAAAAGGAGTGGTTATGATAAAAAATGACATAGAAGTACGGGTGAACACATCTATCATGGACCAGAAAACAAGAATATCAGACTGTGCCAGGGAGTACAGGATAAATCGGTGTAACCCAGAAGACAGGGTTCCTGCAGTAGAAAAGCAGTGCCAGGAGTGGGAGAAGTGCATGGCGCAGGACCCAATCAAGCAGGAGCTAAGTAAGATTGTTCTCCGCATGCTAAGTGAAGGTGCAGAGGAATTGATGGGCTCACTTTCAGTAAGAACTGTAGCACTTGCTACTGTTGCACTTGTTATAGTCCTTAAATACCGTAAATAACCCGAAAGCACCCAACCACACAGGGATGTATAATTAAATAGAACATCATAATAAAGATAGAATAAATAATAGAATGTTTGCATATTAACAAGCGCTTACCAGTAAGAGTCCCGCATTATTATATAACAGAAGAGATAAATAGACAGAGCAATGCTAAAGTTTGTAGGAATATTGTCCTTTATTGTAAATTGATAAATATCAGTTATCATATGAAAAAATCCTTCCATTTATCGTGCAAAGTGTGAATTTGACTTTAGCATAACTGGAGTGTTTGATTCTAATGAAATAGTGAATGCGGGTCTTGCGCCTTCTGGTAATGGCTTGGGGGGAGCAACGCCGTGCTTGGCTCTGTACTCGTCCCTGGCAATCTTTTCTTTCTGGCACTGGCTGGGTCTAACGTGCTCAATTCTTGCAATTACTTTCTTGATAATAAGACTGTTTCCACTCTTCTTGGTCATGGCAATTCCTACAGAGGTCTTGAATACGGCGTATACTCTTCCTGTCTTTCCTATGAAAGTTCTGTGGGGCATTCCCTTGTGCACTCCAGAGTCTATGCTTATGTCAACATAGTCTCCTCTCTTGTATTGGTTAAGGATAGTGGTTGTCTGTGGTCTCTTGGACTGATCGTAGTCCTTTTTGAATGTACTTCTTGTCTTAGATCTGAATCCCCTGCTTCTCATTGCTGGGGGAATAAAATTTAAATTTTACTTATACTTAAGAAATTTAAAATAGAAATAAAAACCGACAATTAAAGTCAAATATAAAGTACCACCTGGGCACTGCGCATGCATTAAGAGAGCCTGCAGAGTGTACAGGCGGGTTTAGAAAATTGCTACCTTAATACAGAAGCAGTAATAGCACGGTTAGGATAAGTATGAATAATTCTGAGTTTTCAAATTTAAAATTTCGGCCGTTATTTATTTTAGTGAAATAGCTTTAGTAGTGATGCGGCTAGTAAAGTTTTAATTTTCTAAGTTCAGGAATTCCCTTTAGAAGATCTTTTTCATAGGGGTAGATGGCGACTGCAGTCATTATATTCTCTGGCTGCTCAATCCACACGCTGTGCATTATTTCTCTATTTTTTAGTTCTTTTATTAGTTCATCCATTTGTTCTTTACTACTCTGCAGGACGGCGGTTCGCATTGAAAATCCTTCTTTATGGTAGTTAAGGTATTCTGCGTCGAAGTGCTCGTGGTGGCAGAGTGTTACGGCATGCACTGCTTGCGCAATTGTTGCTCCCTGAGGAAATTCTGTGTCATTTCTTGCTATAACATACTGTATTTTCATTTTTTTTTAGTCCCCTGCATGGCAAGTCCAACATATTCAAAGAGAGCTGGATCTGTACGAAGACCATTTGACAAGCAAAGACTCATTAACGAAATGAAGTACGTAGGTGAGTATGGACTGAAGTCCAAGAGAGAACTGAGAGTACTTGAGAAGATATTCCATGATGTAAAGAGAAGAGCAAAGGATCTTCTTATAAACACAGATGAAGACTACCAGATGGTACAGGGAAGAGCACTGCTCCACAGACTAGAGAAGCAAGGATTAATCACTGGAATAAACTACCAGTCTAAGAAGTGTATTATTACAGAGCTTGAGAAGATTCTTGACTTAGAAATCACTTCACTTCTGAACAGAAGACTCCAGACCAAAGTACTGTCACTGGGTCTAGCAAAGAGCATACACCACGCACGTGTTCTGATTCACCAGGGGCACATATCAGTAAACGGTGCTATAGTAAACAAGCCTGGATTTATTGTTGCTGCTGAGAGTGAAGGGTACATAGAGATATCACCCAACTCAACACTTATGGGAAACAAGCCAGGAAGAGCTGCCAAGAAAGTAAAAGCAGCAGCTTCTGAGTAATAAACAGTTCTATTTCTATTTTCTTTGTATGTTCACTGTACAGCGCAGCAGTAAATAAACAGGTGGTGTATGGCTAGTAGTGTGCATATATTTATAAAACTCAAATACTCATTCTATGTGCAATTTTCTGGCATATGCTAAAATATTTGTGAATATAATATTTGTTGAAATTATAGTATATGAACTATAATCTTGCTCTAATTTACAAACTACTGCAAATTTAATGGGAGGCATAGATAAGTAAATATCTTAAATTTCGGGTATTAAAAGTCAAAATAGTCTGAAAAGCCAGTAATAAAGACCGTGCATTGCCTTTAAAACAGATAATCTAGCTATACAGCACAATTTATTCGAAAATTTGATTATAGAGTTATAAGTGGATTCAGACTACAGGTAAAATAGGAGCATGGTAGACATAGGCGGTTTAGAAATGTATATATCGGGTTAAACCATATGTTTGTAATTGTAAAAGAAAGTATAAATGGATTTGTGCAAAAAGGAGTTCCCTTGCGGGGAATTGAACCCCGGCCGTCGCGGTGAAAACGCGAAATCCTAGCTACTAGACCACAAGGGATCACAATATATTCAACATACATACACTGTCACAGCGGCATTCTATTCTAAATATTCACTCCAGCGCATTTAAATGTATAAATAGTATATATAATGGTGTGCTGCACATACTTGTATGTTTTTCTGTGAGAGCACAGTGTGTTAATAATTTAGTATCCATTTATTTACAACGGACTTTAGGCCCATTATTCCTCTCTGAACATTCGCTGGAATTCACTCACACCAGCTGGGCCTCTTCATATATACACACCTCCTGGGTAATAAAGAGACTCTGCAGCAGGGCTGCTTCTTTCTTTTGCGTCGTGTATGACGTAAGTTTAAGCAGCCACTCTGCGGGCGGGAGTGTGCGCGTGAGCAGTGTCTGCGTATTCTCTATGCGAGTGTTTTTAAGAATATCTGCAAATACTTTGCATTCATCTACTGTAAAAGCAGTTCCCACGCGAACATTCTTGTACACTGCTAGCCGTATTGATATCTGTCCGTTGTCAACTGCCAGTACAAAATCCTTTAGAACACACCCTGATATGTCATATCCAATTTTGTGCAGGGCTATTCCTATCTGAAGAATCTCCTTTATGTAGTGTGCGGATAGAATTTCAGAAATGTATCCAGTTTTTTCTGTAATAAGATGCACAGCCCTATCTAAAGAGCCCATTTCCTTATAAGCAGATAGAGCAATGAGCTTGTCTGAGTAATTGACTGCTACTTCTATTGGAACACTGTGCCCTGTCTGCTCCAGCTCTTTTGATATACTATACTCTGATACATTCTCAATACACTGCAACGCATAGTCCCTGGCATTGAGGGTTATATTTCCATCCCCCAGACTGGCTATGCGAGTAACCAGAAAGGATGATCCGCCAAGCTGTTTCTTGACAATATAAAGCATTTCTTTAATAACAAGCTTGCTGCCCACCATGGGGTTCCCAAACAATGAACCATCGTTAAGAATACTCTGCTGGCGGCACAGCACATTCTTTCCCTCAAGCACGTCCATATTGATAGCTTTTGAGAGAGTTTCGGCAGGCTCTGGTTGGTTTGGAGGGCTGCTTATTAAGAATCCTTGGTCTTCCGTGGCTATCTTGTCCTGCTCCTCTGCTATTTTTGTAAATGCTTCTGTGTACACTTCCTGTATATTATCCGTGTATGGCAGGCTTAGTTCATTTATGTCAAGAGACTTATTCCCCTCCTCCTGTACACCGCACAAAAAAGGTGGTTCGGGTGTATTATGTGCTGCAGTGGTTCTGGGTGCATCTTCTAGTGTATCTTGATTTGGAGACGCGCTCTCTAATATTGCATCATTTTGGTCAGAAATATCCTGTTTTTTTCGTTTTACCAAAAAGTCTGATAGATCGCCTACTTCTGGCTCTTTTTCTTCTTTGTCTTTATCCTTTGAAGATCTCCCCTTTGACCTTCCAAATAAAAGAGAAACTTCATTCAAGCCCTTTTCTGTTTCCTCTTCATCTATTTTCTTTCTTTTTCTGGTGTGCTGTATAATTCTGTACTCCATGTACGCAATGCACTCACTCTCCTTTTGAAGAAGATCTGCCAGATTCATGTATTCCACAATGCATGCCCACTCTCTTCCAAACAGTCTTATTCTGTCAGGCTTTTCCAATGAGTGCTCCTTTTGTATTGAGTAGTTTACCTTCTCCTCAAGCAATTCTATGGGGTGTGCCTGCGCTTTGATGCCCTCTATCAGCACAGCGTGTGCACACGATTTACACCCTTTTTTTACAAAGTGCTCGTGCAATTCCAAATATATCCATGAGCTTAGCAATCCAATACCTTTCATTCGCATAAGAAATAGAATCTCAGAGGACTGCTTCAGTTGATGCAGTCTCTTCCAAAGAGAGAGATACCACGTGTTGTTATGGAAGTATGGAATGTCCATGTAGTGTATAATGGCATTTCCCAGCTGTTTATCCTGTACTGAATCATTCTCCAGTATAATCCCCATTAAAAAAATTCATATGATAGCATATTTATTCTTTGCTTGCCGGGTCTTCTAAGAATGCTTCTTCTTTGGTAAGAAACCTTCCAGAAGGCGCCCTTGGCCGCTTCATAGCATGCTTGTGCCGGCTTTCGTGCTGGTACGCTGCATTTGTTTTCTTTTCTAGAGTGTCGAGATAGTCACGCCGTTCCTTTCTTCTTTTTATGTACTGATATTGGTTGGCATTGACAAATACGGCATGCTCTCTGCCTGGAGGGTAGTAATCATACTCGTTTCTATGGGTTGACCGTGTTTCGGTGGGACTGCTGAATGAAAGGTACCCTTGGCCTGGGCTGGCTCTGGTATTGTTTTTGCTAAAGTAATTGACTGACTTTTCTTTTGGCTGTTGCGCATGTACGTGCGAGGAAGGCGGATGTGTTGCATATGTTGAGAACTGCTCATCAAGAAAATACCTGTTTGCTTCAGCAGGTTCTGCCGGCGCAGCTGATGAGAACTTTGTCTCATTTGTCATTGAAAAGTTAAACTCTGGCTCAAAAGACGGCTCTGGTTTATAGATGTAGTCATACTCTGAGAGGTCCAAAAGGTCAAACTTTTTATTATTTCTGTCTTCAACGGGCTTGTTAGAATCCATAAAGTTATTTTTGAAACTCGATTTATTTAAGGATGATGAAACAACAAATAAACACGGCCGATTGGCTACCTGACTAAAAAGTTTGTCAAGTCATTCTCTCGCGCCCTCCAGATACAAACAGTTTCATCGCCAGAACCTGTTGCAAAGTACTCTTCCTCCGAACTCATTCCAAAATGAATTACTCTGTTTCTGTGGCCCTCAAAAATATGTGTTTGCTTGTTTTTTGTCATGTCTAAAATTCGCACATCGTTCTGGGTGTACCCATGCGTTGTGATTATTTCGTTCTTTTTGGTCCACCGTATGTTGCACACCTGCGAGCCGTAGTCTATTGAATCAAGGAGAGTTTCCTTTGCGCCAGATAAGTTCCATATTTTAACTGTTCTGTCGGCTGTTCCTCCCCCAGTGGCAAGTGTGTCCAACTTATCTGGACACCAGCCAAGTGCCTTTACTGCCGCTTTGTGTGCAGAAAGGATATGTATTGGAGTGCTCGTTCGGTTGTCTACTATAAATACCTTGTTGTCATTGCCCCCAGTTGCTAGATAGTCTTTTGACGGGGAATACGCCAGGCCACACACCTCTTGTGTGTGCAGGGAGATGCTTTGGGTCTCTTCAAGAACTCTAATGTCAATTGTTTTGATTGTTCTGTCTCTGCTTCCTGTAACAGCCTGCCTGCCATTCCACTCCATTGCACCTATCCTGGACTTGTGCAGGTGTCTTTTTGCAAGGATCTTTCCTTCCATGTCAATTATAGCAATGTCTCCTGTACATGTTCCTGCGCAGATTGTGTTTCCTGTGGGTGATATCTTTACAGAAGTTATGTACGCATTGCTCAAGCGTGCAAGTAGGCGAGTTTTTCCTGTTAAAAAGTTTTGGACAAAAATTCTTTCATCAAGTGCAAATGCTATACTGCTCCCCTGCCAGTCTAGTAAACTGCTGTAAAAGTCATCGGCCAGCCCATTTACACGGGTTATTCTAATTGGGGCAGTCTTCTTTTCCCTGAAGATATACTGTGCCCCCTCAAAACTTGGAATAATTTGCCTGCCTGCGAGTATTTTTTCGTACTCATGGGAAAACATGTGGGAGTCTTGTGGATACATGTGCTTTCTTAGAAGATCCTCGCTTGAGATAGGAGGCTGTTCAGAAACGAACGCAAATCTCCGCATTGTTTGTAAATAAACAATTTGGGTTATTGAAGTCTTGAATTAAATATGACAATCCAAACAACTCGGATTAATATAAACAAAAACAAGTTTAACAGATAAATTGCAAAGTTGTACAAAGAATATTTAATAGAAAATATTTCCGAGTACGGGTTAATATTTAAGATTTAATTTAAGGGAAATTGTATATTTGTATTTATTCTGATGTGTATTAAAGACAGAATGAAGTAAAGGATTTTATTATTTGTATGGTAAATAGAGCCTATATAAAGTCGTGATACTCTTCTTCACGTGATGCTTTTTCCTTTGGAAGTTTTTCTCGGGTAAGTCTTTCCAGTGCATTCGACGTGTCCATGCTTTCAACCTCAACATTCTGCTGGTTAACAACTGTATTAGCGATATAGTTCTTAAATCGCTGTAGAGACATAATACTCTCTTCAATTGTATTCTTTGAGATAAGACGGAAGACATTCACGGACTTTTTCTGGCCTATTCTGTGTGCACGATCCATTGCCTGAAGGTCCATCATTGGGTTCCAGTCGTGCTCAAAGAATATAACAGAGTCGGCGCCTGTTAAGTTAAGCCCTAGACCCCCGGCGTGCGTGGTGAGATACATAATAGACATTTCTGGATCAGAGTTGAACTTTTTGGCAAGCGCAGATCGGTCATCTCCCTTGACGGTTCCATCCAATCGGAGCCACTTGGCTTCTGGTAAGGCAATTCCTACTTCCTTTATAAGCCTGTCAATTGTTGCCTTATACTGGCAGAAAATAAGCACTTTGTTATTATTCACCATAACTTTGAGAAGGTCCAGCAGTGCAAGAACTTTTCCAGAGGAAGCCGAGTTCTTTTCTTTTCCTGTGAGAATGCTTGGTACTTCTGCTCCTGTAAGAAGCGACAGATGTGAGCATGTTTTAATCAGGCGAGAAAGCAGAGAGAAGTTTCCAGATGTAGGAGTAGTTTTTCCATACTCTCCACCAGCCTCTCCATTCGCAGAAATCTCATTGTATACCTTCTGCTGCATCTCCTCAAGATCAACATAGATGTCAGATATGACTTTCGGTGGAAGGTCGGACAGGACCGTCTCTTTCATTCTCCGAAGAATAAAGGGAAGAACTGCCCGATGTAAGTCCTCCAGTTTGACCTTTGCGATTTCTGCCTCATGCGGGGTGCCTTTTCCCTCCCGGGCCTTTTCAATTGGCTTAATGTACTCCTTCGAAAAGTCTTTTTCCTTTCCAAGGAATCCTGGCATCAGAATATCAAAAAGCGCCCATAGCTCACCTACTGTGTTTTGTATTGGCGTACCACTTAGAAGAAGTTTGCTTTCTGCTCTGATCATTTTCACCCGCTGGTGAAGAAGAGTATTTGCATTTCGAATTATGTGCCCTTCATCCAGCACAAGATAGAACCAGCTGTGTGATACAAACCTTGTATAATTAAGCCGGAACTTATCAAAGGAGGCAACACAAATGCCCTTTCCATAAAACTCATCTATTGAACAGCTACTGAGAGTGGGGAAGTTTGATGAAATTTCCATGTGCCAATGCCCAGTCAGAGCAGAGGGGCAAAGCACCAGAACTCCCTTTTCTGCACACGTTTTTTCATGCATAGCTAGGAAAGATAGTACCTGAATGGTTTTACCTAGACCCATATCATCACAGAGCATTCCAGAAAGCCCACTCTTTCGCAGGAAGCAGATCCACTCTACTCCCTTTCTCTGATACTCACGTAGCTTCACATTTATACTTAGCTTGGAGATATCCTCTGACTTCATTAAAGAGTCCACTCTTTCTCTGGCACTGCTTATCTCGCGCTCTAGCTCTGGGCTGCCGCATGTTATTGGTGTGCGAATCCACATCGATGGGGAGGCAATGGCAAATGATTTAGAGGCAAGCTCTCTAAGCCCCTCAACTTGGAAGGGAGTGTTCATCGCCTGCACAAGTGGAAAAACAATGGAAACAAGAAGCGACAGTTCGGAGCTAGATATTGTGTTGGAAATGAATAGAAGAAACTCTGTATGGTCAGCGCTTTCCTCTTGAACAATCTTCTCAAGTTTTTTAATTATGGCCAATAAGAAGTCTTCGTTGTTTTTCGGGCTTTTTGATATTAAGTACTTAACTATTCTGTCCATATTGTTCTCTACTGCATAGTCAAAAATAAACTGCACCTGCTCAATCGAGTCAAAGCATTCCAATGTATTCTGCAGGAAAATCCCACATCTTCCAAGATTCTTTTTCAACTCTAAGAAGACTTCTGTTTCTAGGAATGCATTGTTTACTTCTCTAAACAGAGTCAGTATCTCCCATTCTGGCTCTTTTTCTTCAAAGTCTTCAGATACTTTTATCTTCTTGCTATCATTTACTTCTTTTAACACCATGTTCATAAGCTTGCTCTCTTCCTGTGCGCACACGCATTCTACTACTATGTTAAAGAAGTCTGTAAACTTTGGAAGTGCTGTTTTAATTGCCGCTCCAAGAATCCTGAGAAGCGAATTGGCTGTGGGTATATTATAGATGTATGCCATAATATCTGCATCATCTGAAGAAGCCGTGTTAAATACGTGGCGTACTAAGCTGTGTGCTACTCTGCATAGATCACTTTTTTCTCTTCCTGTTGAGTCCTCTAAAAGACTGTCCACCAGTTTACTCTTGATCAAAACCTGCTCTTCATCCTTTGTAGACTGTGCCTTAAGCAGAACTGCCGCAATAGCCTTAAAGAAAGAGAAGTAGGGAAGAGAGTTGTTTTGCTCTGTGAAAAATGTAATTATATGCGCTAAAACCGGCTCGCCGCTCTCTATAAGCACTCTCAATAGCTCTGCTCGCCCTGCCATCACAGAATCTTCACCTAATGACTTGCATCCATCATCAGTTGCGCATATGTCACTCTCTCCCATAACTATTTCCATTTTAAGGCTTGAAACCGCGCCTGTCCCAATAACATGAGAAGTGCATACTACAGACAGGAAAGAGTGAATAATTGGTTTTAGGCTTGTTATCTTAAGCACCACGATTTTTTCTTTAAATAGCTCTGCTGTGCTGTTTAGGATGTCCTGCTCCTGCTCTGCAAGTATGCTAAACAGAAGAGAAGCAATAAATCTATCTGGGTTAAGCACGGGCATAATCCGTAGTATAGATAAAACAGCCTGCCGCACAGTGTCAATTGGATTTCGAATTAACCCCAGCACCGAGCTCCATCTTTCCGCAGTTATTTCCTGCAGGTCATATTTTAGTTGGTGTGACGTCTTCTCAAGAAGGCTGAGTATTTTTGCCTTTGAGATTGCTAAGTCTTCCTCTTCCTCCAATGACTCCCAGCATTTCTCAATCATGTCTTCTACATCAAGAACCTCATTTATTCTGTCCTGCACTTCCTGCTCTGTGCAGTCTGCGTATACAGAATAGTATCTGTCCATTATTCCTGTAAGAATACTTGCTGCAATTCTTTTAACATCTTCATCCAGGTCATTCAGCAGATTTAAGCATATATTACAAATCCCCTTAACTATTTCCTTATGCTCTTCCGGCACTATAATACTCTGCACGTACTGCAGACCCAGCAGCCCGCTGTATTTTATTTGCCAGTCCTCATACGTTCCTAGTGTAGAGAGCAAATAAAGAAGATCCATCACTGTCTTTTGTGTTATAAATGGAAGCAGCTCTTTAAGCGCCTTGGACACAGTCTCCCGCACCGGAGACACTGCTATATCCATCTCATAGTCATTGAATCGGTCAAGAATCAAAACCCTCAGCATTGGCTCCAAATAAACCTTTGAGTGCAGAAAAGCTGTTGGCACAATGGATGAATCCCTATCCTGAATCCCTCGAAACATACCCAGCAACAGCAGTGCCGACCCATGCCTTTTTTCCCATACATAAGATTCCAGATTCGTTAGCACATGCTGATAAAAGTCCTCGTTTTTCTCAATTTCCTTTTTCTCTTCTATTTTCTGCAGCTTATGAATCTGCTTTCTTCTTCTAAGAAGGCCGCCTTCGCCAGCCTTGGCGCCTGGTATGCTTATATCACTTAGACTAAGAACTACGTTATGGTCCTCTAAGTCAATAAAGTCCTTTCCTGGCCTGACTGTTTCGTTTCCCGTGTAGTGTGTAGCCAAAAACTTTGGCGATTTCAGAACAGTATCTATATCAATGTCCAATGCATACTCTTTGCTAGAAAAAGCATCTGAAATGGTTCCTGCTTTGAACACTTCTTCCAGTATACGCGCGCCGGAAATCCTGTCTTCCCATACACTGCTTTCTGAAAGAAACAAGAGCTCTTCTAAAAGGGCGCAGGTTAGTGCAGGAGTGCTGCAATACATTGCAACTATTTCATTGGTTATGTGTCTTTTCACTCCTTTGTTTGGTGCATCTCTAAGCGTTTTAAATAGTTTGGTTATGCTCGTCATACAAATTAATAATTTCTTCTATTACTGAAAATAAATCCTTTTCTTTTTGTTGATGAGTCTTATTTAATTCAAAGAATCATTTAACTATTCTAAATATTAAGTGAGCAAAGTAGAAAGTTGGATTGTATTTAGATCAGTGCAATTGCAGCAGGCCCTCTTTAGTATATACATTGCTAGTATTTTTACAATATTTCCGTTTCTATTGGGCAATTATCAATTTAGCAGAATAATTAAAATTTGGACTATGGTATATTCTTGTATTCTTAGCATATGCACATCAAAGTACAGAGAAATTAATATAAATATATAGAATAAAAAACTCACAATAAAAAGGCATGAAATAGAAGAGTACTGCCCCTCTCTCTTATACATGAAGATAACTAATATTTATTCAAGATAGTTTTTCTATTATCCGCTTAATTTGTCTGAAAGCAATTATTAGCTCATTCAATTCCGGCTTATGTGCCATTCTCTACATAAAAAGAATAAGGCCTTGAACCACAGCATATGCTGAGATAAGATTTCCAGTAAAGTCCAGGAATTTAGTAAATAAGTACTCGTTTTTCTGCCATGGGTTCATTTCAATTTCTGATAAATCAACCCTTTCTTTGCAGGATGGGCAGAAGTCCTTTTTACCAAGTATTTTCCAGTTTTTAATGCAATTAATGTGGAATGACTCCTTACAGCCAAGGGTAATTTTTTTGCCCGTGAGCTCTTGCTGGCACATTGGGCACAGATTTCCTTGAGTTTTGGCAGTTTTTGACGGAAGTATGGTTCCTGATGCTCGCTCGCTGACAATATCCAGCCCTATACGAATAATTAGAGAGTAGTACAGAACAAACATAAGGCAACGAATACCACTGCTGTATAGTTTTCTGCTTTCTTTGAAAAACCCAACTGTCACCATAAGATATCCTAAAATTGAAATAATTAAGCTGCATTGGAATATTGCTCGATAGATATTGTACACATTAGTAGATAGCACCTTTGGCCTTCTTCCCATAAAAACATCTTTAAATGCAACTAAGTGCGCAAATGCAATTAGAAGCCAGACGATAATAAAAAAATAAGACTTTGAGAGCACTCCAGTTATGAATGGAAACCAAACAAGTGTAGATATGTTAACTACATTAAATGACTTTGAGTGGTATTTCTTCCACACCGATGCTAGAATTTGCGTCCCCACAAAAACAATGGCAAGCATAATAATGCTATTAACTGCTGTGCTGCCTCCATCATCCACTTTAATAACAATAACCTCTTTTACAACAATTATGTCTCTTTCTCCATCCATTGGATAATCTCTTCTGCTAAATGCATGGGGGTCATCTGGAAATCCATGCCTATCTAATCCGGCTGCTTCTTGTTTTGGAGCTTCTTGCTGTTTTATTTCATGTTCCATTGCTATTTTCTTACAAATATTTGTTTTTTCTCTTATATATCCGAAGTTTTACTAGTAAATAAAAAGTACTTTAATTTGCCTATTATCTCCTTATGTTTTGTAGGAAGTGAAATGTACTCATCACACCCTACAAAAATACTTGCCAGCTGAAGAATTCCAGAGCGCTTCTCTGCTAGGCTAATTTCAGTTTCTACCAGCAGTTTTTCCAAAACATTGTATAAAATGTTTATGTGCTGATGCAGCCGATGGTTTTTGGCCTTTTCATGGTATAGCTGATACTCTATGTCCTCTATATACTGCAGCCTTTTTTCTCTGCTTTTCTTTGCAGCTATTCGGTTTTTTTCTTTTCTGTCCAGCTCAGTTTCAATGCTTTTTATGGAAAGAATTGCCTGTGCAATTACCTGCGCCTCTTCTCTAGAATCTTCTTGCTCTCTTTCTGTTATTTCTCTATCTTTTTTATAAAGTAGGTCTGCACGTGGCAGCCCTCTGCATTGATCGCTTTTCTCATCCTGATAGAGCTCTCCTATCCTTTTGTATTGTTTCATGGTTTTCATAAACTGTGAACCATTATGAGTTTTCTTTTTTTAATAGAACCCTCGATTTATATATATATTTAATCTATTTTTCAAACATATCGAAAAAACAACAAAGAAAAAGTCTACATGACATAAACATATATGGATTTAATATGTATGTATATGGAAATTAATTAAAGGATAGGACTATTTGCATACAATAAAAATAAAATAGAAGGGCTACTTCACTATACTAAAAGATGCTTTAATTATAATCTTGGTATAGCATAGTGTATACCTCTGGAGAATAAGATGTTTTCCCGCATTCTTCCATGTGAAGGATAAGCTGTTTTTTTAGCTTTGAAGCTTCTACATATAGATAGTCCTCTTCATTTTGTATTTTTCTTAGAAGGTCCAGGGAAGAAGAAAAGGGAAACATTTCTGTTTCTGCATTTGGGATGCAGTCGCGCTGTGTGCGCAAGTTGGCAAGCCTTTCCTTTATTTCCTTTATCTGGCGCAGTATTGCTTCTTGCATGTGAAAGAGAGAACAAATTTTTGCATTTCATCATGGATGAAGAGTGGGAGTTTCTGAGAAGGCCTGCTGCACCGCCACAGCAAGAAGATAGAAAAGAAGCAATACATATAAAAGTTACATTCGGAGGAACACAAAAGGAATATGCTGTATTAGAAGATGCCACGCTTGAGGACATATACATTGATTATGAGCATAGATTTGGCATGCCACTGGTTTTGGAGCAGAACGGAAGAGCAGTATCTCGGTATGCCAAAGCAAATATTCTTAAAACAGAAAATGGCAAGTGTTTTCTCAAAGTAGTACTGCCAAAGAACTATGTTCCAAAGAAAACAAATATAATTAAATATATAGTGCAGTATGGAAGATATGAAAAAATTGAGGTGGAGAGAGAAGGTGAAATAACAGTAAAAGATCTTCTTGATAAGGTAAAACTGTCCCTTTCATCTCTTCCAGGCATACAAAATGCATATTTTGAATTTGATGGGGATGTCTTAGAGGATTCTCAGCTACTAGATGATGTTCTGCAAAATAACGACTTAATTGATCTGCACAGACGATAGACCAGAATAGAATAGAGCATAACCTACTATATAAGTATAGCCTGAAAGCATGATTAGTAAATATTCATTAATACTTATTTGAGTTTATATTTATATATTCCTACCATTTTATTGCTATAAAGAAGAGTGCTAGAGCCTATTGGTGTTTAATAATGTTTTTATTTGCACGTGCTTATTATATCGTATTCTAACCTTCTAATTACAATATTTTTATTCTATCTAAAATTTAATTCTTATCTACTATGCATATTTTTAAAATTAAAATAATAATCAGAAATAGCAGAATGTGCCATAATAATAATGATAAAATATAATTTATTTCAGAAGATTTCTGGGGGGTGCCATTTTTGTTTTTACTAACCCGAATAACTATATTATAATGCACGCTGCACGCATATAAAGCTATGCATATCATATATCGATACTTATATAGGTGTATAACCCCATGCAGATTGTTTGTTGTGTATTTATCCAGATATAGGTTTTAAATAAAACATATATGACGTGTGTGCATAATAACTCCACCCGTTTACACTTTTCTGTTAATACTTTGTTTATTGGTTTAGTAAGCTACAGCGCATAACCCGAAATTAACCCGATATTACCCGAATAAATAGGTGAAAATTCTTCCAAGTAGCCCGTGATCCTGCTTTATAAAAAGAGAGCTCTTTTCCACCCGCCCTATGCCCATGTTATTTCTGGCCTTCTGCGCTACTCCAATCATTTCTCCATTTATGATCTGACTGCTCATCTGGAGTGCGTGCAGCATGCACTTCTCTTTTTCATATTTTATGTCCATCCAGTTCTTTCCATAACTTATTTCCTTTATTTCTCCAAGATCCCTAAACTGCCTTAGCACGCACTCAAGATTGGCAGGTGAGTATCCAAATACCGTAACTGCTTTCTGCAGAATCGCAGAGTCTCTAGGAGGCACCAAACTAGGCTGTTCATCATATACAGATGCCTCAGGTATATAAACAGTCTTTGGCAAGTCATTCCTTTCCATCCCAACTCTTTTATTTTCAAACTCTCTAAGAGAGCCTCCACTCCGACTCCACATTTATTTTTTTACCACCGAAACTATATTTATACATTACGCAAAAAGTATTTACCGCAACAGTGAGACACCCACATGCAAAACAACCTCTTCCTCAACCCGAATTGCATCAAACACAACATAATAAAGATTGCCCACCAATTTACTCAGTTCATCATAGATAGACCCTGATACATTTTCTATCTTAAGAAAGTCCAGTACGCTTTCCTCAAATGTCTCATGCACCAGATGGTTCTGGAATAGCTGTATGTCGATAGAGTCCGAGTCATCGCATATTCTAATTACAATGTTTTCTTCAATCTTAGTGCTGAGCATGCTCTCCTGTATATCAATAGACCTGTCAGCCTCACTTTCCCCCTCATACTCTAAGCCTGTTTCGGTTGCAATATAAGATATATCCACCGATGTATCTCCAATTGTTTTGTCGCCCTGCGATTGATACTTAAAAGCAGAGAGTTTTCCACAAATAATGAATCTTTTCTGCTCATCCATGCACAAAGACTGAATCTCTTCTTTGGCACAGGCAAGTTTCTTTAGCTCACCAAAAAACATACGGTCTTTTTTAATGTATGCTGAGTCCGGAGACTCTCTTGGAATTGGCTTATTGTTAATACAGAGAACCCCAATACCGCCATTTGCAGCAGAGACATGGTCAGCATACGCGCTGAAGCGTACTGGAATGTATCCCACTGCATTTTCCTCTACAACTGAGGATGGCTCGCCTGTTATAACATATTTGTCAAAAAGTGGAGCACTAGACCTATCTAGACAGAACTGTGTGTACAATGAAGATATGTAGAATTCAAATGATCCTATCTCTCCTTTCCTTAGATGGCGTATTTCAACTATTTTTCCTATTTGTATATCCAGTAAATTGTCTGCACCATTTGCCAAAAGCATTACAACAATCCCAGATATCTTTAAATATACGTAATCTCTAAACTTTAACCGACTCTTACACTCTCTATATCTAAGAATAGAGCTTATGTACTCTACCCTTCCAACAACTGTAGTGAACTCAGGATCTTCTGAAACATCTGGCAGGTCCGGAAGCGAATCTATTTCCATAATGTATCCTGTGGGCCCTGTTAGGTTGACACTAATTTCTGGTATACATGCATATTTGGTGTCAGAGTCTGTATTTGTTCTATCTGCCACTAAAAGTGCACCCGGCCTTCTTTTTATCTTAAACCCACGAATCACAACATAATCACCCTCCTTGACGCAGAAAAACTTTCTTACTGCTAATTTCCACACGTATACTTTAACAAGTCCAGCAACAGTCAGTATAATAAATGAAAAGAAGAGCGGAAAAGACCCACCAGATGAAAATGTAAACAGCTTACTCTTTAGTATCACCCTGCCACTAATTGTATTATGTTGTGCATTCTTGTACCCAACTCTATTAACTTTTGCTTTAGGTGCAAAAGTTCTTTCCCCTTCTTCCCCTTCATCGCACACAACCAAGTGAGGTGTTTTTGTCTTTCCGGAAAGAGTGCTTTTTGTGTCCTCCGCTGAAAGTGTGCTTGCGTCTTTTTTACTATTTACCAGAAGAATTTCTTTGTCCTCTTTTTCTGTGGAGTATCTTTCTAGATACCTTTTCCATCGCCTGTCCCATTTCATATATCCTTCATCTGAAAGAAGCGGCATGTAGTACCCATTTGGATTGTATATCGGGTTAGGCAGGGTTATGTATATCTCTTTCTTTATCTTTGTCAGATCTTTATTTGAGTACTCTCCTGTGCTTTCTAGCCCCATGATCATGTCTCCTTCTATTCCCATAACCCTAACGATGCTTCCTATCTTTAACCATCCCTTAAGTATTCGGGGATACATCCCAGGATGCAATAGCCCCCGAATGGGAATGCCGGATGCAAGGAGATACACATCGAAGAGATGCGTTGGGGTGTATTCCTGCAGCACTTTAAGAATGCTCTCGGAAGTTTCCAGGGGAGCAGGGATCGGTGCAATGTACCTCATGATGTCCATAAGCTCAAATGTCTCCTCAATTACACTAAGCATACAAAAAAAAATAACCAATAGAATAAAGGCAAGGAGACATCTGAACAAATTAAAGTTACAAAATTAAAGTATAAATATGAAATAGCAACATCTTTGTATATGGGAGTTCCTTCTAAAACAGGCAAAATCATTATTGTTTCTATTATTGCATTAGTTATTATTTTAGTAATAGCTGCTGTCTTCTGTTTGTCTGGCGGCGACAATAAAGTAAAAGGCCAAAAACACCAAAGTAAAATTCCTATTAGATATTCTAATGTTAAATCTACCAACTCTATAGGTACTATGGCAGAGATTGGTCAGAATGAAATTATATTAGTAAAACCATCCAATTCACGCATTCCAAAAAAGAAAACGATAGAAAAGAAGAAAAATATTTAATTGTACTGAATGATATGCATTTCTTTTAAATCACAATCAGTTTATTGGTATAAGGTTCGAGGGGTCTCGAACGGATGGCCGTCGAGCGCCACACTCTCTTCTTATACTCTCTAAGCCGTTCCTTGTGCTCCTGGAGCGGTCGTAACAAGTTAATGTCTTTGACTGCTGGGTGAAGACTAGTATAAATTAGAGCAATCTATTGTTTGAATATACTATAAGAAATATTTTGTAGTAGATTAAATAAAGCACCGTGTTATTAATTATTCTTAGACAACTAGAAACCGCGGGGCATATATTTTTGAGCTTGGTGTACACTTGGTTTTTAAATAAATAGTAGTTGTCAGGCGGTTTAGAACTTTTGGTATTATTTGATAATTTAACTATCTGAATTGTTTTAAATTTTTAATATTGCAGACATTTATGGGGGCTTGGATAACTTGCTTGCGTATGATAAATTAATTACTTATTTAATTTTATTTTAGGATTTCTATATTTAAGAAAATATTGTAACCCCTATTTAATGCATATAATAAAGAGTACACCCAATTCAGACTTGCCTTCAGATTTTATGTTTTTTAGTAGGGAAATTAGAATAACCCGATATTTTATTCATACGTTTATTACTCATACAGATATTCAATTTACAGTGCTTTGAGCAAATATGAGATAACTTGTGCGAAGTAATAAGAATTTCTATTTTATTGAACTGGAATGTGTCTGTACTAGTTATCAACTTAATAGGATGTGCAGATGTAAGTTGTGCGGTTTGAACTATTTTCAGTTAAATTTATTTTGGCATTCTATTTTTAGTTATATATGCACAACACATTTTGGGTTATTTCAAATCTGACAACAAATAGTTGAATAAAGAGAATGATGGCTTCCAAACAAATAATGTATACAGAAGACACCCGGCTGTTATCGATTCGAGGTATTCTTATGTATGGTGTTGGCTTGCTATTAGTAGTATTTCCACTTTGTCTTTTTCCCTGGATAATAACCCAAAAAGAAAAAATAGGCCCCCCCAAAAAACCTATAATAAAAGAGAAGCCTGCTCTACCCAAGCATTCTAATGAGAATAAAGAAAAGTGCGAGGTTATTTCAGTACCGCATATAGAAAAAGATGTCACTACGAAAGAGCAGCACGATAGAAGTGATGAGCCAGAAGAAATCGATATGAATCCGATTTATTTAAGTAAAGTACTGAAGTATGTGTTCTATTTAGAAACCAACTCAGACTTTATAAGCCAGGAGTTTTCTAGCAGCTTTATTGTAAAAATGGATAATATAGAATATGAGAGCATGGATGACACAAATTCTGAATAGTTCATTCACTAGCTATAATATGGAATAATTACATAGCCAAACTATACTTTGAGTTTACTCTATATGGAAATATTGTTTGGTCTTCATATTCTATTTCTAGAATTAAGAGCTGCATATAAAACGGCAGCATCTAGAAAAAGTGTGTAGATATATAAAACACAGATAAATCTTGTATGTAGCCTGGCAGAAGGTATCAAATAGCCTTGCTCTTCCCGCTTATAGATATAGCCACTAGAACTAGAAAGATTTTTGTTTCAGGGCTCACCATTTATTCTAGGCCATTTAGAAGAAGAGGGCTATTGTAAGGTAAATGCATACAGTGCGATGTTTTTAATCTGTTTGCATTCCTTAGCACTTACTAAGATTCAGTTTATTTGTTTGTTCATTTATATATAATTCCTTTTTTTTGCTATGTCAATAATGAAGATTAACATAAAGACAAGCAAAGGGGAAGTATACAGTGTTGAAGTAGAAGGACCAGAGAGCACAGTTCTGCAACTAAAAGAGCAGATATCTGAGAAGACTCAGATTCCTACAGCAAAAATCAGATTAATTCATGTCGGGAAATTGCTTAAGGACCAGGAGGCATTAAAAACCTACAAGCTGGAAGAAGAGTCAACAGTGCATTTAGTTGTGCCTAGCTCTGACAAAAAATCCAGTCCTGTCTCTAGTGCAAGTCAACCAAGTGCACAGGCCTCAACTGAGTCCAAATCCACAGAATCACTCAACAGCGGGGCATCAAATAGCAATCCACTTGGTGGCGGGCCAGGCCAAATGGACCCACAGTTTTTAAAGAACATGCAGGGCATGAACGGTAATAACAGTGAAATGCAGAGTATGATGCAGAGTAGAATGAAGGAGCTTATGAAGAACCCAGAGCAAATGAAAGTTCTTATGGAGGCATCTTTGAGCATGCAGAACGTCCCAGAGCCAACCAAAAAGGCAATGATGGAAAGTGTAGACAAGTTTGCAGAGATGGCAAAAACCAACCCAGAGCAGTTTGAAACATTCATGAACCACATGCTGGACAACCCAAATATGTACATGAACCAGGGAATGGGCGGTATTCCTGGATTCGGGCAAGGAATGGGAATGGGAATGCCCAGCCAAGCACAGGGGTCTCAGCAGACACAAATGCCAGCTGGTCTTCCTACATTTAACAGAGAAGAGGCTCTTCAAAAGTATAAGTCTGAGCTTATGGAGCTAGAACAGATAGGATATAACAATGTTGAGCTTAATTTAGTTGCTTTAGTCTGCAGTGAAGGTGACTTAACAAAGGCAGTAAATCTTATTATGGATTGGACCAGTGAGGAAAATCATTAAGTAAATTTCTTAACTAAGTATCTTTTTATTGGGCAGCAGTTCTTTATTATTATTTTATATTTTTATGCCATGCCTAAGCGGCAATCCCTGCCTGAAATAAAGCGACTGCTAAAAAGCCAGCCACATGCATTTTACAACCATCCCATGCTTCTTTCTCAAATTCGAGAGCATGGGTGGGGGTATGCTTATGAAGATGTTACAGTAGAAAACACCAATAAAAATGCAAAGTACGAATATTGTAGAATACTTCACAAGATGACTAGAAAAAGGGAAAAGCGTATAGAAGAGGATTCGTTGCTAGATAAGCACACTCCTGCTCGGGTTACATTCTTAGATACAGTTAAAAGTATAGATGACATTTCTCATCGCACGATAGCAAAGCCAATAGCAAAAATAAAAACAATACTTAAACCATCCAAATATCAAGAGAATAATGAGAGTATAGATCCAGTTGAGGTGTATATAACTCTTCCGCTTGTCTATCGGGCGCCCAGTAGATTTTCATATACTAAAGAGGAAATATTCCAGAAAAAGACAGTGTATAAATAAAATTTCGTTTTAATTGGTACATGAAACGAAGACTGGCGCGGAAAAATTATAACAAAGAACTCAAAAGAAGCATAGAAGAAGTGGAGGAAAGCGTGTTAGAAGAGGCACCGCCAGCACCTGCGCAGCCCACAGAATCTGTTTTAGAGGAGGCAGTGGAAAGTCCCCGGCCATCACTTGGGGATGGCACTCGGGTTTTAATAGAGGCAGCAAGGAATACTATATCCCGGCTTTTTGCTATTATGTTTCCTGAAGCAAGAGAAGCTCGTAGCACCATGATCGGCGCGGAAGCTCTCTCTTCTGTAGACAGCACACCAAGCAGCCCAGATGTTCATGTTGAGGGAAGCGCCCAGCCAGAAAACAGAGAGACCGGGGAAGAAGAGCCAGCTTCGGAGACAGCCTCTCCGCAATATATTCCGCTTGATGTATTTAGAGCCATTCTATTGGCAGTGCAGAGCATACGAGAAAATCCGCTACCACAAGACTTTATAAATTCAGCTGAGTTTGATACATTTTTTAATAACGTACCAAATGAAAGTTCCACAGAACAAAACTCTCCACACGCACGCAGTATTATATTTACAATCACATATTACTTAGAAGAGAATTCTCCTCAGCGAAAAACAGTAGGTAAAGAAGACTTAGAGGCAGAAATACCCGAAGTAAAAGCAGAAGGGGGCGAAGGAGAGTGCCCAATCTGCCTTCAGAATATAGAGAAAGAAGAAACTATCCGAAAGCTGATCTGCCACCATACATTCCACAGCGAATGTGTGTCTGAGTGGCTGACTAGCTATTCAAATGAATGCCCCATGTGTAGAAAAGAAGCTGTCCCTCTTCCGGTTGAAGAGAGCACTAAATAAATGTTAAATAAGCTTATCATTTGGGCCATGGGAAAATCCGTGCATTGTTTTACCGATGTGCGGCATTCACCAAATCTATCTCTTTCTATTACCCATTGATTAGCTATTTATATATCCTTTTGTTAGACATTTGTATGTGGCATGTTTGTCTAAGATAGAATCTTATAAGTGCCGCCTTTGCATATTTGTTCTCGGTCTTTAACTTGTTTGCTGCTGTTAATCATAATGCAAACTTGTAAGAAGAATCAAATATCCGAAATATTCCGCTATAGCTTAAACAGACTAAAGGTAATTTAATTTAAATAGAAATTAAAAAAATAAACCCATACCCGAAAAAGCAAAGAAATATTCTGAAGACATATATAAAAATATAAAAATTAATGGGAGCTTTTGGGTTATTTCATGTTCGAAATAATTGGTATAAATGCACAGAATTCTATATACTGTTTCATGAAGAAAGGGCAGGCAACTGAAAGAAACAATAAAATTATAGATATATTTAGACTATCTTTTTTTCTTTAAAAACAAGGATGCATTTATTTGTAGTTTACAATTATATGTCAATTTATGTTTATAGCCTTTAATAACTGGACAATACTCTGAAGTGCAGAGGTATAAACTTAAAACAATAATTTTAAAACCTTAGAATGATACGGTCTGAGTATGAAAAGAAGCGAGAAAAATTAAAAGATACAAAAAAACCCATAAGTCAGAGGGAAAAAAGACTAAGCAGAAGGAAATTGACGAAAAAGAGATTAACTCTAAAATATCTGAGGCAGAAGCCTTAGACCTGTGCACTATTGACGCAGAGTCTCTTGCTGAGCAGCTGACGCTAACAGAGATAAGAATTTTAATTGACATAACTCCCGTTGAAATTCTTAAATTCAACTATGAGAATGAGGAAGAAGTCTCCCCCACCTTGGCAGGGTACATAAAGTTTACAAATGGCCTCTCCTCCTATGTTACATCAAGCATATTTGAGTGCGAAGAGCCTCAGACGAAGTCTTCCTCTGAAAAAAGACAGTTTCACGCGCAGAGCGAAGTTGAGGCTGCACAGAACCACTGGAAAAGTGTGATGGAAAAATTATTAGACAAAAACAACAGAAACAGCCTAACTTCGATTTACAATGGAATAATGAAGACTAACCCACCAAGAATACTAAAAGAGCAAATATTTGATTTGCTTACAAAAGCCACAGAAGAAATCTCCCAGGAAACAGAGAAAGAGCTGCAATCAGTCAATACGCAGTACATAAGAGACGTAAAAACAATAGAAAAGCACTTAATTGACGCTAGTTACAGCAAAAACGATAAAGACACTCCGGCCAAGTTTAGAAGGATAATTGAATACTTAAACTATATAAGGGCACAGCCACCAAAAGATGTTGATGAGAAAATAAACCATGCTATAATACATAAATTCAGAAACATGAAAGATATCCGAATGGCCACCGGGAAAGACGGCTCTGTGCTATATTCTGGGTGTTTTCTGTTTTTGGAACATTCTCATTTTATTTCATTAGAATGAATAAAGATTATTTTCTTTTTACTTGAATGGATGAGTTTTCTCCTAGAAGAAGAGATGTAAAGCAAGAAAATGCATTTTCTTCTTTAAAGCGGCTTAAGACTGACTTAAATCTATCAGAAATCCTTGTTGTATTTACCACTGCATCGGGCCAGCTATCCATCCCTGGAATGTATGACCCAATTTCAATGACACTTCGGGCTTTGCTTCTGTGCGAGCTTGTTTTGCGTGGGGGAATTACTATAGATTCAAGTGGAATTATTTCTGTGCGCGATGGGTACATGTTCATAGATGAGCTGCATGATGAGGTGTACCACAACATCAAGAAAGCAGTGAATCCTAAGCCGATTAAATCCTGGCTACTTCTTTTGAATGGAGAGACATACTCGATTAAGAAAGACAAGTACCACATACGAAACACAAGAAAAAGAGTAGGAAAGAGTTTAGTTGAAAAAAAAATACTAAGAAAAGGCAAAAGTAAGACAAAAGCATTTATTAACTTAGTAACTAACCAGAAGTCGGCTGCTCCAACAGAGGACGTTTCTTTTAAAGGCGTTAAGTCGAAAATTATCCTTGATTTAACTACGTATCTAACTGGAGAGTGCACGTACGAAAAGTGTGATGTTTTGAAAATGGACATTCTTGTCTGCGCACTAGTGTTTTGTGGTGTGATAGATGATGTTTACTTGACACTTTCTATGAGTGGGACAGAGATGGCTCAGAAGAAAGTGTCAGAGATTATAACTAAATACAAGTCTTCGCTGGGGAACACTGCAAAGCCTACTGAGTGGAGCATATACTCAATACTACGGGCATATCTCAAACTTGCTCCGTGGGTGTAAAATTGGTGCGGTGAGATGCAATTTATGGTATAGAGATAGCACCAGGTTACATCTGTTGGATCTTTAGATCTGTTCTAGATAGGAATAATTTTCTCTCAACTGTTGCAGATTTTTTGTTTCGGGTTTTCCATTATATGTTTATTGGTGCACTATGAGTATTTGTTTGAGTTGTATGTATATAACCTGAGGCCGGGAAATGAAGCAATGAAGATATTAAGCTCTTTAGGAATTATATTAGCACTAGGAGGGGTGATGGCAGATGCAAGCACAGTAACATCCAATGGCACTACAATTGGAGGAGGGTCAACTGATATAAGCAGCCACAGATCTGCCATAGATTCAACTGACAATGGAGAGATTCAGGTAGGTAAGTTAAGCAAAGAGCAGATGAAGCTTATAAATGGATGGAATAAGGGTAAGAATGCTGATAGTATAGCAAAAAGACTTAAGCTCAGAACAGCGCTACGAGTTACGCTATATCTCCCAATTGAAGAGCCCCTTTCTTTGAATGATTTAGGGCCTAACTCCAAATTAGAAATACTGAGTGCCTTGATTGGAATGGGAGCCTCTGTAAAGGCAGATTCTGCTTCCTCAATGCACACCACACTTCCTCCCGAGTATGCAAGACTTGCCAAACAACAGCAACAGAGTGAAACAACAACAAGTAGCAGTGTATCAAGCAGCTCTAAAAGCAGCACTAGAACAAAGCGCAGCTCACGTAGCTCTGGGCTTGTTCAAGAGTCTGTTGAGGAAGAAGAGGAAGAAGAATAAGCCATTTCCAGGCTTTACTTTGCAGTTATCAATAATAAAACTGAAATACGTATCATTGTATCTGGGGTTGCTTAGTTCTATTCTGTATGAACAAAAGTAATTTGATTTAAATGATTATGTATTTAAGAAGTATCCCATTGTCCGCCTATTTTAATTTCCTTATAAATCCTTAATGGACAGTTAAAGGGTACAATAAAATTTAAGCACATCGTTGACGTTTTTGTTATTTTTATATAAAATGTATTCTTTATCTTTAATGCAAGGCTGGGCTTGTTCAAGAGTCTGTTTTTTGCTTTTTCTGTCAAAGCTATATCTATAGAGATTGTCCACAGTCTGTTGGTTATATTTTATAGCCTTACAAACTAGCTCAACCTGTGTGCAAACTGCAGCAATAGACAAAGAATTTAAATAAAATCATATAACCCGAATATTTTGAAATAAATGATGTATAAAACAATCGATTGGTTTGAATTATTCTGATATATTTAGTGGGCAGTGCATGTCAGTGCTGTATTATATTGAATAATCAATAAAAAACACATTCTCTGTGTTTGAAACTTGAAACATGTGCATGAAACGCGAAAGTGTATATAAACAAATACCCCATAAATACACATGGGAAAGAGGAACGGTGGTTTAAAACGCACCAGCACATCTGATTCTATAGATTTTACTGACTCGGACTATTTATCTCCGGCAGAGAGAAGAGCGTCTATCTATAGCCTAAGCGACAGCAAGTCCAGAAGAAAGTCTGGGTCTGTCTCACGTTCTTCAATTTCTAAGAGAAATAAGGAGGGCGATAAGAAGAAAAAAGAGAGCAATAAGCTAAAGAAAAATAGAGGAAAGAAAATTAAACTGTTTTTGAAAAAATGTGTCTTTTTCCCCTATTTACTTGCAAAAAGAATTCTCAAATCAAAGAAGAAAAAGGTAAAGATAGAAGAAACCGAGGAATACTCATCGGACCTAAATGAAAAAAGAGTAACCTTTTCAGACCAGGTGACTGTGCATACATATGTTTCAAAAGAAAACCTCGACCATAAAATCACTTTAAGCAGCATAACAAAGTCTCTTCCGCCAGTGAATCTAGCAATGGCAAACAAGATAAAGGGCACCTCCAGAGAAACCCCGCTTGTAAGCAAGTTGCTAGAAAATCTGGATAAAAAGGTGGAAACACTAGATGCACTAAGGGCGATTCTAGCACCGAAGAAGAAAAAACACGAAAAGCGATCAAAAAATAAAATTATAAATATACTAGGTGGATACGCCTCCACAGATATCTCTGAAAGCAGTGCTGAGTATGCAAGCAGGCCCTCATCCAAAAAACCAAAAGAATCTTATTCCAGCAAACCACAGAGGAGACAAAAAAGCCATAGAAAATCAAAGAAGCAAGAAGAAATAGAATCCTCTGAGGATAATATTTCATCTGCTGCTACAAAAGCATATGACACCATTAAGAGAAGAGGGGCTGGGACTTCTTCTACCCCGATATAATCCGAAATTCCAGCATTTCATCATATGCCGTTGTATGGTATATTTAGATGCTCTCTGCTGTGTTTAATTAACAGCCAATTATATGCTAGTTATCAGAAGGCTTACTGGTTTCAATTTATATCTGCTCAAACTTTTATTACCATTAGTTCTAATATGCAATAATATTTATTTAATTTTTAACTGGCTACGTAATAAAGCCTGTTTATATCTATGCTATATAAGGCCTAGGGTGGTTATATGTTGTTTTTGCAGTGACTACTTATTAAATCCCTGTGCTCAAGTAGATTTTGATTCTTAGTTGTGGCAAGAGTAGAATATTCCTATACGGGTTTGGTATTTATTTTTAGCACTATAAAATGCAGGAAAATATTATGTGTGCGCTTATATAGAGTAAGCTATACTACTATGGTGTTTAATAGTGGTTTCTATTAGAAAGCAATGTTATTTTCAAAAAGCACTCTTACATATAAATTCCTCAAACTTGTACTAACAAATGGCAGGTCCAAACGAGCAATGGCAACAATATCACTTTTCTTATATTTTAACTAACTAGATGAAGAAATTATTATATGTTTTCTTTTTAACAATACGCCTTTTACATCTTCTGCAAATAAATGATTTATTAATTTGGATTGCATTTTTACAATATACTCAAAATTTTATTCTTAGTTTTATTTCTATAATGCAGATTACTCTTTATTCTAGTCAGCTAACAAGTAATAATAAAATTACATAATGGTTGCTGCAGAGAGTTTGGAAATTACAAATATTTTGTATTACATGTTCTTGGTATAAAATAAGCAATACATCCAGGGTTGTAGAGCTAAACTGAACTTTAATATTTGATGTGAAAAGTGTTAGTGTTTGTTATCTAAGGCATGGGTATGTGAGAAGATCGTTGTTTTTTAGTTTAAACCAGCTTGTTATCCAGTTCATTTGTTGTTTTCGGCATGTTTATGCATTTCATAGTATTTCCCAATATATTAATAGTGTCTTTATTTATTCTCTATTCCTCTATTTAATTTTGTAAATATAAAAGGCATTCATATTTTCTATGAAATAATCTTTTAAGTACTATTTTAATTATAAAAACATATGAAGGTATAAAAATAGCATAGGAGACAGCACATTAAACCAATAATAAATCCAAGGCCATTGTAAACATGTGCGCATAACAAATTAGACACAAATACATATAATACTTTTTATATAGTAAACATAACGATATAAAATGAAATATAAATTTAGTATATACTCTCTGTATTACAGAATCACAAAGAATTTGATCAAACTCAAACCATTTAAGCACAAAGACTCTTGGGCAGTAGCACTTTCTAAGCTATAAAGCAGCACTAGCAATATAAAGCAGTACTACATTAAGACACATGGTATTTTAGTTTTCTTAGTCAACTATACATCTTTATATTTTAACCTATATCATAGACCCAATATTTCTTTGCTTATTAAGATTTAAACATATTATTCTATGTGAACTATGCATGATTTATTAAAAATAAAATATTATTTATGCCTTACATTCTATAAAGATATGAAAATTACTTAACTTAATAAGAAGTTTAAAATTCTATCATTTGTTTAATAAAGCATTAAGAATCGATGTCTATTCATCGTAAGGCTTCTAATTTTATATTTATATAAACAACAACTCTTTTTCATCTAGAAGAAATATACAAGAAGTAATTGCACAAACAAGAATTTATTTTGTGGTGACACCACCACTCAGACGCGATCCCCAGGGAAAAGCTGTCTGCGCGCCATCTCGCGCGGTGGCCCCGCCGAAGCAAAAGGCTTGGATCTCTGAATCGGTATATCAACTTCCGACTATTTAACCGGAGATCTTCCGCCAATTTAGGGGGAGACTCAGGGAAGCATCGAAGGCTTAACTTCAGCGCTAGGCCTAACACAGCTGCGCCCTTGGGCTCCAAGCCGATGCAGGCTTAGGCCGCTTCCCAAAGACAATAAAGAGCTCACCCCTTTCACTTTCTTCTCTCTCTTGGTTACATAGCAGGACGGCGGTGGCGTGACTCCTCGTGAGTACGTCATATTTTATATTAGGCTTCTGTTAATATTTAAGATTTTCTTATTATATTTTACATTGTCTATAAATGATAATAAAATAACACATAAGTTATTTTTATTCTATATAGCTATCAAATGACTGTATTAAGATGTCTAGAATCTCTGTATGTAGACCATAGTTTGTCATTCTATAATTTGTGTTTTTTATAAAAATAATCCCGCGTGAAGCGTTTAGTATTTCTAACAACCTAGTCTGATTGAGTTTCTCTGAATGTTTACTAGAGTTGCCAATGTGCTCTTGTTTTGTCGATAATTTACTAAGTACTTTATTCATGTTACAACAAACAATTGAAGAACTATTATAACCACTATCTGATGATTTATAAAGACAGAATCCATAGTTGACCATGTCACTGCCTAGTTGTGTGTTAATTGCTGTATCCATAAAAGATTTAATAATGCTTTTTGCCAATTTCTGTGAGCATGGTCTTTTATCCATGTCTGTATTATTAAATACATACCAGGTATACTCATTTACACTTTTATATATTCGGAACACCCACTTCAGATGGCATATTCTGCCATTCCATTCTTCTCGAATATTCATGCAATAGCAGTGTATGTCTTCATATGTGTCATTTGAATTCTTTATAATGAAGTTATTATAGTAAGTTTTAAGATTCCTTAATAACTTTTCATTTTTAGAATTCTTAAGCCTCTGATAAACCCGGTCTTTATATTTAACTTTAATAGGAGCCATGTTCTTATAGTTATGGTGCCGAGCAAAATATTCTTTTGCTGCATCTCCTAAATCAAGATCAGAAAATGTTATAATAGACATCATTAGACTAGAAAGGAATAAGGGGGTTCTTGGGGAACTTAATGATAATTCGGGCTCGGTGCTTTTATCATCTGTATTGATCTGTTTATAGCTGTCGCACTCAAATTCTATGAACATAAGATCGCTTTGCATAATATTCTCTTCTATCAGATAAAAAACAATATTATATCCCGCTTTTTCTAGGTGTTGCACTGTTAGCATCATGTAATTGCTTTCATAGTGAATTATTTCCCATCTTTTTGTTTCTCTATTAAAAATAAATGGATATATGTTTGTATTGGCTGTTGTATGCTAAGAATAGCATTTGTTAGCATGACATGAGTCAATGTGTGCTTGGATGCGGTTGATATGTGTTTAATGCAGAACATTCAATATTATTTGGCTCTAACATAGTTTGCTGCATTTTTTGTGGTGTGTTTAATTGCTCTTCTCTTTTTCTTTTATGTTTTCTTCCTTCTAAGTTTATTTGGTCTGCTGTACTGTTTATTAATTGCACAATTATAGATAGTGTAATGAGTGCTTTTGTCTTATATCTCATTTATAGTTAAATTATTTTTAAAAGCTTGTTAAATATTTTCAATTTTTTGATAAAATAGATATTAATTAAAATAAAGGGGATATGCTGTGGTGTCCCGTGGGTGGTAACTGTGAAGTTTCTGTGTAATACTCCACTAAGTTCCTGGAACGGCAAAGCTTGTAATTAATATTAGTTGATTGCTTCTTTATTGGTATGCTTCCTGGCATGTTTGTTTTAATCCGACCTTGTATAAAAAAATGAATTAATTTATCCTAATTTGTTCGGATACGACATATGCATATAATTTGACAGCTTTTTTGAAATATACTATCCTATGAATATAACTAGAAGTCTTTAATATAATAAAGGAAGTATACTAAATATGTGCCATACTGAAATAATTGAAATAGTAAATACACTAGCGCATAATA